CCACCACCACAAACTTCTTTTCTGCGCCTATTAGCTCATTTTCTACAATGTATCGTTTTAGTCCTGCCAGTGCTAATGCTCCAGCGGGTTCGGTAATCGACCGGGTCTCTGAATAAATCGTGATCAATATTTGTTACACATTGTCACTTCAATTCAAGCTGTACCTTCGAAGACGTCCTTGATGGCTGCGCAGATCTCGTCATTGTCAGCCTTCACAACACCATCTAATAATTGTTGGCAGATTCTGAAAGGCTCAGCCCCAACGATCTTCACGGCTGTGCCATCGCTGAATGGTCCAACTTCATCCAATGTGACGCGATGGCCTTTCTCCAAACTCCGCGCCATTGCATCTCCGTCCACAGTTTCGACGCCAAAAACCTTAGTATTCGGGGAACCTATTCTTTTCACATACTCGCAGATCCCAGCAACCAGACCACCACCACCGACGGCTGCAAATATGCCGTCTAGATTCTCAGAGTTCGGTACTTGCTTCAGGATCTCCACGCCGATTGTACCTTGACCGGCGACAACGAGTGGGTCGTCGTACGGCGGGACGAAAATGAGGCCATGAGCCGCCGCCAAACGCGCACACTCAGTCTTCGCCTCGTCAAAGTCCTGGCCGAACAACACGACCTTTGCGCCCAGTCGTGAGACGTTGCGGACTTTGATGGACGGCGTGCCTTTGGGCATCACAATCGTACAAGGAATGTCAAGTTTAGAACCCGACAGCGCAACTCCCTGCGCATGGTTTCCTACATCGAATTCAGCATGCACAGGGCCGATGACAAGACGGAGGTCAAGAAACCTCAAGCAAGTACGCACACTGACCCGCACTACATGTAACGACGCCTTTCCACCGTTCTTCCTCAGTGAGACTAGCCATGAAGTTATATGCACCTCTTATTTTGAAGCTGAAGACCTCCTGGAGATCCTCGCGTTTTAACCATATCTGGTTCCCGAATCGAGTGCTCAAGCCATCGCAATAGACAAGGGGCGTCTCTTTCAGGATCTCGTAGACCTTGGAGGTCAGAATCAATCGGAGATAGTCTGGAGTCTTGCTTGGAAGCAAATGATGTTCGGGAAGCCTGGGATATTGCAGAGGCTCTGGTGCATTGGAGGAGTATTCAAGTGTCGCTGTTGGTGACATTGGATAGGCGTGGTGGGTGCGTTATCGTGTGGGCTGCAGTAATGGTGGGAGATGTCCCAAAAGACAGTTCATTCCCTCGAGGCCGAGTGAGTAAATAACGAATGACTCGGTGGATAGCCGCCTTAACTTAGGCCATCTGCAATATAGATCTGATCTGATCCTAGTACTTATCCGTATCCGGCAAATACAGCTATTTACTTTTTCAATCCACCCCTTGTATCAACTTACGGTCAGCTGCATGCCCTTTCAACATCCAAATCCATTTCAGACTCAAAAGTATGAGGGGAATGTGAGATCAAACAAATGGACATCTATATCTTAGAGTTTTACGTGGGTCCTTGCTGTTGCGGCGTGGCGCTCCGACTGGCATGGGCCCTGCGGAACCATATACAGTCGCATTAGTCTGTGAGCTGAAGAATACACAATTATGCTAGAGCAACGTTACAAGACTCACTAAGACGAGAGAAAGACACGGGAACATAAGCAACCAATAATACAGACGACAATAAGTACTAATGGAATGGTATCGATAACCGGAAGTAAGTCCGTCATGCGAGAGCAGTCCTTCGTTCCCGCTCCTTCGTCTTTGCGCCTGGACCAAACCTCTCCTGAAACCCAATGAGCTCCTCCATGAGCTCCTCCATGAGTTTCATCGTTGTCAGGCCAGAGTCTAAACCATTTGGAGGGGGGCCATTGGTCGACGACAGCCGCTTCTCAGGCGAGACAGCATCTGCGGGGGAACTATGATTCGTTATCGCCTCTCCATTTGAGCCTGGGGGATGGTCTCCCGATCCCGGTTGACCATCCATATTTGAGCTCCGTGCTTCTCTCAATGCTCTTTCTAATGCTTCCCTCCGCCTGCTTCTCTCCAAAGCGCTAGCTTGTTCCCGACCAACCCACTCCACCAGAGCTCTGACGCGTTTGTTCATGTCTCCTACACTCATCCGCTTGCTAGGCCATTTCACTTTGACTCCGCGCTCGGTTGTACGCTCCAGGGACTCCCTGCCAATAAAGTCGACACCCGAGCCCCGCACCTCGAGGGGCTGTGGGACCCCGGTTGGTAGCATCGGTTCAAGATGCGCGAGGTAGTCTGGAAGATTCCACGATGTGAATAACGGCTGTTGTGACACAGCATATGCATGTGTGTGATGGTAGGCGCGTGCATTCGTGGTGTTTGAATGCGAGGCTGCATTTGCCCCATGGCCATTGGCAGGGTTGGCCTGCGCCCGGCGAGTGGCGTTGTCGTTCGCCGTAGTTGCTGGTCGAGGCATCAGCATCAGCGCATGAGGGCGGTTGGCAGGCGTCGTACCTTTTGCGCGGCTGGTGGCTTGCCTGCGCGCTGAACCTGTGTTGCCTGCTGAAGGGACTGTTATAGGGTCACGTGAGTTACGTCACGTATTCGGACGATGGAACGGAGTCGACGGACCTTCGTCGCCCTCGACTGATGCCAGGTCCTGTGCCTGTGATTTACGCGCTGTTCCACGTCTGTTGCGAGAGCTGGAAGACTTCCCCATCGATGTTGACGCCTTTGCGTTGTTGTTGCTGCCCCCATTTATTGGTGTGGGATCGCGGGCCACAACTGTGTTGGCCACACTGGTGCGATCGGATGCAATAGACGTGGATCGTGTCCGTTTTGTGGTCGTACTACAAAAACAAGAAGACAAGGTGAACACCACAACCAGCTCAGCCGAGGGTGGCTTACGCGTCGTCGTCAGATCGCTTTCGCTTTCTCCGGCTGTTGGGTGCGACCTCAATCTCCGGTTCGCCGTCGTGACCGTTCATGTCCCCATTCTCCTTCGTGACTACTGTGGCGGCATGCACTTCTTGAGCGGCCGCCTCGACAGCAGTCGCCTCAAGCAGCGCCTGAAAACTCTCTTCGAACGCCGCGTCTCGGCTATTCATCGTATTTCGTCGTTTGGCCGGCTTTTGATGGTGTATGGGAGAGTGCGACCGAGACGAACGGGGCGCGTGTGAAGCTGTGGCAGAAGTGTGGTGGGAGGCGGTCGACGACTGGCGGGCCCTTTTAGCGTGTTTCCTACAACCGTGGGGCGCGGTAAGATAGACGCTGCAGTGGCAGGAGGGGGAACGCACTTCAGAAGCTCAGTGTAAAGATCCGGTCGACACTGCTCGCAATAGTAGTGCTGGGGTAGGGATGCGATGTTGGCAAAACCCATGCATTGGCCGTGCTGCCAGGCCTTACACATTTCGCATTGTGCCATGAACTCTGCGGATTCTGGTTCCTCGTCTCCTTGACGTATTTTTGAGCATGGACAGAGAGCCTCGTCAACGCGTAGGACTGACCACAGATGCATCGAGTGATGCCTGTCTCCTCATCATCCTCTTCGCCATCGACCGCCCCCTCTTGTCCTGGCGCGTCGGGCTGCGGGATTTCACTATTCCCAACGTCCCCCAATGCCTCTAAAGCCGAGGACGGTTTCTCTTTCTCCTTTCCCTTGCGCTTCGAGCGCGCGCTGCCGTTCCCGTTGACACCGTTCTTGCGGGTATCTTCGAGGGTGTCGTCGTGGTCTTCTTGTTTGCTACGCTTACTTTTGCCATTTGAGGTGGATGCCGACAAAGAAGGTCGATTCGGGTTTTCTTTGACTTTGGGCGCAGATTCGGACGTAGGCGATCCCACTGGGGATTTACTGGTGGATGCAGACGGTACTGAACGTCGCCCAGAGCGTCGGGGTTCCTTGGGGGAAGGAGGGGGGCCCATCACTGCTACGTTGGTCATAGTTCGTCCCAAATGGTCGGACGTGTAGGGGATGGTGGTAAAGCAAGCCTGGGAGCTGCAGCCCCTGCACACTGCGAGGAGATAGGATTATTCGATGGTGAATTTCGATCCGCCATTCACAGAGTGCATTATACTGGAAATTCACCAGTTCCATACAAGGGCATATCCCAGGGGAACTATTTCACTAATTCTATATACGGGACTTACGACGCATGTAAATCGAATATTCTCCTAAATGCCGATAGACGCCCGAACGTCACTGTCGTCGGCTGCGCTCCCTCACTGCTGCATTCGCCCTCACGTTGCTCTCGCACATAGTCTCGACTGGTTTGTTCATGAATGGAACACAGGAAGGCGAACAAAAGGCTCATGGTGTGTTGCGTGGGTCTCTCGATTTCTCAGATATCGATGGGGAGGAGGTCCAAGACGATCATGGTGGCGACTACTCTACGCGTTTCGACGAACTCATGAGCGACACCGAGGACAGCTCCAATAGCCATGTCCCTCATTTCGACGAGGGAGAGGAAGAGGAGGAGGAAGGGTTTCTGTACAGTGGGAAAGATGCAGACCCTGTTGGCGGCTATCGAGAACAATTGCGAGATGTGCTAGGTGCCGAACACGAGGAGGACGAGCTGGACGAGCAGGAAGTTGAGCGGTCCCTCCTTCATGACGTGGAAGAGAAAGAGAAACTTGCAGCCATGATGGAGGACGAAGCAAAAGTGAGTGAATATACTGTCTTTTCCGGGAAGCTCATACATTGTCCCCCATAGGTGGTAATTCATTCAGATCATTCACCTTCCAGACCATCTACTCCGGCATTGTCTCATTCTGATGCTGGATATCCGTCTACTTTTGGCGTTGTTGATGGTCCAAGTTCTACCAGGGTTTCGCTCTCATTCCTCCACCCCACCGTCTCTCGTCTTCGCTCTGCAACTCCACAGGGTTCGCGTGTGCCTTCGTCTGCAAGCATAGGAACGATACCATCGCATACTCAAGAAGGCGTATCAGTGACACCTTCTCATTTCTCTTCGTTGTCGCGCAATTCAACAACTACAAACATAGTCGTTGGAACGGAGAAGGCGGATGGTTCCAAGGGTCAAGTGTACCCGATACGTGAAGTCTTTCGCTGGACGCACTTGCGTTCAATCGGAGATCATGTGTATCCTAAACATACTCAGAAGGTCTCTTCTCTCCTTGGGACTGACAATGCGGGTTCACCCACTGTTATTGCGGCGAATGGCCTCATCTGTGTTGGGACGGATGCAGGCAAGATACTGGTATTCGACTTCAAGCAGAATCTCAAGTGTATATGTGGTACAGACACCTCAGGTACGATCTAGTACTGATGCCGTAGTTACCGTTTCTGATCGCTTTTCTCTAGATAGAGGGGTTGGACCAGTCAGCGCCTTAGCTCTGTCGTTCGACCATACTTACGTCGCCTCGGGTCATGCCACAGGACATGTACAATTGTTCGATCTGAAGTCGCCGAAATTACCAGTTCGTCTTGTGGCACCCACTTCGCTTACAGTGATTGCATCTGGACGACAAGAGGGTCACCTTGTGGGGTCTAGAATTGTGAACGTTGGTTTTGTTGCAGGAAGGCACAGTGCCGTCGTATCCGCCGATGACAACGGACTCGCCTTCCACCACAATCTCGGCAAGGTATTTTTCATGGAAGCATCCGATACGCTTCGCCTACTTGGAAAATACCCCGACGATGAACACATTCCAAACCCGTCGCGTCCTTCGTCAAATCCACATTTTCGTCGGCGTAAATCACGCAAGCCCAGCACTATACTTGCTATGGCACCTCTCCCACTTGGCACAGCATCACATCCAACGGATCAGTATAATCTCATTGCACTTCTGACGCCCATAAAGCTTGTCATCGTGGGGCTGAAACCATCACCTAGGACCTGGTACAGGCGGCATCGCGAAGCTGATGACACCGCGCACAAGTCCCGCTTTAAGGGTACTCTTGCCTGGTTCCCTAGTGTGATTCCTGGGAGCACTGCTGCTGCAGAGGCCACTAATAAGAAGACCCAGGCCAATGGTTCAAGTCACCAATCGGCGACCATCCCCATGCTAGTGTACTCTTGGGGAGATACGCTTTTTCTCATTCGCGTTTCAGAAGACAAGATTGTTCAACAAGTCCGCAATGCGAGGACCGGAAAGGTAAACAATGTTGAGACGGGCCGAGTCATTCTCGAAGAAGTACGACAGTGGAGTGCTAGCGACGATATTTTGGCGCTGCAGTGGCTGAATGTCAATGTGGGTTCGTCTAATGAAGGTCGGCTTTGCGGTTATGGACGAGACTAATTGGAGTTTCAGCAAGTGCTTGGTCTTACACCTAATGCTCTTGAGGTTTATGATATCCGTACCGGAAGGCTTGTTGAAAAAGTCTCGTACGATGCATGGTCTCTGGTATCACCCATATTGAGCCATACTACCACTGGTTCTGTGTCCTACTCGGACACTGTTACGGATGTGGCACATAGCGTAAGAGTTTACAAAGGAAAGATCTTCATTATGGTGAGTACTATGATTCAAATATAGCGAATGCAGCTGAGCAGCCAGGACAGACCCAAAGTGAGATTCAAGTTGGGACCTTGTTGACTTGGGCCGATCGCATACTTTCTTTCGTCGAGGAAGGGGATTTCCTCAGTGCTATTGAACTCACCCGCTCCTACTACCTTGGCAACACCCCGGGCAACCGAAATGGACTCCCTGAGTCCCCAGACAAGCTGAAGGAGGTCGTTGGAGAGAAGATGCGCGAGCTCATGGTCGCCTCCGCTCGCTATGCCTTTTCCGAGGACCGTATGCTCGATGGCACCCATGTTACGCCAGATGGTCGCGGCGTCGATCTCACGTCCCTGTTTGAGGGCTTGGTCAAGACCTGCGCTCGGGCATGCATTGTTCTAGGAGACTACGATTTCCTCTTCGAAGATCTCTTCCAGTATTTTGACGACAGCGGCATCGTAGGAATTTTCTTGTCGCAGCTCGAGCCTTTTGTGCTTGAAGGCAGCATCCACCACATTCCGCCTCGTATCACACAACGGTTGATCGCTTTGCATGATGAGGCACAGCATCCCGATCTGGCCGAGCGGATCATCTGGCACATTGATCCAGATTGTCTGGACGTCGATCAGGCCATCGCGTTGTGCCAGAAACATAGGCTTTGGGACGCGCTGATATATGTTTTCACCCGCGCAATGAAAGACTACGTATCACCAGTTGTCGAGCTGCTTGGCCTCATCCGCAATGTCCAGCAATATCGGAGAGCCCGGAGAGAAGGCTCATCACTCATGTCATATCCGAATGACAACGCAATTGAACCTGTCATCCTGAATGCGTATAAAATCTATCCCTACCTTGGAAACATTCTCTCCGGCCTTTCGTATCCTGCTGCGGAGGTTCTTCCTGAGGAGGATGCTATTCAAGCCAAGAACGATGTGTACAACTTCCTGTTTTTTGGACGATCAAGCATGTGGCCTCCGGGAGAAGGTGGAAAGTTAGTACTCACTGCTGATGAGGAAAGCGGCGTTGAGCCGACATACCCATATACGCGACTCCTCTTACGATTCGACCCCGAGGCATTCTTGCACACTCTCGACCAAGCTTTCGAGGATGCTTATCTGAATGACGAGACGCAAGGTGTAAGCCGACTAGTGATCGTGAAGACGCTGTTGGAAATTTTGTCGTCCCCAGATCTGTCGCATGAAGAAGTGACCTTCGTGAACATCTTCATCGCGCGGAACGTCCCTAAGTATCCCCAGTTCCTCCAAATGCCGCCCAGTGCCCTCCACAGTATACTGATTGGGTTAGCTCAGGACCCAGACATGGATACACGTGAAGACCGCCAACTCGCCGCAGAATATCTATTGTCTGCATACACTCCTCATGAGAACGATCGCGTCGTTGCTCTTTTCGAGGAGGCCGGATTTTATCGAATCCTGCGGTCGTGGTATCTGCAGGAACATCGCTGGTCTTCATTGATCCTGACCTTCATGAGGGATCCTGAGCTCGCTCGTTCAGATATTTTACCTGCTATCGATGACACATTGTCCTCTGCGACACAATCCAACAAGGGCTCGTTACCACCTGATCTTCTCAGCACCATCAGCGACTCTTTGCCTTCTCTTGTGAATACCAGTGTCGCCAGCACCGCGGCACTCCTTGACAAGCACCTTCCTCTCCTTCATGAACGTGCCTCTGAGCTTGCGCAACAGCGGGGAGACCGGGACCAGTACATCTACTTGCGGTATCTTTTAGGACCACCGTCGTCAGGGGAAGACGACAGGATGGTTCCTTTCCGAGCGAGTGGACCGTCTGTGCATGTGTCGGTGACGTTGCGTCGCACCTATCTCTCCTTGTCTTGTCAATTCGATCCAGCCGGAGTGATATCTGCCCTCCGCTACCTACCACAAGACTTCTTGGATGTGAGCAGTGTGGCTCAGATATGCGAAGAGCATCGCGCCTATGATGCTGTAGTCTGGTCACTGAACCGTGCTGGTGATCCTTTCGCTGCTTTGTCCAAAGTGGAACAGTTCGAGAACCTACTCTCATCGCAACTTGCCGACAGCTTGGTAAATTCGAGTCCAGCTGCGGAAAGCTCCATCAACACAGGGCTGTCATCTCTACAAGCCATCGGACGTACCGCTGGGACCATGTGTCTTGAGCATTCCCAATCTGCTGAGGTGCCTCTGGAGGATATTTGGTATCAACTTCTCAGATCCCAAATTGATGCAGTGCAGCGAATTGTCGGCTGTTTCAGTCACGAGCAAAGCGAGGAGAGCCAGGGGGGAACTCAGGGTCGAGATGCAAATTTGCAGCAACAAACATTGTCCACTCTGCGATCCTTGGTGCACGAGACCTTCACTTCGCTGCTGACAGTCAGCTCCACGAAGTCCGTCTCGCTACCGCGGATGTTCAAGAGGCTACTTACGACAGCGTCCTCACAACACGTCTCAAAGCCAACGCTGTATGCGGAATTTAGGGCGCTGTTCACTGGCATGCTGGAGTCGTATCGCACCGACAGTGATATGCTTATAATCACCAAACATCTCGCGGATAGGGGGCTTTTCGAGACGATACAGGAGTGCTCACGAGAGCGAGACAAAGGTTGGGCAGGGTCGCAGGGTGCATGTCGTTTATGTGGGGAGCCATTCCTTGATACCAAAAAATCCGCCACCCATGAGTCGCAGCCAAATCCCGGCAACTCAATAATTGTATCGCGGACAGGTGCCATATACCACAGTAGATGCCTACCGGCTGATCATCCTAATTCCAGCAGTGTACATTAATGCTATCATATAATATGGAGAGACTGGTAATCTAGAGAGCAAACGGACAGTCGGACAGTCTCAAGTTTCTAAAATATCACGTCGGTGAATGTAAATTATGTGGCTGCTCCATCATTACGGAGGACATACCGTCTGTCAGATTTGCGCTTGCCATGTCCTTCAGCAACGTGAAGGCCTCGCTCTGTTCTACAGCCACTCCTAATGCCTCCGCATCCTTACCAAAAGCTTCAACGTCCAGCGTCATCTGCGCGCGTATTTTCTCCTCGTCTGCCCTGCCATCGTCTTCCTTCGCTGGTTGCGAGCCTCCGAACAGAGAAAATGCTGACTTCTTGCCCTTTTTCAGGCGCCGCAGGGATTCTTCCGTCTTTTTCATAGCCGATAAGAAGTGGATATACCTTTGCACATACTTCATGGGTGCAAATCAATCGGAAAGAATAAACTCACCTCTGCGTCACAATCTCGAAAACCTCCTCGGCATATGCCTGCAAAAACTCGTCTTTCAGTGCCAGCCCTAGTCCCTCGAAAAATCCTTTGACAGGGCGGAATATGAGCGACACAAAGTAACTTGGCTCAGATGGTGTGCGCTTATTCGATGACATGGCTCTAAATTGCGAAGGAATGGAACGCATGGACAGGAGCGCATCGCAACCCCGCCGCGATAGAATGGCAATGATTTGACCTGATGATGGTGGCACAAGAGCGGCGATTGTCGACAGCGCATGCTTGAGCGCATCTAACGACACTACTCCGTCAGTCTCAGCCCCAAAGTGCGATAAGTATGCCTCACCTCCGGGCATGATATCATCTTCAGGACCCAGATCAAGCTCTGGAAGCATCATGCTCAGCTCCTCCCGCCACAGCTTGATCATCTGTGCTTCTAGTGCTCTGATGTCGATAATAGCCGTTGAGAACTGCTGGAGCAATAATTCGTCGGCTGCAGTGGCCTCCGCGGAAGCCGCTTCAGTCGGTAGACTTGGAGTGGCGGCGCGCGATAGTGAAGCAGGGGAACCTGGTATCTGGACACCAAGTTCACTATTCAGGTCTGAGTTGAGTGAACAGTACGGACAACGTACTGTACTATATTTTTCTGCAGCCACGGCTGCTGCGATTTTCGGAGGAGCCTCAAATTGTGGAAGACTGGCATCCAACCACGTTTTGTACCTGCTTAGCAGCTGCAATAACGTCAGCCAAACTTCAAATTTGAGTACTTGGCACGAACCTGGAGAGTGAATTTCCAATACCGATGACCGAGCTCTGGAATAAAGACCTGTGCGCTCCAGCACGTATTGATAGCCTCCCAGACTGCTGCAGCTTGCACCGTGACAAACGGCCCCAGCACTATTTGAATATTCAATATGACAATTGCCAGTAACATAACGACACTGACTCTTGTTGGTCGATCGCTCTAGAATAGTAACGGACAGAGCATCTTCGAGCTTCGTGACGATCTCCTTCCACCGCAACTGAAAATACACAGGAAGCTGCCATCGCCGCTCGAAGGTGGCAAACACAGGGTGCGCTCGCATAACCTCGACGGAATGGACGGATGGCGCCAGGAACTCGAGCGAACGTATGAAAGCTTGCGTAACTTCGTGGTGCTGCGAACCATTCTCAACACCACACATTCACGTAAATCACTCGTCGCGTCTACGTACCTTGCGGAACTCGTCCGGCTTGCCAGCAGCAAACACCGTACCGCCTAGCTCGTCCATGATCGCGCGGCCAATCTCTGCCCACACCACGTTCGCCATAACTTCGAAGCCAGTATCGTCGGCGGAAGGTTTCGTCGCGCCTGCCTTTGGAGGAACCGATGGTACAGATGCGGACGCGCGCGACCCCGATTTCACACATACATTCTCTGCGATCTCCATGATCCGTTTTAGGTCGCGATCTACGAAGCGTAAAATGGTGTTGTAGAGTGCAGCAAGGGGATCATCATGGTCGTCGAGGATATGCGCTGCGACGGCAGACTGGGCGCCTGCTTGCAGGTTGAGTTCAAAAGGATTCTGCTTGGAAGCGAATGCAGTGAAAGGTGTGTAGGGTGTGCGGGGCGGATGTGACGCAGTCAGTGGTGGGGCGGGAGAGAGGATGTTGGGCGCGAAGGGCGTATGGGGGAGGATGGGAGAGTGAGGGGCTGCAAGGGCAGTCGGATGGACTGTCTAATATGAAACATCTTAACCTCCTTAAACAATTGAAAGGGAAAAGGCTGTACCTTTTTGACGAACTCGCGCACCACTTCTCTGCGGAGAACGTCTTCCGCATCCCGCCACAGCCCGAGAGTATCGTAAGTTCGCAGGCACTCGGTAGCATCAGCAAGCCATTTCGAACGTTCAATCTCTGACGCCCTTGTCTCCTTGCCTTGCTGCTTTCCAGTTGCGAGAGATTTTACTGTGCTTGCAAAGATATGGTCGAGGTCAGAAGACAAAGTGGAATGGATCCGGTCAATACGCTGTGGTCACAGATCGCATCAAAAGCAGAACAGAAAGAGTATACATAGCTTACAAACCCACTGTGATTCGTCTACGAAGGCGCTGCCTTCGTCACGCGCTCTAGAGACGTGATAGAGTAGTTGTGTATACTCCACTGCGACACGAGCAAGGTGCTTGGCACGGTTACCACGATTTCTAAGATCATTATCGCATACAATGAAACATCAGACGGTTATGTCTGCATACCTTTCATCTGCGGTGACGTCCTCAATGTGAGATGATGCCTTCAGACCGGACGAGAATTTATCTTCGTCGGATGGTGAGGCAATGAGCAAGAGCGACTCTAGGCGCGTTATGGACTCTGATATCTTGAGAAGCAGATGCAGAAACGTCTAGACCAGAGGTTGCAGTATTTTTCTTACTCCTTGTTTTTGCAGCCTTACCTTTTCTTCTCTGAGAGCCGAGCGTTTTCTCAGCTTGGATTGAATGGCATCCTGTATCGACTGTAAGGTCCCTCTAGCTTCCTAATACCGGAATATGATTCGAATTACTATGCTAATGAACGCGTCGAGGACTGTAAACGTACAAGTACTTGAACCTTGAGGTCACCTAGGGGCCATTTCATACGCTCCAGTCTAGCACCCTCGCCCCTCAAATCAGTGCTGAGACTGATGAAAGCCTCGTAGTCATCGTTGATGAGCTTCACGAGTTCTTCCTTCAATGCAACGAGGTAGTCCCGCAGCTCCAACCGCAGATCAGGGAGGGATGTGTAAGAACGTGACAGCAAGAACTCTTCGACATTGAAAGACCCGATGGACAAGTAAGGGTTGTCGTGCGACAAAGGGACGTAGACGGGGAGGTCGCGTTCGGCTCTAGAGAGTCCGTCGAGATGACCGTTGGTGCGGGATGCAGAAGAGGTAAGCTCGCGTGTTACAAGCTCTTCGGCCAGCCTCTGCAGCTGAAACTTATCCGAAGAACGAGATGTATCAGGGCTTTGTGCTGAAGACATTGGGCATTGCACCGTCACGTAGTCTCCGAATTGAAATCCGGTGGCGTACTGGAGTGCGCGTTTTCGGTGTTATGTAAGCTCATTCATCTCCGAAACCATCTGGGCCCCGCATAACGATTGTCCTACTCTTGAAGAGGCCCTTGCACCAATCCTATCAAGAGGTCGTCTCTTAAGGGCTGCCTACGGGAGACTAACCATCATCGTCGCTGAGAGTAAGATCAATATCAAGCCAGTCCGACTGAGTGGGCGTTTTTCATCCCGTTTCAAGACTCTAAAATCCGCCCTCTACCTGGGGCCTGAGGATTTAACTTGCAGTGTGCGGGCTCTTCAAACGCAACACTGATGTGGCAACATCCCTCAAACAACGACTAGCCGGCGGGGCGAGACGATTGGTCTACTTCTCTGTAGCATCTATCCCGGGGTACATCGCCCCACTTTCACATACCTTGAAAAGCTGCACGCCACTATGAGGGCCGCCAGGAAGTACGACATGGAGGCGGTTCAAAGACATCTGGCTGACGAGCTTGTGAAGTTCGCAGAGCAGGAGCCCCTCCGTGTATTTGCCGTCGCATTCGACCTGGAGCTGTACGAGATATGCCGCAAGGCAGCCAAGCTCTCACTCCGGAAAGCCATCTGCCAATCGGAGAGAGTACCGCTGGAGCTTGGATCTCTTCCATCCCCAGTTTTCTATCAGCTCATGCGATATCGTACCCGGTGCACAGAAGCTGCACAGGAAGTTTTGACGAACCTGCGATGGGTCTTGACACAGATACTGGGCCGCAAGGGCAACAAAATTGTCACTCGTCTTCGACATGACTATGTGCAAGTATCCTACGAATGGCCAGCACTTTGGATTTGGTTCCGATGCACCAGCTGTCTGCCACATTGCGACAAACTTGTACCTTTTTCGGGGGCTGCTGAGCACACACCCAGAATGTGGTGGAAGGAGTATGTGGACAGGGTCTGGTATGCTCTCGAAGGCCGTCCTGTGGGGTCCGTTAGCGGAGAGATGAACATATTCGAGCCATCTATACGTAGGGCTGTGACGTGCACGGTGTGCGCTCCAGACGCCTATAAGGATCTCAAAGAATTCAGTGAGCAGCTGGCCAGCCGTATAGATAAGGCGGTATCTATGGTTGGTCAACCGGTGAATGTTTATTCATCAAAGTGACTCACTAGAATACGGTTCGCTCAGGTTGAATTCAAGTTGGACGTATAATATGACCGGCTGGAGTTAGCTACAGGTCAATTGATGAGCAGAGAAACCGGAAGAGTCCGAGAATATCAAGCACTGGTTCTTGTCAACGACGATCTCCTGTAGATATCGTTATGCAATACAACGCTTAAGACGTAGCTTCCTTCGTGACAGCAAAGTATTCGAATAGAGGTATCGATATAAGACGAGTTATTCATGCCTCCAGCTTCCAGCACAAGTGCAGAACCCAAGGGAGCACTGAGACAGTGCGATATATCACTGTGTGCTAGTTGAGTTATAGTGCCGATCCGTTCAAATACATACTTTCGGTGCCCTCTACAGCGAGTGCGCAATTCATAGCAGTACAGTGGCTTCCCGAGACCACACTTAGGGTGGGATCTAGTCTCTTATGACTCTAGCAGAGTACTTGATACGAGTACGTTCAACCCCCGCTCTTGCAGACTTCCGAGAGATATCCATACTTATCTGAATCGAGATCTGAATCGGAGTCACCCACCTCCTTTGTTTCCCCGAGGCTCTCATCAAAGCCACCTTCTCGCAATTCCCGGGGTGCGCTTCAGGATATCGATGTTGTATCGCAATCCATGCGCGGTGACAGGCGCTCTACCATCCTTACTACCCCTCGATCCTAGAATCACTGCCTTCCATGAGCAGCTACCAGGATACAAACCAACACCACTCCGATCTCTTCCTCGATTAGCTCAAGAGCTGGGGATCGGACAGGTATTGCTGAAGGATGAATCTGTGCGACTAGGTCTCCCTGCGTTCAAGATTTTGGGAGCGTCATGGGCTACGTACCGCGCAATCATCAGATATCTAGGTCTTTCTTCCGGCGCGGCTATATCTCTAGAAGAATTGGCACGAGCTTGCAGCGGTAAGAACATCACGCTGATCGCAGCGACGGATGGCAATCACGGACGTGCCGTTGCGAGGATGGCTAATCTGCTTGGTGTGAGCTGTGTGGTCTACATTCCGAAAGGCTTGGACGTTGCAACAAGAGAGCTGATCGCAGGAGAAGGCGCGCGAGTCCTGGAGACGCAAGGCGATTATGATCATACAGTCCTCCAAGCGAGCGAGGCTGCGTGCGCGCTCAAAGGAGGTATTTTAATTCAGGATACGGCGTTTGAGGGTTATACAGATATCTCACAGGTACGTCTGACATTCTTGCAGAGCGAAAAGACTGGACACACTCATCTATATGCGTATCCCCCGCTTCAGTGGATCGTGGATGGGTACTCGACAATGTTCACCGAGCTGGATGAACAGACATCACAATTAGCAGGAAGCAAGCATGCGGATGTCGTAATCGTCCCTGTGGGCGTAGGTTCGCTCGCTCAGGCTGTTGTCACACACTACAAGCGATCGGGACGCATAAACCGTACCAGCATCGTCACTGCTGAGCCGGACACGGCAGCATGTCTCAACCGATCCCTGCGCAATGCCCAAACAGACACGTCGTCTGGAGCACCGGCAGGTATCCCTACGAGCTCCACCATCATGACTGGTCTGAACTGCGGCACTGTGTCTCCGCTGGCATGGCCGCTGCTTTCCAACGGTGTAGATGTATCGGCATCTGTAGCAGACATTGAGGCCCATAGTGCAGGAGAATACCTTCGCTCTGAAGGAGTCAATATAGGTCCATGTGCTGCGGCACCGCTCGCTGCGCTTCGCCAACTGGTCGCTCAGCCAGACGGGCTACTGACACCCGACAGTGTAGTCGTCCTGCTTGCGACAGAGGGTCCGCGTCCCTATCCAACCCCTCTTGACACAACGACGACCGACCCAGTTGCGCTTACGCAGATTCTGACTCGAATCGACTCGTCTAATCCAGACTTAAGCGCAGGTGCGGGTGCAGGAGAGACGGCAATCGCTGACTATCTGTGCGCCTGGCTCGCACATCACGAATTCGAAGTCCACCGCCTTGAGGCGCACGAGGGTAGACCGAGTGTCATTGGCGTGGCGCGAGGCAGCGGTGGAGGGAAGGCCCTGATGTTTAACGGGCATATTGACACGGTGACGTTGGCCGGATACGATGGTGATCCTCTAAGTGGAGCCATAATCGATGGCGCAGTACATGGCCGAGGAACGTTCGACATGAAGGCGGGCATTGCGGCTTCACTCGTTGCAGCCTATCGTGCGAAGGAGCGACAAACTTTGCGGGGTGATGTTATTCTTGCGCTTGTTGCAGATGAAGAAAATCTGAGCCTTGGGACGCAAGAGGTACTTGCCGCGGGTTGGCGTGCAGATGGCGCGGTCGTCAGTGAACCGACCGAACATGGGCTGATGCTCTCTCACAAAGGTTTCGTATGGGCGGAAGTGGACATCATCGGAAAGGCGGGACATGGATCTCGCCCGGACCTGGCCATCGACGCGATCGCAAAGGCTGGTCACTTCCTCGTTGCGCTGGAGAAGTACGGGGAAGAGCTACTGCATGGTCAAAAGTCAGTGCCGCATCCTCATTTAGGGACAGGAACGGTCCATGCGAGTCTGATCAAGGGCGGGGAGGAGATCTCGTCATACCCAGCACTGTGCACGGTTTCCATAGAGCGAAGAACGGTCCCCGGAGAGACCCCCGCCCTCTTTGAACAGCAGATACAAGAAGTTCTGGACGGACTTTGTGAAAGCGTGCAAGATTTTAAGTACAAATTACGGCTTGGAGACTCGAGACCACCGTATGAGATCAGAGAAGACCATGAGTTTGTGAAATTGTTTGCGAAGCATGTCAAAAACGCGTTAGGGGAAGATGCAGAAATGACAGGAGCAACGTACTGGGCAGATAGTGCGCTACTGGCAGAAAAGGGGATACCGGTGGTTCTATTTGGAGCACAAGGGCGGGGCGCGCACGCTGCTACGGAATGGGCAACTGTCGACAGTATCCACAAGGTCACTGGAGCACTTACAGGATTAGCTTTAGAGTTCTGCGCGTAAAACACTGCAACACCCGCGTGTCTATCACTAGGCTCTTTCGAAGAGTACGTTAGTGACCAGTGGCGCGGGCGAAAATTACTAGAAGAACGCAGTGGATATACCTCTGATGGTTCGACGAAGATAAATATTCGAGAACAACCTCAGCAATTGAACTCGGAACGCGCGAGTGCTCACTACGATGGCGAACTCCAGCGACAAAAACCGCGACTTGTCACAGGCATGTGATCTGTTACCGTTACCCGGTCTTCGAGGCCTGGGGCTCGAGCTCGCGGCGGATTAACAACCGCGGAGTTCGTTCCTACTACGTTCTTCAGCGTGCGCGAATTATTCAATTCACTAGTTCGTGGTCAATGTGGTGCAGAATATAAGAAATTTAGATACAACGTGGTAGCGTGTACATAGACCATGTTCTCGAATATCACTCACCATCACCGTCGACGCAATCTGGGTCAAACTGAATATTGGTGAATAGCACAAATTGTATAGCGTCGAATTGACTACGCTGGATAGTCATAAAATCTTCAAGCGGTGTTCTTCTCAGGTTGGGTCCTTTATTTTGAACCAGTCTTCACTGATACCGAGTCTATCAGTACGCTTGTCCACAAACATCAATTGTCTACATTGTTGGCCCACACTACTCCTTCGATTTAACACAGTTTCAACCCTGTGTGATCTATGTATACGGTCTTGGCGCTCACACGCCGTCGGCAACACTATTATATGAGATGACAATCACAGTTTTGCCCTTGCCTTCGACTCCAGGCTGCAACCAATTAACTTCTCCAGCTCCCGAAATTTGTAGTAGAGCTGTAGGGATTCAGGATTCGCGACCGTGCCACTTGGCTTGAGGTTAGAACCCGAGACGATCTGCTTCACAGCGATCTCAATTTTCTTGCCGTTGACCGTATACTGCCAAGTTAGTGTGGCTCATCAATATCATGTGTTTACCTGTACAGGTAAAGAAAACGTACAGGTATATCCGTAATCTCGAATATGTGCGCCGGCACATGTCTGGGGCTGAGCGTAGCACGTATGGCACTGCGGATCTTGTCGGCCAGCTCGTCGGTGAAGGCGCGCCCAAAGCACATCTTGACGAAGAGCAAAACACGCTCATCTTTATCTTGCTTGCGCCGTTGGCCAACACACAGCGAGTCGTCAATATAGTCAGAGAAATTCTCCAGCACCGAGTAGATTTCTGCTGAACCGAAACGAACGCCGCTCGGGTTTAACACACCATCGCTATTCGAATCACAACAATGTTAATACAATCGGCGATGCAACAGGCAGACTTTGAGCGACAGCTGCGCTTACCTGCGTCCGAGGATCATGAGCCCCTGCGTCTCAACGTTCTTGACAATGAAGTCGCCCTGGCGCCAGACGCCTGGAGTCGATGTAAGCGCAAATATGTTTGCGAGCTACAGATACAATTACCTGGATATTGCTCGAAGTACGCCTTCCGAACCTTTTCGCCGGAGTCATCGCCCCAAAATCCGAGCGGAAGACATGGATGCGGCCGAGTGCACACTAGTTCTCCAGGGACACCACTATCCTCAATGTTCTTGCCATTGTCATCAAAAATCTCCACTTTCATCCCGAGGAGCTTTCCTTGGATCTCTACAAGCAGTATCATGCACCTGTAAGAGACCCGACCTGGCACGTGGAAACGTACCTCCTGCATGCACCGGGAGCATAGGAACCCCTCCAACAACTACGAGGGCATCCATGTTCAAAACTAGACTTCCTAGATCTACACACAATAATAGACTGCTTACATGCCCCGCATACATCCGTCCCACCGGATACCGAGATTATGTGTAAGTCGGAATTGAATGCGTGTTGGGTCCATTCGAACATTGGAGCAGTCAAGACAGATCCGGTGGATGAGAGCGTGCGCAAGCACTCGAATGACGCGACCTGTGCTGCGGGACAAGGGTTCACATCTGCTGTTGATGCTAATCATCAAGTCTGAATACTTACATGGCTGTATGCCCTTCGCATGGACGTCGGTGAGAAAACGTGGGCTAGTACCGAAAACGGTTACTCTTAAGAGCAGCGTGTGAGACAGTATGTGAACGGATACTGGACGAATAAATTCTCACCCTTCGCGACTGAGGAACTTCAGGAAATCACAAACATCTGGGTAGAAGGGCGAGCCATCATATAAAATTATCCGGCTCCCACAAGCGAGTCCTTGTAGCATATAAGGCCACATCATCCAGCCAGTCTGGTAGTAAGACCCAAACTAAAGATAATGTTGCGTTGGAAGGACAAGTACATACCGTGGTGAATTGGAAATACGTGTCGTCAGGCGATAGACCGAGTGAGAAACGATGATCTTTCTTGACTTGCAATAACACGCCCTAATGTGCGATGTATCAGGTCGTCCACAATTTTTTGAGGGGCAGGAGCTTACCCCAGCTGTGTGAATAATACACTTGGGTGGACCAGTTGTTCCGGAAGAATACAAGATATACAGTGGGTGGTTGAACGGCAACTGCTCGAAAACCAGCTCTCGATTATCGCCTGTAGCAAGGAAAGCGGACAGTGACATGCTACGTACATTGACAACGATAGTTTAAGCCCGATGTCTGAAACAGAAGCAAAGTACTCACCTGCTTGGTACACGAGCCATCTCGTGAGTAGACAAATTCTCCCCACTCTTTGTACTCGGTAGTAACACAACAGTTTGTAACCCATACGACCCAAGGGCCTGCGCAACTTCTGTTACTTTAGGCATCAGGTTAATTGGCTTACCCAACCAGGTAACTTCCGTCTCCGAGAATATGATCTTGGGACGGATTTGTCGATACCTATCTAGAATGCCCTACTGCACATGAGTAGCTCGATCTGTTGTGACTATCAGGGACCCACTTGAGTACCCATGTCCGTAGCAGTGCTGGAGAAGATCGCGCCAATGCTCGCTGATGCTAGAGCTATCACTGCAGCAGGCATAGCATTTGTAACGATGGCTTCGGGAACACGATGAGGATTTTTGAGGAATTGGGAAACGGCGAGATCATACCTGCAACTCTATCTCCCGAGATGACACCATTCACTCTCAAAGCGGCTGCCATTTCCTTCACCAACAGCCGCAATTGTCGGAAACTATAGTGTTCTACAGAACCAGTTTCACGGGCTGCAGTACACGCAATAGCGTCGTCTTGGCGATGTAAAACATTCTCTGCATAATTAAGTCGCGCGCCAGGAAACCAAGTGGGGATTTCTTTCATGTGGCCTTCTTCTAATATCTGCGTAGAGACTTATGAACATAAATTTCTAGAGATCTTAGACAGCGAGTACCGTTAACCTTAGCTGGAGGGACTGAATATATGATGCCCGTGAACTCCCATAAGTCTAGCCAGAATTGATCCTCTTCTACGGACCACTTATACAGTTCATGATAATCTCCTACAATCATACAACCCCTAAGCGGAAACGCGCTGGAATCAACGTGGATAAACACGTACGCAGGTGAAAGCCATGTTTCCGATTTACCATGCGTCGGAACGCGTCCAGCGCAGTGCGAGCAGGATTTGCCGGTCGCCAAATAAGCCGGGACTGAGCGAAATGCGAATCCATATGTTCTCCGATGTTCTCCCAACCTAAGCTGCCAGCAGAGAGCCTGAGGGTCTCACGAACACGGTAGACTGGAGATCGGTAGGTGTGCTGAGCCCAGGACGTCCGTTCCGCGAGCAAATAGCGGCAACGAAGTCATGGCAATGGGTTGCCAGAGTAAGCGAAATGGAGATGTCAGCTGAGCCTCCGCTGGTCTTCCGTTGCCTGGTTCGCTGTCTCTTCATGCAATTAGATTCGCGTCAGCCTGAGGCGTATATATTGGGTCGGTGGCGTAGTTGGTTATCGCATCTGTCTAACATATGCACACAGAAGGTCCTCAGTTCGAACCTGGGCCGACTCATTTTTTCTTTCTCCTTTTGGCCATCAGTACGGTCTAATTCTAACCACGGTCACTTCGAAATATGTATCTGGATTGAACTATGTCACGTACAATGAGAGAGTACGACAGACAGCAACATCAAAGTCAAACGAGTAAGCAGCGTTCTCTTGATGATGAGTCACTACACGTAGATATTTCGCAAACGTGTCTGTACTTTTGCCATGCTGACAATACCTGACTGTCCCTAATTTAACATGGAAACAGAAGGTGGAATGGTTCCGCAGACAGCTCTTTGGAACTCCAATACAAGGACTCGGACATCATTAAGAATGATGAAGTTTTGAGAGCGACATTGCCGGTCTCAATCGAGCTAAAGAACACGAAGATAGCAGCCCTGGAAGAATCCCTGGCGAAGGTATTGGCCTAACTTACAGCAGGACAAGCTGCTTCGCAAGTACTATGAGGCTTCTGCAGTCGGAGCGTTCACACAATACTTGATGCAAATTCTCCTGTCATTTGCGGAAGTGCAAAGGACCCGAGTCCGCGTAAATGAAGAGAATATGCGTGAAGCTGCAACTTCGGATATGCAATCTAAACATCCACCGGAGATATGCTGCCAATACCGATCCTTGGGTGAGTGGAATCGCTCCTTGACAAAAATGTCTGGACGACCCAGGGAGTCTTGATTAGCTGAGATATTTACCGCTACATATCGGGGCCGCGGCGTCGATCCGGAATCTAATCTCAGATCTTGGTTGAATTACGTTGGGACTCGTCAAATCACCAGCGACGTTGTGCTACTTACAATCGACAAAGTGTTTTATCAGCTTCCAGGCGATATTGATATTTCCTTAATCCAATCTGGGGCCCGCCGACAACTACTCGAACGTAAACAGTGGCTCGGAGGCAGGTCGATCCGGAATTTCAAAAGTATGAACGATGCTCGCACAGAAATGCAATACCACAAGGATATTATCCGAAATCTGGAAACCCTGAACCAAACCTTGCAAGACACCGTTCGCCTGCAAAAGACGCGGATCGTGGCCTTGGAAGAGGCGCTTGCTCGGGTGACAGACAACGCACCCCCACAACTTGAAGCAGCCGCCGCAGTAGCCCCTCCCATTTCCTCTGCCAACGTGAACGGAAGCCATCCGAAATTGGTTCCAGATGTGCGGTTCAAGTCTCAGATATCAGAGACCCATAACTCGCTGACTGCTGCCACCTACAGGTGGAGACTCGAAAAGTCGAGCCTAAGCCATCTCCAGATGGTCGCCGTCTAGCCACAGTTCTCGGTAGCGCGACCAACCCCTTCGTTTTAGATCTCCATGACATGCCATCTGATTGTGCCCCGGCTGATCCTTCGGGCTCGGGCTCTAGGAGCGTTCAGGGCAGCGTTACAGAGTCTGGCGCCAAGGTAGTACCATCTGCATATCTTCAGCTGGTTGCATTCTGAATGAACTCAACTAGCCAAGACCACGGTGCGAACCATGCCCCCAAAATGCACTCGATGCAGGTCACATGAGTGAACAGAAATGTGCGCCCCGCGCGACTGACACGCCTAAGAGGAAACGAGACATTATTGATCCTGCTGGAATCACCCAGAACCGAAAACGCATACGCCCATCTGTGCGAGAACAAAGTCCATTTTACCAACGAAGTCCATCTTACCGTCCAACGCCTCCTCCAGCTGATGACAATACGGGCCCAGTGGCAAGGATAGATGGTTCTGAGAGTGGTGTGACGACGCATACCCTCGGGGGAGACCAGCCTAGCCAGAGTAGAGACCTCAGAAATGCCAACAATACTGAAGCTGGGGTTGGATGGCTTGTGATAGATGAAGAAGACGATTTAAAGCCTATCGAGTGGAAGCTGGAAGTTCAACCACTGAGGGTTCGATCCTCTACCAAGCGATTTGCATGCTCAAAGTGTTAATCATGCCATTCTACAGATCGATTTAGATGCTAGTGTCAAGCTACCAGAAATCCAGGTCGACGTCAAGATGGAAATAGGTCACGCGCTATTGAATGCGGACATTATTCAAGCACGCCTACTCGCCATGAGCGTACAGAGCTACCCGGTCACGGTCCGTCCTACACTACGGGACATCACAGTGAATCGTAAATTCATGAGCCAAGTATACGGAGGGAGTCCTCAAAGCATGTGTCCATCAATCAACATGAAGAATCGCACACACAGATTCAGAAATTTCCTTTTCCCCACTCTCATGCTGAATCCGCACGCGCCCAAAGAGCCGGGTGAGCCAGGCCTGCTGCTGAGAGTGACGAAGGATGCAGCATGGCAGCCCGGTGATCAGAAACTTTTGGTAGGACTGCGGCAAGGCACGTACCGGTACATGGGGGAATACACCATGGTGCGAGCAGAGCCACTCTCTCGCGAGGAGTATAAATCTCTTCCTGCAAATGTGAGTGCGCGAAGCGGTGTGCATAAATTTCGGAGATGCAGAACGTCATGCTCATATGCCTCCACTATCATCTGTAGGCTAAACGAGAATGGGCGGGAGAAATTCTGCGGAGGCGGAAAGACAAAGGGCTGCGCGTCCGAATTATACTACGCCGTGAAAATCCCGGTCGCGAACCCACAGAACAAGAAGTCAAGGAGGCCATCGGTGATACAAACAATGAATACCGAAACGTCAACGAGGCAGAGATTATCCGTGCTTTCAAAACTGGACAAGAGGTAAATTCTCTCGCCAGCTTCTATCGGTATACGTATTGATTCGCGTGTAGACGATGTCAGTGTGGTGCATGAAGAGTGTGGGATACGACGAGGGCTTCCAGCGTGACGTTGCGCGATACCGTTAGAGATGATCATATTACTCACAAGGTCTGTGCATTCATTAGCACAAAGTGGCATATCCCGCACTCGCACCTCATCATATGGTTTTGACAGAGAATATGTATATAGGAACCTACATGGCATCTGTGCCCTTCCTTGGAACGTCACTGGATAGACTATTGTTATAGGGATGGTTCGATTCAGCAATTGTACATGATATGGGTATAAGCAAATTGGGGTTATCGAGTGCAAAATGTCGCACAATGATCGGAGATGAGTGTAAAATGTGTCACCATGACCTAGAACCAAGCGAAATCATCAAAGTAAATGTGGTAGGGATGAAGAACGAGACATGTTCTATCCATCCATCTGAACATCGATGTCCATCATGTCTTCTTTTAGCAGTCGTCGTCGCCCACAATCCCATTTCTTAAGGTATTGTTCACACCTCGCGCGAAAGACGAGCAGACCGTCCAAGAAGCCGGGAGGCAACACATCTTTCCTCTGCACCCAAGGCTTGATGTCGACCAAATCGCACCTGTCCAGACAAACCAGAATCATCCCAAAGCTGTACGCATCTGCGAGGCGCGCATCCTGACATTCCCCGCGCAGGACCTCTGGCGCAGAGAACGGGCGCGTTCCGGGGTGGATTTGTTCGACTTGGCGGGGCGGAGACGGCGGCGGAAGGACGACAGAAGGGACGTGGGGTAATTTATGTGCGAAGCGAGAGGCGGGAGGAGGGCGTACCGGCGGCTGCAGTGGTGGGGGCTCTGCGAGGTTCTCCAGCGGGGACGCGTAAGTAGACTCTGCTGAGACAGAGCGGCCAAAGTCAAGCAGCTTGATGGTGTCAGATGAGTGGGTCACCTGTACATTAAGCAGCGAGAGATCCCCATGGCTCAGGTTGAAGGAATGCAGGTGTGTCAGCCCATCAAGCAGCTGGTTGTGGTAGTCAATCTTCTTACTTCGCATGAGCTCTGGCCGCTCGCGGACGACGGCCCAGAGCGTACGTCCGTCGATGAACTCGAGGGCCATGCCGACGTTCTCTATACAACCAAGGAAAGCCGTGATATTCCTGTGCCGCGTCACAGTCGTGTAGACGCGAAGCTCCGCGAGGAACTGTGTCATGACATCGTTTGCATTGGATTGCATTTCTCCATTAATTTCAAGCTGGACGACATTTGGCTTTTTGACAACGCACTTGAACAGTTCGGAGGCAGAACCCGCCTCAAAAGGTGCCAGATTGTGAGTAGGATTAGGAGGGGCCGAATATGTTGTCGGAGTAGGGAATGAGAATATTGAGAGGGGGTTGTTGGGTGGAGGGAAGGCTGGGATGGATGGGCCTGGCGTGCGAGCGGTTTCATAGCTTGTGTATGGATTTGAAACAAAAGGAATATGTTGATGCTCGTGCGGCGGGGCCTCGTCTGCATAGGGGGTGATTGGGGGATTTGCGCTCTCCTGTTCATCGTCGAGCTCGACTGGAGAATGTCAGTTATTGCTGTCTGGACCAACAAGCACGAACATACCCATCCACCAGTTTTTCTTCGACGTTAACGTGACTCGTCTGACATGTCGTTTGGAGGTCATGATTGCATGGAGGAAGTCGCTTCAGTCGATGCTCTTACCCTGTGCGTCAAAGGAGTAGAAGTCGCTCGTATGCTACACCACATAAGGAAATTCCCGCCTCGCTGTCGCGTGGTTCGACATGGCAAGTCGTCACGGCGCAGAAACTCTCAAGTCCGCGTTCAGGTCGGCACACTCATGTCAGCTTATCACTACAGAGCTCCGTGGCCATGCAGACCATGCAGAAGCGTGTTCGAGAGAATAACAACTGATTCATATTATGATCTGTCAAGTCGGGGCTGCCAGGGAATTCATCAATGCGTGCGTATTGCAAGCGGTATCGCAGAGTATAGTTACAATTTCAGACATTACAATAACATTATACATGCACACATGATACAAATACAGCGAAGAAACCAGGTCAAATCCACGCACGAACACGCTTACAAGACACTACGCTGCCACTGCGCGGGGCAACCATCTGCGACGGCCAGGTAGCCCATAAAGTCGCTGGTCAAAAACTCGCTCGGCCACTCCTTCCTAACTTGATTCTTCAAGTACTTGGCGACGATGTCCAGGTTCTTCTCACTAACCATCGCCCCTTTCACCGTCGGCACGACCTCATCCACAACGGAGTCGATATACTCCGGGGTTATCACGCTGCCGGTATCCGCTACGCGCAGGCCATACTTGACCCACTGCCACAGTTGTACACGAGTAATCTCCGCCGTCGCGGCGTCCTCCATGAGATAGTTGAGAGGGATGCAACCATTCCCGCCTAGCCACGCCGCGCTGTATGCGAGTGATGTTGCAACGTTCGAGCGCACACCTTCTGACGTGATCGTTCCAGGTACGTTGCTGCTTAGAAGATCAGCGGCCGCGACCTTGACGTCCTCCCGACGAATGTGGTACTGCAATCACGGAGATGAGCGAAGGATTTACATGTATTGTACGAGTCTGGCTCACCTGATTTGGGCCCAGCATATACTTGTCAAAGATTTCCATTGCGATCTGATTGATAAGTGGGTGTGCGATCCAGGTACCGTCATGACCGTTCGTAACCTCGCGCAGCTTGTCTGCGCGAACTTTCTCCATAGCGACTTCATTGGCTTTGAGATCATTTTTGATCGGGATTTGGGCAGACATTCCGCCCATGGCCGCCACACGACGCCTGAGAACAGGAACACTTAGTTTTTCCGACATTGACCCCACGTCAACTAAGGACGCACCTGTGACAAGTCTGGATAAGGAGACGAACGTAAGAGTCCATGAAGTGGACCTCCATTGTGACATCCTTGCGGTCCGGGAGGACAGCGCGCCTGTCGGCCCTCCGCTTTTTAATGAAACTGAAGATGTAATCCCATCTAATGTGCATGGTCAGAAAGTCGCCGTTATGAATGGAAGCAATACTACTTACCGACCGCAGTTCAAGCCGGAGGAATGAGTCCTCAACTCGAAGAGGATTTCCTCCATCTGGAAAGCCGCGGGAAGGGTCTCTATGAGAACAGTTCCACGGATGGTTCCCAGTGGGATGCCAATGTAGGACTGGGAGAAGTTGAACACGTCATTCCAAAGTCGCGCCTCGAGGTAGTGCTCCATCTTAGGCAAGTAGAAGTATGGACCGGATCCCCGAGCGACAAGCTCCTTTGCATTGTGGAAGAAATACAGACCGAAATCGAAAAGCGAGCCAGACATGGGAGCATTGTCGACCGTCACGCGAGGCTCATCAAGATGCCATCCACGCGGACTACACGGGAACGGTATCAGAACCTCCTGACTAAGAAGGGTCGTGTGCACGCACCGAACAATGAGGACAGCGGGCTTCGCGCTGAGCTTGTACGCTTTCCCCCCGCTTTCAAAATCAATCTTTCGAATGATAGCATCCCGCAGGTTCACTTGACCGTTCACCATGTTTGAAAACGTGGGGCAGTTCGCGTCTGATGAGACGCGTCAGGAGTCTCGGCGGCCGCGCGGATATCGCGTACGCACCTTCGAAATCAGCCATGAATGTCTTCGCGCCGCTATTGAGGGCGTTGATGACCATCTTTCTGTCTGTCGGGCCCGTAATCTCTACCCTCCTGTCTTCGAGACCGGGGGCAGGAGGTGCGCAAAGCCACGACGGGTCGGCGCGAATGTGTGCGGTCTCAGAGGGGAAGTCGAGCGGCTGGCCCGCGTCATAGCGAAGCTGGGCGGCCTCGCGAGCAACGAGGAGACTCTGGCGGGTGGACTCGAAGGTCCTGTGGAGAGCCGCGAGGAACTTGAGCGCACTCTCGGTGAGGATCTCGGTCTGTGCCTGGGGTGCTTGCTTTGTGTGAATCTGGACACCGGTAATCATGGTGAGTGGAGTTATGAGTGCGATGGTGAGAGGGAGTGATAGGAGGAGAGGAAGGTACGAGGAAGAGACGAGCAGCTGGGCGAGCGTATAAGTAAGAGGCCGGCACTCCGTCTGGGAGAGCGGCGAGGACGTCATGTCCCCCGAGGCCAATTTCACGTGCGCACCTGGACCCCGGGTCACCCGATCGACTTCCCTTTCCGTCCGTCCCGTCGCCCCCGGAGTCCCGCCTCCAGCCCCGGCTATCTCCCCAGCCGACAGCGCTGGCCACGGCGCGCCTTCCTGCTCGCGTCTCGTCCAGCGGAACGCAGCATCCAACCCACTCCGTGTTGCCTTGGCTCGCGTTCGGCCCTCGCTTCGGACACTCTCGGACTCAGTGCGACCAAGATCAGCGCGCGCGAATCTTATTATCATTGGGCTCACTGCAATTCTGCCGAGGCTCCAGCTCTTTCCCAAGCACCCCGCTCAGGCCTGGGGCGCCGCTCCGCGGGTCATCCCACGCGTCAATACACTCACACAACTTGGCTCAGACATATGGATAAAGTATGCAGGCGTGTTCCGGCCGAAGTACATCCACAACATGGCCAATATGTCCCAGTCGCAGGGTAACGCTCTACTCGACCTTTTCCTTGCGTTCCATCGGAACCGGCGTCGACACTGCAGCGTCGCCCAAGCATGTCCATGAGCGTTAGGATGTTCGGGAGTTCCGCCGAAGCTCACCTGCCGTAAGATCCTTTGCCACTCGTTCCCCTACCTTGATCACTCTCCTGCACGCCATCTGCCATACTCCGCAGCTTACAGACCCTGAGGGCGCGAATGGGAATGACAACCACCACGTCAAGGGGCCGAACCACCCTGGTGGGAGGTAAAACACTGCGCTTTTGCGGTACCACCAACCCACAATGAATTGTAGACCCGCAGTTAGAAGCCAAATTGTTGTGTTGAATTTGAGCGAGAATGTGCTTCTTGTGGTGGATAGCTCGCTATCTATAGTGAGGACGAGACACGTGTGTGAGAACGTGTGTGAGAACCAATCTCGCATGGACACCAAAACTTCAAATCGTTCCGGAAGACATGCTTCCCTGTCGCAGAGTCGATACCAACTAATGTTGGTATATCCCGTGAACCGACATATAGATCCTGCGCAGTCGCGAAAATAATTTCGAGCTTTTATGATCGACAGGCCTTGTCAAACTGCGATCGAGCGGTAGAACGAACACGTCAAATGAGATGAGCCGTAGAGGCGTAATCTCCTGGAGCAGGGGCATGCAGAGTCGTACCAAACGTGGACTGCAGCCGCCAAACCTGAACCAGAAGCGCCCGCTAGTTTAGTCACGAATAACGTGCAGCAGATCAGAGGTCTCTCCACGCATGTCTCAAATGGGACAGCGGGTGACGAACTGCAACAGACCGAGAATGACTAGGCGAAGACTCACTTAGTTTCTCAAGATCCGCGAGCCCCTTATCCACGCTCCGCCGTAGCTTCGCCCACTTGGCGAATTGGTCTTGCGCACTCGTCTGCAGGAGCTCTTTCTTCCCCAGGAGGATGTCCGACTTGAGCTTCCGCTGCCGCGCAACCGCGCTCGAGTAGAATATACGCAAATATAATGCATACACCTGGCACCATGCGCCATTGCACCGTCAGCGAAACGCGCCCCCGGTGAGCTGGCAGGATGACTCACGAATTCCAGTAGCACCGACTTGCCGATCCAAGAGATTAGCTCGGTGATGAAGACAAGTATGAATATGGTTGCTAGTAGTGTCATATTGGGAGAAACAAGAGTCTAGATTACAGTGTGGTATGGTAGCGATTCAGAAGCTCGGCGGCATACGGTCGTCAGAGTACAGCGAGGTGCGCATCGTGTTGCCCCAGTCGCGTCACTCATATTCACGCCCACGTGGCCTGGGGAGGGGTATAAACGCCCGTTGCATTTTCCGAAATCCTACCCTGCATCACATGATTCTTTTACTCTTAAGGAATAACGGGCAACAGACTCAGACATGTTCAACTTCACCAAGTCAGAACCAAGAGAATCTGGCTGAGATTCGTGTACTTGCATCATTAGGGAATGTTTCGTATTCACGATCTCGGCCCGGGAGACATATATCCAGCACCAAATAATAATTGAAAATGGCGACACTTGACGTTCCGTCCAGGGCAAGGAAGAATCATCGCTGTAGTGACACAACAAGCATTCTGGCTGAATATACATCTAATAGGCGTCATGGTTGCATGCAAATGTTTTAGCGGACAGCCATAGGCTAATAGCGGAGGAATACATGGTGCGTATGCTGATGCGTGAAGTCGACGTGGTGCGGATATCTCTTCTCCTTCTTTCCCACAGACAGAAGTCAAACAGGGTCGAATGGATAGAAGAATTTAAATGTTGAGCTTCGTGCGTCTCCAGTGGCGGCGCTTCGCGTTGTACTACATTTGCAGACATGGTCACAAACTTTATTACGCAAAAAAATCGCCAATAGATACGCACCTGGATTTTGGTATCCGACTTTAAGCGGAACCACTGAGGAATAGGCCTGACGACAGTAGTGGTTCAGTAAACGGTCATACGTTCGTATACTGGTCTTCCTTACCGGTTCTGGCGGGCGGCCTTCGCGAGGATGCGCTTCGTCCTGAAAGTCTTTTGGGAAGGCTAGCGAGAAGTATCCATCTCAGTATCTACCATCATCAACAGCCAAAACGAATAGGAACATACCATCGTTTCTTGACGTCTGGGAGTCGGCGTGTAGGTCGGTGGAAAGGGAGGAAAAATAAGGTTACGGAGATCGAGCTCTGTACAGTTCTGACTAATCTACTCGATTAGGTAAGTGTATCTCCAGGGTCTCTGCGCAGACCACGTTCTCACGACTGCCAATGGAGACTGTAGACGTGTCGTCGTGATCATGCTCCCGTTGAAGCCGCGTCTGTCCCAGTCTGCGTGTCTGACTTGTCTTCCTCGCACTGCGACTTAACCACGATGAGAGTTGGACTCCTAAGCTATGTCTTTGCGTTGTTCTTTGCATTAGCTGTTATTGCGGACGCTCCGGAGCCTCCCACAACGCTTGAGATCCAGACTACCTACAAGCCGGAGACCTGTTCGGTGCTGGCTCAGGCTGGCGATGCGCTCTCAGTGCACTATGTGAGTCGTTAGCGCGTCGTTCTGCAAAGGAAACACTGCGCCGGTCTTTGGAGTGAGAATGAATAATATCGTCCGCTTCAGACCGGAAAGTTGTTCTCGAATGGCAAGAAGTTTGATTCAAGGTAAGCCAGCTTATCTAGAGGCTTGTCGGAGACGCGACACTGACGTATTCCTCATGTAGCCTTGACCGCAACAAGCCGTTCACCGTGACACGTAAGTGTTGACTTGGCTACCGTGCTGCGTAGTGCACACTGAAACTCGTAACTAGTGGGTAAGGGCCAGGTAATCAAGGGCTGGGAAGAGGGTCTTAAGGGAATGTGCGTTGAGGAGAAACGCACGTTGACTATCCCTTCAGATATGGGCTACGGTGAGTGCTTTCCCTTGAATGCAGTGCATAATCTTAGCGGCGTTGCAGGAGCGCGTGGATTCGGCTCGGTCATACCTGCCAACTCTGCTCTCGTCTTCGACGTGGAATTACTGTCATTGGACACTAAAAACCGGCGCGAAGAGCTGTAGTGCCTTTGGGTCTGCATTTTTACCAACGGACAGTGATGCCTTGGATCATAACGGATGTACCGGTACTCGCGCGGTTGCAATTGTATACCGACAAAGTCATGCTATCCATAACTCGTGGGCTGCCCTCCGAGACGAAAATCGGAGTGAATTTTGTGTCGTTAGTGTGCCGAAGGTGCTCATCATGTCTTTGACTTGCTTGGATCTATCAGAATGGTGAGTCTTGCCAATACTCCCGCACTACGTAGGTACTAGCTAGGCTACGTTATGGCTTTTTTAGAATGCCCAAGCATACCGCTGTTTCTCGCCAAAACACTAGCAACTAGTATGTGAGAAGAGTTCTGACGGCCCGAGTAACGGCGAGAGAACTCTTCTGGAAGGACCTGGATTTAAGGTAAAGTTACCGGAGAGATCACGTAGCAAAAACCATAGTGATAAGTATATCCATTAATTATCCTCACGGCGAACCATTCTCGGTGATGCGTGCGTTCTCTCCTACCATGTACTATGAGCGCAGCTTCGCAGTAGTGGGACACGATCGGCTTATAGACGAAACAGACGTCTAAGCCTCAAAAAATGTACGTCAGCGAGAGCGTACCTTGATGGTTCTGCCAGAGTGAGATATGGTAGCCAGACTTCTCCGTGCCCCCAAACTCGACACTCGTACTTGACGGGCAGCTTCTCTCCATGGATACAGTTTGACGGAGACACACCGAGTTGTAGATCCATTTCTAGATAGAATACCATGGGTGTCTATACGACACCTGTTTATAATGGTAGCCATACCACAATGAACACAGCATGAATGACATACAGGAGTCAGGAATACAGACAGAAGCGGCAGCGAATCCTTTCACTTCGGCGCTCCTTGTGACTTCAGCTTATCGCTTACGAGCTGCTGGAACTCCTCCCGCAAAATCGTCTCCCTCCGTTCCCGCTCCTCCTGCTGCAGCTTCAAAATCCCGCGTTTCTCCTCCGCACTGATGACCTGGTTCTCCTTCCGCATCCGCACCGCGTTCATGCGCCTGTGCCGGCTGCCGCTCATGACGTACCCGACCGACTCAAACGCAGCAATCTCGTCCGACGCCAGCCCGATCTCACCACGCCGCGGAATGCGCAAGTCCGTGCCGTCCTTAAGGAACGCCGCCATTGCGCTACCCTCGCCCCGCAGCAGTGCACCACCATACTGGCGCTCGTCAATCTTGCGTGACGACTGTACCTTGTTCACAGGCTGCGGACCGACGCCGTCGTCGGATTCGTCATCAGTGCCAGCATCTTGCACCAATCGACCTAAAGATGTGACAGGCGGAGGAGGCATGGATATTGTCGATGCCTTGAGCGGACTACCGTGGCTCTGGGCGGGCGGAGCAACCGCAGCAAGGAGCCCCGAGGCGCTTGGTTTCTCGACCCAGTCGTCCTCATCAACCGCGGAATGGGGAGGCGCCTCAGGACTTTTCGTCCGTGTGGCGCTCCGTCGCCGATACCTGTCCTCGCTCCTACGTCGGTCCCGCTCCTCGCTCTCAGCGCGGCTCTTGCGCCGCCGCTTCTCCCGCTCGTCTTCCGAATCCCCTTCGTCGCTGTGCCACATAGATTTTGACCTGTGTCTGTGCCGGTCGCGCTCTTCAGACCTGTCCCTGTCCTTCTCTCGCGTCTTTTCCTTCCGTGCCTTCTTCCGCTCCTTCCGTCGGCGCCGGTATTCCTCTTCGGAATCCGTGTCCGAGGATGCATCAGAATCATGTCGTCGCTTGTGTGACTTCTTGCGTCTTTTTGAATTTCCATCAGGTGATCTGCGGCGAAGCCCTTTCAGTTTCACAAACTTAGGTATGAGCGTTAGAGGTACATACAGGTTACGTGCCGGCGCCTTCGGCGAGGGAGGCCAGATGGAGAACGAGCTACTTTCTCGCTGTTGTCGTCGACTAAATTGCACCAGTCAAAAACTGCATAATGCATCGTGAAGCTGAATGATGGACATACCTCTCCATAAAATCCCCAGCATATCCACCGTTCATCGCGCGATCCCTAACCCTAGGGTACATGTTCTCTTGCTGTCTCCACGGTGCCTGCGGAAGCGCAGATCCTTCGTGCTCCCGGGGTGGGGACGGACGGCGATATTCCTCGTACTCAGGACTCGGGCGACGGGTCCTGTCACGTTCCTTCTTCTCATCTCGTTCATTGTCGCGCTCGCGATGAGTGCTCTTGCTGCGATTACGGTTCTTCTGCTGACCTGCGCCACTGCTCACGTCGTTGAAGTAGTCGTCCGCACGGGCACGCTCATATCGCCTGCTACTCTCGCTGTCCCTCTGTTTGCTTCTGTCTCGCTCCCTGTATCTGTGACTGTCTCCATTTTGCGCTCTGCGAGTATTATCCCTGCGGTAGTCTTTGTCTGTGTCGTGAGAGGGTGAATGTCGGCGCGAATATTGGGGGGATGGGGATCGTCCGCGATCTCGTCTCGACGATGGATGGGTATCTTTTGGGTCCTGAGGAACGAGGCCCATACGTGAGGGGTGTACAGTAGCCATGTTCAGGAAGAATCGTTAAGATTATGATTCGGGTGTGGTGACTGCTCGCAGTAGTAAGTAAAATAGATCCAACTGTCAGTAGACTAAGGTGGCGTGGGAACTTCTGCCTTCTCGGTGGCAACCGCGCAAGTTCCGCGATTGCGTTATGTGTACTCAACGAGCGCGAGCACATACAAGTGGAAACAGCGGACACGAAAAACCCATTGAAACGGTAGCTGTGTACATGATTCATCCGGTCGTTAACGTCGTCAAATTAACAATCATTGTAGGTGTTGAAAAACGAGGATAAAGTGAGATAGGATGAAGCTGTCGAGATTCAGAGCAGAGTCCATGCCAACCCTCACATCTTGTTTATCGTCACTTGAGCACCATATCGCAGAGCACGACTGTACGCACAGAACTTCACAAAATGTCAGGAGGGAACTCAGGTAAAATGAAGAACGGTTACCTCATGTGCGGCGTTGATGACCTCGTCGTCGTCGCAACCTTCGATGGTGACATCCACTCGTAGACCAAATCCTTCGATATTGGGGTCCTCTGGATGGCCGAGGAAAACGTTTGTATGCACTTTCGCGTTCTCCGCAATATGCTTCTTGTTTGCCCGCGCTGCCATCAGCTGCAGCGAGCCAAGGAAACAAGCTTTGAAACGATTGCATTGGCAGGGTCATACGAAGGCTGAAACTGAAACTTACAGGCATAGCCCATACCAAAAAGTTGTTCGGGATTACATCCATCTCCCTTGCCACCAATGATCTTTGGAGTGGCCATCTTGAGCTCAAGGGGCGAGTCGCCGACGGATTTAACAATACCATTACGACCGGATCCTTCGGCAGTAGCTTTGGCAAAGTACTGGGATCCCCCGAAGACTTGAGTGGACTCGATAGCTGGGCGAAGGTACACAATATGCTTACAACGTGATCTTTCAATGCGAGCATGTTTCGAGCATCAGGCATGTTCACACTGCGAGCATGGTGAATGCCAGCACCGATGGCACGGAAAACTGCCTGAGTGGGGCGCATGAGAAACCAGACAGATAGTTGGGAGTAGCAGAATTAGGGGTTGAATTAATTGCTGGTGATGTAGAGATTGAGCCGAGGTTTAATTTCTAGGCAAGAGCAAACTACACTCGAGGACGAGGAAGAGGATGTCGTAAGTGGAACGAAGGACGTGAGAGGAAGATAACAAGATGCTTAGATTTTTATTCACATCTATCAGCTTGCACCCGAGGGTGGCGAATAGCGCAAAGCTTGGCGTCAGATCTCAATTTGACCTGCGTTGTCCAGTTCCCAGACATTGCAATGACGAAAGCTTGGAGCGGCTTGTAAAATCCTTGCCGTCGGTCGCCCTTTCTAGCTATCGGATTGCACCGGACCGACCCTCGTCGCCTAGGCATACTTATCGTCGCGCTTGTGGCGCCCCAAGTAGCCATGCTCGATGACATAGATGACCCATTCTAAGAGTCTCTCACTGCGCGTTGCGAGGCACAGGTACCCCTTTCCTAAGACCTTCTTCCCAACCACAATGGAAATACCTTGTGCACTGACTCACCAAAATTAGAGACTAAAAACGGCGCACTTCTTGGGTCAGGGCACTATAATTATATTCAACAATCAGGCTTTCGTCACGTTCACCTCTGCACCGTATTTCAACGCGCGACTATATGGACAAGCCTGCGTGACAGATGGTCCGGTCAGCTCATCAAACTCGTGTCAACTGCGTACACCCGGCGCATACCTCATGCCCAGCTTTGATGATTTCCTCATCCTCGACATTCTCCACCTGGATATCCACCTTCAGGCCAAACCCCTCCATCTCGTTCGGCGTTCCAACATGCACCTGCGCATGGATGACTGCATTCTTGACTGCTTCGGCTTTTCCCACACGCCCGGCCATCATTTGCATCGCTCCAAGGAAGCATGCTGTATGGGTTCCGACGGTGATGTCAGCATATATGCGCATATATTGCGGCCAAGAGCGGGCATACAAGCATAGCCCATTGCGAAGAGCATCTCGGGATTCTGGCCGTCGCCCTTGCCTCCGAGCGACTTTGGCATAGCCAGACGCAAGTCTAGGCCGTAGTCGTCATCAGACTTGACCTGACCATTGCGACCTTGGCCCCGCGCCGTCGCATGAGCTGTGTACTGCCATGAAGTAACGCGTTGGGTGACGCAGATCGCCGGCATTGACAGTAAAACAAATGCACCTTATGGTTTTTCAGCGTCATCAGTGATCGCGAGGGACAGTACTGGATGTTCTTGAGGAATACCCGCGGCACGGCCGGACGGATAGATTTGAGGCCCATATTCAACATTGTAGGCGGGATAGCGGGAGGGGGCAGACGGCGGTACAGGAGACGGGGTGTTGGGCGAGTACTTATAGGGATGCAGGCGACGACCTGCTTCTGTGACGGCAGAAACTCGGACGTTGAGTGAACCAAGGGTACGAAGCCCAGTCGATTGTGACGGCCTCTCAGCCACCCGTGATCGTCTTCGTACCCTTTACATCTTGAAATGGTTGTGTGGTTGAAAACAATTCCTAACTTTAGACAGAAGCAGTGACAAGAGAAACGAAAGCGGAATTCAGCAGTAAAAGACTAGACTACAATACATTTAACACAGCATCAACACGCTTGCACCTAGAATCCACTGGCCGTCACCCGTAGCTGCTCCAACTTCTTTAGCACCTCGCCCACCGTCCGGTCCAGCTCTCCCGCAATCGCGCTCTGCTTGCTCGCCGGCAGCCGTGCAAACGTCTCGCACAGGTCCCCGTCCACGACCGCCTTCACCGGCACGTAGTACCCTCGCCACGTCAGGTGGTCCCGCCCCACCAGACTTAGCTGCTCTGTCCGCATGTGCTGTTCCAGCGTTGAGATAAAGTCCACGTCTTCCTTCGACACAAATGGCACCAAGATGCCGATCGTCCCATGCAGCCCGGTGTAGAGTAACACCTCGCGTCCACCCGCCACCAGTGACACTTTGTTAATTGACGTTACAATGTCTCCAACATGAAAGTGCGATAGCAACTCCGTCTTATGGGGTGCGCCTGCCAGGAGACCCTTTTCGTGCAAGATACCCGCACCGGTGGGGTCGTCATCGACTTGTTCGGATACCTTCGGGTCCAGACGATTCACGTAGATGTTGCCAAAGCGATCGGCAGAGGCTACAGTATTATAGTCCACCATGGTCATCGCTGACGTCCACCGCGGCTGCGTGTCGTCGGCGAACACGAGCAACTTGTTTTCTGGCGGCTTGTAGACGGCGAACGACACTGATTCTTGCATATCCCCAACGAGGATTCGCGAACCCTGGGTTGCGAGACTGACGATAGCAGAAGCAAAGGTCTATATAATTGCACATATGAACACCGTCAATAAGTGTGATGTGATAAAAGCCTACCTTGTTCTCCACTTTCCGGAGAAGCTTCTTTTTGCCCATATCGTACAATCTAAGAGCTTTTCCAACGCCAGCGACAAGCCTGCCTTGAAAGCCCAAGACTGCAAGCGGGACATCGTTCGTTTCGGTCTAAATGAATCCAGTTAACATCTTTCAACATTTAGACGCCTTTCACGCACCTTGTGCAGCAGCTCTAGGTTTGTGCCATCATCGGTAAACCTGTACGTTCGCAGGAAACCGCTTGTACATGATCGTGGAGCTAGGAATGTATCCTGTGCGGTTCCTACCACTAAGTGCAGTTCGCCAGAGCGCGCGGAAAATGAGACAACGGCAAGGGAGAACGCAGCCTCATTATTGTCCAGTGGAATGATGTTCACGGTTTTTGCCTGCATAAAAGCGATCGTTGGAGACGTTTCGGGGTACTCGAGTAACGGCTTACATCAACTGGATTTATGATACGGATGCATGATGCCCAAGTACCAGCAGGGGCCTTCTGTCGCCCAAACGTTTCCGGAGGGAGATTTACTAGTTCATCATCGACCATCTTCCCTTGCTGTCGCTGCACAAAACTATGAGCTTCCGAGAATAAGTGTAATGAGCCATTTGCTTACCAATTCTCCCAATGCCTTGGCAGAGGCCTCGTCACTCCTCACACGGTGATCCCCTTCGATGAGGTAAAACAGTCCATTCGTGGGATGCGAAATGAACTTGCGTGGAGTGTATGAAAGGGGAATTGCATCCTGTTTAAGCTTTGTGCCCAGTTTGGGTATCTGGAAAATCCTGAAACATCGACAGTAAGCAAGCAATCCCCATCGGTAAAATATTTAAGGTAGATAGGTGCTCAGTAGGAACAATTGGTATTATAATAGTTTGTCGGCATGTACGTTAATCGTACTACGACCCCTTGGTCTCATCTTTATGACCGCTTATCGGGTCACATAAAAAAATTCATGACTCACCGAAGTACGCTGCCAGAGATTCCAATAAGACCCTCTGGGCAAAGCTCAGCAGAGAAGCTCCACGCATAGTCGAGGTTCTCGAATATGAGAGGCGTGAAGTGCATGAGGTTTTGGTACGTGTAATTTAGCCATGATCGCGATGACAGCGCCAAAATACCCGGATTGCGTTGGACGAGCACTCGAATCAGCTTAATAGGACGAGTTCCCAAGAATCTGTCGCACATAAGCACTCAAGTAAGAGATAAGGATAACAGCTGCATACCGAGTGCGGGTGTCTGTCAATTGTCCGTTCACCGGGTCCAATACAGTACGTAGAAGGACACCATTTTGGAGACCAATGTTCACAAAGGACGTTGGCTGTGTCTTGTTTATGCCGGCGTCCAACATATCTGCAATACAGATTGCAGATGGTGGAGCAGTCAGCGCTTGCAAGCTGATGGTCTCCAGCGTACTCTCTGGGTCCAGTGAGACAATACGGACAGTTTGATCTTCACAACCCACAGCCTGCATGACAGTGTTCAGTATCCTCGCGTAATTGAGTTAATGGCTCATACCAGATAGGGGGTCCGCTGTCTGCCTTCGGGTACCTCTGCGATACTGAGCGCTAATACAGTACTGCCCATGGCTTTTCGGTCTTGGTATTCGTTTAGCTGACCATCCAAATCGAGCTCGAAGTACACAAGCTCTGCAGAGCTCAGTGCAACGACGACCTGACGTTTATTTGTCGTCGCAGCCACAATGGTCTTACCCTGTGGTACTCTCCACTCATTCACCCGCTTGTCGCTTAGTACATGCCGGATACCATGAGGGTGAACCTGGAGGAGAGCGTCGTAACCAATTTGTTGCACAGCCAGAGTGGGTGCTGATGAAAGGAAACCTGTGTCTTGGACTTCTTCGATAGTCTCGCCAATACAGAGTACAAGTGTACCGTTGACGAATGAAAGGATAATATAGGAGTCGTATGGATCTAGGTGTCATATAAGCAGGAGCTGAGCGGCATGAGCAGAATACGCACCATCTTCTTTGAGCTTGGTAGTCCAGACAGCATTGGGAATACCAGGTAAGTCGGAACTGACAACTTCCTCCACTTCAAGTCCGTGCCGAAGCATCCTAAATGTGCTGCGTCCTCCTCGGCCACATGCGGCGAAGACTTGAGGTGTATCCGAATTTGGCAGGAGGTTCATAACTTTAGCATCCAAGACTGGGGAAAGCGACTCCATCTCGTCAACTAAGGTGAGATTGTCCAGGATGTGCGGCTTAAAATAGGCATGAGGCAGGGGAGACGACGGGTCTGCCATTCCGAATGACGGGAATGATGTCGAAGAGAATTCAGGCTCATTATCATCGTCGCCGAGCTTCTGGAATTGATACAGATAGCTTTCGAGAATAATGTAAGAGACGCATATACGACAATTGAAATTATACTCAACTGATTACCAAATTCTGATGCTACAAATAAGAACCCGGACTTAAGGATACACAAACTTGAAGCGATAGGCACAGTGTCAAAGTACTTGATTTTCAATGCTCTCACGTCTTGATCTTCATGCTCGATCGTCACTTTGTACAGATCACCTTCTTCGCTTTGCAAGAGAAAGAAAAAGGCACCCTGTACATAATGAGCATAATGTTATTTTATCTTCAGCTCCAACTCATACCTTCATCTTGTGCATGACAGCTGCTGTGATAATAAGACCACGATGCGTATCTGCGAGAGGATGCTGTCTTCGCGGAATGGGGATACGGTGCTGAGGTGCATCCATATGTCGGTAAATAATATGGTCTTCGCAGCACACCAACACACCAGAGGGCCCATCATAACGGTCGGATGAAGCCAATTGGCCACCTGGCACCTGTACAAGTAAATTTGCTCGAGGGTCTGTCGGCTCGCTCCATTTTCGAACGACATGGTTCAGACCAAGGTCAAGCTCGTAGTACGTCAGCATCTTGGAGCGATGCATCAGACTTCTAACGTTGAATTAGATGACCACGACACGCACCTTCTCAGCATTGTTAAACGCCTCGCCTGTCGGGTCTTGGTCTGAGTCCGAATAATCTACTTCGAGTGCTGCAAACATTGGGTTATCGAAACCGACATCCAAGCCAACTATGTGGTGAATAATCGAGTTGTTTTTGTGGGCCTCCAAAGGAGAGGAGATGGTGAGATTGGCTGCGGCATCCCGGTTCAGAATGTAAACCAGCTTGGCCTTTTCGACGGCAGAAATCATGACACTCCGGCCTTTGGGATCGGTGGCGAGATACTGCCCGGGTACGATACGCCGAGCTCCAGACTTCCCATACGTTTCTTGGTGCACCTTTGTGAAGCTGCTTGTTTTTGGATCGTAGTCTAAAATGACAATACGGCCCGAATCGGACCCTACAACTGCGTAGTCTAAGAGGCGTTGCAACGTTAACACGATTTGAAAGTAATACGCACAGTAGCTCACCCTTGGTACCGCCGGTCAGTCGAAAAGCGGCCAGTGAGCGAATGGATCCAAAGACGTCGCTGGCAATCACAGTGGAGACTTTTCCGCTCTGTACGTCGGGTCGTAATAGCTCCAAGCGTGTACCCCGAGAGACAATAATTTCTTGCTGTCTTGAACCGGAGAAGTTACCCGCGATTGCATGCGTGATGGCGGTGGGTGGCTGAAGGGTCAAATTGTAGAGATGCATGGCACGACCAGGAAGAGCACCGCGTATAGGACGATACCAGGTGTCGCTGATGCAGTGACAAGAATCTCAGAGCTAGTCACTGGAAGCCACCTGACGCAGCGAAGAGACTCGACAGAGACTCTCAGCACCGGTCGCGTTGGGCTGGCGGGGCGTGACGAAAGCGCAAGTAACGGTCAGTGTCACGTCTTCTCATCGGCCACTCACGTGTAGACGCGTCGCGTAGAACGCGTTTCCGCGTCTCAGCCATCCGCGTCTGGAAATTACTGCTCGCTCTCTTGTCCCAATATCAAGGCTGCTTGACCGTCGTGTCGCTCTGCTATATTATTCTACACAAATTTTTTCTTTCCTCAAACAACGATTTATGAATGCGAGTCCTGTGTGTGGCAGAGAAGCCTTCCATCGCAAAATCCATAACTCAAATCCTCTCTGGAGGACAATTCACAACCGTTCGTATTGACAGTGATTTCTTTCGTCTGTGCATTTATTTTGTATTTCAGAGAAGCACAGGATGCCCGTATATCAAGGACTATGACTTCAACTATCCACAAACCAACTCATTGTTTACCATCACTGCCGTGACTGGTCATTTATTAGACTACGACTTCAGTCTCGCTTATTCTAAATGGTCATCTTGTGATCCGTTCCAACTGTTTGAAGCTCCCATAGAAACCTCTGTCAAGAAAGACTCCAAGGCTATCGCACAGAATTTGACGAATGAAGCCAAACGCGCCCAGACTTTAATGATCTGGACGGATTGTGATAGGGAAGGAGAGAATATTGGCTCAGAGATAGCACAAATTTGCCGGAGGGCCCAGCGCAACATCACGATTAAACGCGCGCGCTTTAGTGCAATCATCCCCCAGTGCGTTCATCATAAAGGGGGGTGCAAGTGTGTTCAATATAGCAGAAGGCTGATACTCCAAGTATGTGTACAGACAGATACACAATGCCGCTCAGCATCCTGTGAATTTGAACATGGCACAAGCAAATGCAGTAGAGGCGCGCATTCATCTGGATCTTAGAGTGGGCTCAGCTTTCACCCGCCTGCAGACACTCAACCTACAACGGCGATTTGAAAATCTCAAAGACGATATTATCTCGTATGGTAGGACTTCCATCTTTCGGATTGGTTCTCGGATGTCAAATCACCACGCTGCTCAGGTCCTTGTCAGTTCCCTACCCTAGGATTCGTTGTCTCCAGATACAACCAGGTCAAGTCGTTCGTCCCAGAAACGTTCTGGTACATTTTTCTATCACTTACAACACAATCTCCTACGGGCGATGAGGAAACAGTGTTCAATTGGAAACGAGGCCATCTGTTTGAGTTCGATATCGCCATGATTTTGTACGAGGATGTGTTGGCTGCACCAGTGGCCCGCGTGACTCGGGTTATCACGAAAGATACCAAGAAATGGTGTGCGCGAATGACACTGTCTGGAGCATCTGTCCATTTTAATATGGAATTACAGGAAACCGCTTCCGCTGACAACTGTAGAGCTGCAAAAGAAGGGCTCTAGACTTTTGCGGATATCTCCTAAACAAATACTGGATGTATGTATTTGAGGCCAAAGTTCCTGTCCGATTGCTTATATGCCTATAGATCGCAGAGCGTTTGTATCAACAAGGGATCCTTTCATACCCTCGCACGGAAACAGACCAATATGATCCCCAATTCGATTTTATGACCCTTGTGGGGAAGCAGACGGTAGATCCCGTCTGGGGTACTTTCGCCTCTAGGTCAGTGTTACAGTCGTGGTTCTGGACGCATATCCAAGTTTTGTCTACCTAGACTCCAGAACGGCCAATTCGGCAGGCCAAGAGGAGGTCAGAAGAATGACAAGGCGCATCCTCCTATACATCCGACCGCATATGCAGGCAATCTTGCGGGAGACGACAAGAGGGTGTATGAGTACATCACCCGCCGATTCCTCGCATGCTGTTCGAAGGATGCGCTCGGCTGGGAGACAACGGTGACTGTGATTTATGGAGAGGAGGAATTCACTGCGAAAGGTCAGCTCAAATAGAAACTTCCGCACGTCATCTGAGTTTATGATGCTACGAAATCCCTTGAGATTAGGTTTGACCGTTAGAGAACGGAACTACCTCGAAGTATATCCCTACGATAAATGGTCTGACAAGGAACTGCCTCACTTTGAGGAAGGTCAGGCGTTCGTGCCGACTGTGTGCGAGCTGAGAGAAGGACAAACGACGAAGCCGAACTTACTCACCGAAGCTGACCTGGTTACCATGATGGATAAGAACGGTATTGGTGGGGCTTCTCTCGTACTCTTCAGCATACATGTTACTAAGTGCTTTAGGTACGGACGCAACAATCGCGCAACACATTCAAACTATCGTCGACCGTAACTATGTCATTGAGCGCATGCATGGCACTACAAAGTATCTTGTTCCATCTACTCTTGGAATTGGCCTGGTGGAGGGTTATGATGCTATAGGGTTCGAGAGGAGTATGAGTCGACCGCAGCTACGTCGAGAGGTAAGAATTTTCTAGCGGTTTTCTTCCATTGATGTGTACATGAAGTGATAGACCGAGCGACGAATTGTGGGCATATGTGAGGGCACTATGTCCAAAATGGAGGTTCTCAATGAGAGTATTGAGCAGTACAAGGAAATGTACATGAGAACCAAGCATCAATTCAACAGACTCGTTACTGTATGTGACCCTGACTCCTCTTGATGGCACCGGTTCTCATGGCAGATATTACAGTGTGTAGGTGACCGTTTACAAGGTAACGCCGATGCCGCCAACGCGAATATCGACGATGACGATGATCCCAATGATGGCATGGGCGGCGCAGGTGGGGCGGGTCGAGGAGCAAGGGGAGGTCGAGGAGCAAGAGGCGGTAGGGGCGGAAGAGGAGGAAGGGGTGGGAGAGGTGGGAGAGGTGGTGTGCCAAATGCCGGTCGAGCAGATAACGACAGCGACGACAATTTTGATGGAGGTGCTCCACCAGTACGAAGAGAACGAGGTGCTCGTGGCGCTTCTCGTGTCAGTGCTGCTACTGGGAGAGCGTCGTCATCTCGACGGGGTCGGGTCGGGCGCGGAGCCACTGGTACAAGCGCGAGCGCAAGTTCATCTATGGTTGTACACCAGCCACCGCCTGCAGATGGGGATTCGGATGAATGTGAGTGTCTCTTTGCTGTTCGTCTCAGGCAAATCTGACCTTCAAATTTGGAGACTGGAACGATCCTCCTGAAGTTCTGCCTGTAGCGTCTATCCCAGCGCGCATTCCACCCAGGGCGCCACTGCTCCCTCCATCACCGCCGATCCATTCGTTTGCATCGCGGCGAGCAAGCTTGTCGTCATTGGCTCCCAATTGTCAGTGCGGGGTTGTTGCTCAAGAACGACCCGTCATGAAGGAAGGCTCTAACAAGGGCCGCATGTTCTGGACCTGTGACACCAGAACTTGTGATTTCTTCCAATGGTCAGAGGAGCCATCGTCACTCGCAGGCCCCTCAAATTCAGGTTCTCGGACATCTAGCTCGACCATTCCGGCGAAACGACCACTGAATGATGCAGAGAGACGTCGATGCACTTGTGGGATGACTGCGGTCATCAGGGAGACAACCACTGGGGCCAACAAGGGCAGAAAGTACTGGGTATGTCCGAATGAGTCAAGAAAAGCTAAGTGCAAGTACTTCGAATGGGCAGAAGAAGGTAACGTTCCAGTGGCAAACCAAGGGTGGGACGGCGGGACTTGCCGCAAGATCGACACTGGAGCGGCGGAAGGCTCTACATCAGGAGAATGTTTCAAGGTGCGCCACACCACTCTTTTCACACCGTATTATGCATTCATGTTCTATTCAGTGCGGCCAGAAGGGACACTGGGCAAACTGTAAGATTTTAAACATTTTTTCTTGCTTCTTTGGAAAACGAATTAAACCCTTCGTTAGCATGCCCTAACATGGGTCTCCCACCGTCGAAGAGAACTAAGAGTGCTCCGGATGCTTCTTCATCGGATCGCGCTTGTTTTAAATGTGGTCAAGATGGACATTTCATGAGCGGTATGTTTAATCCCGGCCACCTTAAATTTCTCTCGTTTTATGAATCTTTATAGCATGTCCAAATAACGGTATGGCCGGGCGATCAAGAAACTCCGGGGCTGCTGGTGTGGCCTGCTTCAAATGTGGCGAAGATGGGCACTACAGTAATGGTAAGTGTTGCTTGTTAGGTGATCTTCATCATTTGACTAGTCCGCTAGCGTGTCCGGGGGCCACTGGCAAATCAACTTCGACGAGGGGTACGAAGCGAGGTCGAGGTACTCGTCGATCGAGTTCAACCAGTGCCCGAGGAAGTAGTAGACGAGGACGCAAGAAAGCCTCCCACATAAGTGCAGCAGACGACTTCTGATTACTATATACTGCTCCAACAGCTGTGCATGAGAACGCTTATGACTATGCAGAAGATGTATGTACAATAAGCTTCACTAACTCTGATTGATTGGAGAAGTGCGTGAATTCTGCGCCCCGAGTGTGGCGAGCAAGACTGATTTCACGAATGTCGATATTGAATGGTTCCGACGGGTGCCACAGACAGCAATGTGTGTGAGCGAAAGGGCCTCGTAGTAGTAAATCAAGGTGAGCCTCACGAAGTCAAAGCACCCAAACGCCGTCACTTCTACCAGTTTGAACGGATCACACATTCGGATTGATTACTTGGAGAGACATTCAGGAGGCCACCGCGGATCTTGAAGCGTGAAGCAGACTCCATTCATTCATTACTGGTTTACTGGAATAACGGTGCGTAAGTTCATAGTACATAACTTCCGTTCAGTGATTTATAGTGTACGTATGGACTATTCGAATGCCGTCGTTTTCATCCATCAGTTGTGTCATGTAGAAGTACTGAGTCAATGTTAGTTATGGTACACTACGAGGAGGATTGGGTAACTTTCGATGGACACTTGGAGCTCATTCCTGAAGACCATAGCTCATCAAAACAAAACTGAGTCGGCCCAGGTTCGAACTGAGGACCTTCTGTGAACACATGTTAGACAGATGCGATAACCAACTACGCCACCGACCCACACGTTAAGCGGGATGTTATAACGTATATATATTAAGTCCAAGGTCTGAGGCATTCTCGCAAGTAACTTCCGCTCCCTTCAAACATTTTCCTCCGAACTCCTACATCCGCTTCCGTTGCCTAGAACATCTAGCGTTTCTCGAGACGCTTTTAACTCTTCCACAGTCAACTGTAATACCACAAGAAGGAAGGCACATCCACGTTGGATATATTATCAGAAACCATGGCTATTGAAGATGCAAATTCAGTCACGACTCGTCTGCTGACATTGTTGAACGTCTCCGCCACGAAGAAGAAGAAACGAAAGGCATCCTTCGAAAAGCTAGAGTCTAGGCCGGGGGGGAGACTCAACAAGCGCCATGCAGTGCCCTCGACTGACACTGAACAACCTGCTGAAGTCCAGATATCCGACGAACCTGCTGCCGCTGAGGGCACGAACGACGATCGAGATGACACCGCGGCTGAACAGGACGATAACGTTGAGGATGGTGCGTTTCTATGTTGCAAAAATCCACTTTCCCCACTTATGCAGGCTTCCAGGAGATATACAGGATCCATATGAACAGCACTTCGGTGCGAAGTCTGTTTTAGTCACCGAGAAATCTAAGCATGCTGCAGATCAACGAGCATGGACAACATCTAGAGAGCGACATGGTAGGCTGGGCAATTTGGTTCTATCAATCCCTGAGGATTCTACACCCCTGGCACCTATAGTGGATACAAAGCGCGTGTTGGTGCGTCATTCCTATCTTAAAACTCGTCGTTATTTATGGAGCGTGTAGATTTCCGACAAGCTAAAACAGCCGTTCTCGGAACGACAGGCAAAGTTACCTCGAGGTATGCTTGGCATACGAGTTGATAACAGTCATTTTCACTACTTTTTCATAGAGATAATGGAGTTGCAGAATGATATGCTGTCTCTCCTGTTATCTCAGAGAGACGTGTACTTTACCCGCACGCCGCTCGATGTCCACCAAAACCTGCGAGAGATCATCACTCTTCATGCACTCAACCATATCACCAAGTGCGTATGCATATAATCTGCTCAGCAGCTCAATTCTGAGCTGGTGGTGCGTAGAAAGCGTCGTCGGATTCTGAAAAATAATGAGCGCCTGACTCACGCATCAAAAGCTGGAAACCCAGCACCTGAAGACGTTCAAGATCAGGGTTTTACACGTCCCTCTGTTCTTATTTTGCTCCCCTTCCGATCTTTTGGCATCAAGTGGGTTAGTGCGTTGACTTCGCACACGCCTTCTCCTTCCTACCAGGTGGAAAATCGCGCTCGTTTCTACACAGAGTACGGACTTCCGCCTGGTGCATTGGATAAACTCGCCAATGAAGAACCTGGTACCCATCCGCGAGACCATGTCGACATGTTTAGCGGTAACGCTGACGATGCGTTCAGACTTGGTGTGAAGATAACACGTAAAAGCGTTAAATTATTCGCTGACTTCTATGGGTGTGACCTCATCATGGCGAGCCCGTTGGGCCTTCGCATGTCAATTGAAAAGGAGAAGTGCGTAGTGTTTTTTTTGGCGCATTGACCGTCGTAGTGATCAGTATCCCTAGGAGCTCAGACTTCCTTTCGTCGATCGAAGTGCTTGTCGTCGATCAGGTGGATGCCTTGACAATGCAAAATTGGGAACACCTGCAGGTATATGCATATTATTATACCATGAGTAATGTCTGAAGTTGCCTCTATGTCAGTATATTTTTGATCGCCTCAATCGGCTCCCTATCGAATCGCACGACGTCGATTTCTCTCGCATCAAGCCATGGTACCTCGACGGAAAGTGAGTATATAGCACTGGAAGCACTGTCACCTTTTTAACGTGGTTTCATAGTTCGGCATATCTCCGCCAGTCTATTTTACTCTCTGCGTATGAAACACCGGAGATACGCGCATTGTTTAATGCCTCTCTAAAAAATGTCGCGGGAAAACTTAGGACGGAACGACGATGGAGCCCTGTGCAGGTACCCGAAGGGATTGATCAGGTATCTTCCATCGGACGTTCGATAACATTTCTAATGCTGACATGGGATGCAGAATTTTATTCAATTTGATTGTGCTAGTCCGACAGCGGAGGCGGATAAGAGATTCGACTACTTCACTACTCAGGTATTCCGGAATTCTGTTTACTACGTTTAGCGTGTTCTCACATTGTGGTGTGATAGTTGCTACCCGCAATCCTGAAGTCTGCCGTGCAAAGCGCGAATACTGTCATTTTTATTCCGTCTTCCTTCGACTTTATTCGTGTACAAAACTACTTCAGAAAGAATATTGGTGTATCGTTCGCTGTCCTTTCAGAGTAAGGCTTCCATTATGTTATTTAAATAGTCCCTATTGATACTTATCCTCTGTAGATATTCTTCTAATCAGGACATATCCCGTGCTCGTCAGGCATTCTTCTCAGGGAAAAAGGCTTTCCTCCTCGTGAGCGAACGTTTCCACTTCTTCAGAAGGTTTGTGAACGTGCCGTTTAAATTCTACCCGATCCCTGACGTTAGCGCAGGTATAAAATTAGAGGTATCCGTAACCTCATCTTCTACGGACCGCCAGATCATCCACAATTCTATACCGAGTTCCTTTCATATCCTTTCCTGGACGACGAAGTGGAGGCTTCTGACGTAACCTGCCGGGTGCTGTACTCCAAGTATGATTGGTTGAGAATGGAGAGGATTGCGGGTACTGACGCCGCCGCGGAGCTGATCAAGCGCAGCTAGTTTTGGCCTGTTCTCGACAAGCCAGCTCTGAGCCTGTACACACAAACGTTTTCTGTAATTGATCTAGCAGTCACTGATCGCAGACTTAAAAAGTAAGCGATGTACTCCCGCAGCGCGTCCTCAAGCAAATCACAATCACAGTAAGATCTCGTTAATATACATACGGTTCAACTTTCTGGCAGCCGTGCGGCTGCTTCACACTGACACATACTACTTAGTATGTGATTATGACTGACTACGCATTTCTGCAGATATATCTTGTGATAAGTGAGTACGTCACTGTCTGTGCTTGCTAAGCCTACCGGATCTACTTTAGGTTCCGAGCATCTTCAGTCATCAGTATTTATCTATTGCTGTATCTTTCGCCTTGTTCGCCAATCTCTTGTTGCCAGTCATTTTCCCCCAACACAGGATTACATGCACTGACTTGGAGCAGACGGGCTTGATTTTTAGACTTTGGACTTGCTCTGGACACAGAGATAAAGCACGTATGTCTGCTGTTTAAAGTACGATATCACGAACCTGAAGTTATAACAGATGGCACTATGTGAGACTCCCGCAAGACCTCTGAGGGAACGATCAAGCAATTTGGAGTTGACGCGATCGCGAGTTGGAGGGCTCTCTCAGGAGAAGCCAGGTTCCAGGTGTTTATGACGGTGAGATCGTGGATGTTATAGTGTTGCTCTCTGTAGCTAAATCTACAATTACTACAGGCAAGTCCTAAATACATGCTCTCTGCATCCTGCGGTTTCCGGCCATGCCTAATAGATGTGGTACATATCGACACCTAGCTAGTTAGCGAGCTCTCGACTGGTCTCGCACCCATGTCTCTACAAGCCCCCGCTCAATAGGCACCCACCGGGTAAGGTCAGTCGGAATGCCTACAGGTCACTTGATTGGTTCTCTTCCAGCGTCCCTCAGTTGGGTACGAGACCACTCTCGACGCCCGCCCAGGCGGAGATCAGGACTACGGCTGCTATAAATGCGGGTGATGAGTGGACGTTACGCAGAACGCCGCACTGAGATAGTGGGTATGTGGAGCCGCGCAGTGCCGGCGGAGGCGTCTGCACATGAGTGGTGAATGGGAGTGACGCGGCAAGGAGAGAGAGCGCATCATGTTCGGGTTGTGTAGGACCCCTGTACTAGTATGCCTCTCCAGTGCACTGGCTGGAAACTCCAACATGTTGAGATGATCGCTGACATACCCATCCCAAGGGTCCCGACATTAATCAGCCAAACACGAAGGGGGACTGTCAGTTTTTAAGCCGGTCATCTAGTCCCGACACGACTTTGAGTAGTACCACTCGGAGAGAGCATGACCACGGTTCACAGGCATACACTTATCTGTATGCTAAATGCTTCAGATTGGCCCCACTGGCTCGACTCACTACGTATCCCAGACCCTCCGGCTAATACTGTCACGACAGTCGATATTGGAATTCGTAGACGAGGCATGATGATCACTGTCCAGAAAGTCACATTCGCGAAATATGCGTCTGAGCAGACTTTGACCGAAGAACAATCTGGTCCTAGGGTCCGGGCACAAAAAACCGGATCAGCGGCCTACTGCTCCAGCCTTTTAAAGGTGTATCCAGGGGTCCTGCAGGTACTAGTTGGGTACTATGCTGACACGCTGTCGTGGGCAAGAAGTGCATTTTGGAGAGCGCATTGAGCGTGATCTGGAAGTGGCTCTGGAAAGGTGAGCCAAGATGCCGAAGGCCGCAACACGACGGCAGGACTCGACTTACCACGTCAACGGGAACCTGCACTTTACTACTCATTCTCGGTCACGTACTCGATCGATGCCCTGCACTCCAGCGCAGAGATGTCAATGGCGAGTCGAATGTCGCTCACGACGTGGTGTGCATTCAGCATTTTTGTGATCCCGCCGAGATGTTCGCTAACGCGCCTTTTAAAAGAGCTGCAACGCAAGGGTTCACGACCAGAGCTGGAGATAGCCAAGCTATAGCATGCGACGCCTTATCATTGCCATGCAATGACCCACACCTTGCTGCAATCTGGCCCACATTAACATCACATTGATGCTTCGTCGCGTGAGATCCATCACCTGAAAAATCCTCAATATAGTCAGGTGAATGTGCCTGGAAGAGAGAAAAGATGGCCTACTCGTAGTACAGAAGGAAGATGGGCCCTGATCCAAATGCGAGGCGCTGACAATGGTCGCCGCCTTGGTGGGGACACCAATAAGAGGTAGAGTAGATTGGCGACTCATGGTTCGAGAAGATCACAGTGGAACGACACTGGTGGAGATATTGTCGAGAGGACTATGATCGCAGGAATCTGGCGAAAGAGGGAGACGAAGTGATAGTGAGATTGTGGAAGGGGAAAGCAGCAAGGATAAGGGTGATAAAAGCAGGTCTAGTCAATCCAGGAGAACATTGGAAGTAGCTGAAGTAGACAAATCATGCTATTGCACGCCCAATTCTACAAGCCTCGTGATATAGCGACGTAACAGAGGGGTGCAACTCACCTGACGAATTGGTGTGGGCGGCGTCATTGGCGTTTGAAAGGGAGTCCACGCTTCGAAATGCCAATGATTACCTGAGGGGCTGGTACCCAAGTATGCGCAGACCAGCGCTGAAAGCTCTGCTCGTCTGATACTTCTTCTCGTTTAGCAGGACGCGGACCCATGTGTGGGTGACCTCCAAAAACAAATCGCACATCAACCCAGAAGTAATCAGCTAGGCTACTAGTAGGTGAATTTTTGAGTCTTCTTCCAACGGGGAAAACAATTCAATAGCTACCTGCAAGACCACTAATAACGGGATTTTTGCATGGCTAGAACTTGGAACACCCTCTACGGAGGGCAGGTATTGGCCATATTCTATAATCCAAAATCCGACCGCCCAGACATGCCGATGGCTTCTTGGCGAAGGATATTGCCCGAGGTTCGGATGTCATGTGCCGATAAAGTCGATGATACCATGCACGATTGTCATGCCCATACGACAACAGGTGGCGTTCATGAACAACTATAAGATATCTTTGAGTGGTACGCAGAAAATGTGTGACTTGCCAATACTCCGGGAAATCATATTCCCTGGATTTCCCTGAAGCAAGCCTGGGATTGAAGCCGCCAACAAAAACATATCTTACGTTATTGCCAAATGTGGCCACTACCTGGGATACTGAAACACGTAAGACTTGGCCTCCATAAAAAGCAAAGAAAGATTAAGAATGGGGAAAGCAAAAAGAGTGAGCTGATTTGGGAGTAGAGGCAATAGTGCGTATCATTCTCGCATAGATGGATACGAGCTACGTCTCGCAGTTTGAATGGCACTATATGATTAATGCAGTGATCCTACTGCGATATGCCTGGCGACACAGTGAAGCAGCCTATAAGAGAAAGGTCAGCAAAGCCTGAACACAGAATGAAAAAGGAGTACATTGAAGCCCATATATGTTGCAAAAATGTTGCATGATCTGAAGGCGATAGGTGTTTTCAAGGGTCCGCATAGTTCAAATGTGGAGAAAGGTCCACCCTTTAGAGCCCGAGACCCAGATTGAAATGTCATTTCAATTCAGCCCCTTCCTGTCAGGTCGCGGTTAGCCCGGAAATATGTGATGGGATTGAAGTATGTCTTGGCATCGATATTTGACGATCTTTGTATTACCGACATGATGTTATCCGTAGTAGAGTAAGATCGCGTTTAAAAAAACACGCTCCAGATGGGGAATCATAAAACATGGAAATTGTATAGCACGCAAATAGTACACGCTGAAAGACGAGGCTGGGCCTATCAGTTCAAGACATGTATACTAATGGGATCATTACATACCTCGTCAGACGATTCAAGACCAATATGATCCCTTCAAAATGCTTTTGCTTTTTGGAGAATCGTGACTTTGTACGCAGGATGAGAACAAGGATTCGTTATTACGGCCAACTTAGTGGTTGACATTGAAGTTAGCAGAGGTTGAGAGGCGCTGGTGAACCCTTACGCCCAAATTAACGCCCATCGATATTACTCTTTTTTTTTTATATTCAGGTGGTTTATACTCCGTACCCTTAGATACATGTAGAGTGTTGAGAAATGCAGATCCTATCTAACCTGTCACGGCCGGTATTCAGCCAGATACGTCATTGTCCATATCCCGGGTCCCCCCTTGGGGTAGAATATAGTCCACTTGACATGCAACGTCCCCCAGGAACGTGGGTGGTGGGTAACGGTCCCCACACTTAAGGGGTTCCCTTGCGGGGCCCCACCAACTAGCTCACTTCCCACTTCTTGAACTGTTCCAGTTCCTCCCAAGTTGGTTCCGACCCCGGGGCATGGTTCGGTCAGAGTGCGCCACAGGCCGTCCACTCCGCCTCCCTATAGGGTGGGGCCCTTCAGGGGGATCGATATTACTCAAAATCTTGTCGCAGGCCCGGTCAGTGCGGTCACGACTCACCTCAAGCTTATTCTCATCCTCAAACATCTGTGAGCTTGGGACCTGACAGATCGATAGCAAATACTACTTCCCCGTCCATCCTGGACCTCGCTAGAGCATGTGCTCTTAGAACATGTATGTGACAACCTGAATTACTTCCTTGAATCCACATATCTGCACGTATCCGCGTCTTCGCCTTCATCATGGCTTGCAGCGGACCGATACAATGTACGCGTAGAATCTCCGTCATGTGAAAAACTCCGCAGCACCCAGTCCGTGGAGCCCTGGCGGCCTGAGCGGAGTGGCGCGGACGTGGACGCGCCTCGCATTACTCCCGCACAGTGCGTTCGGCGCGCATAGTCTTGCGCGGAAATTGAATGTTGATGGCTGCCATCTTTCTCCTATAGGTGGCACCTTCCCTTTGTGCGTCATTAGCATAGGAAGCAAGAATTTTAACCCGGCACAATGCACGCTGATTGATCCCAGTATTTGCCTTCCTATGACGAGGATGCCACATGCCCTGCGGCTCCGAGTTAGGACTAGCACTCGTGAGGGAGGGCACCCCTAAGGCCTGCATCAACGCCACTATATCCTAGTGGGTGGTGACGTGCATCGTAAGCTAATTCGTGTACCTTGGACATACCTCGCAAATGGGAATTGGACCGGGAGCACGCATCAGCCAAGACAGCCACGGCGCATTGACTGAAAACTGTGCGCCTTCTCTCCCTCCTCTACTTCTGCGCCGCCTGATGTCAAGATCTCTCAGGCATCCGCACTGTATTAATAGCCTCAAGGCTAGCGTCCTTCATTTGCGAACGTGCGGAATTGTATTATGATTCTAGCATTATTATGATACTGTGGAATTCACACTGTGCGTTCGTCACACATGTAGGACTCATCGACGTTCATTGTACGACGTCCCTCTTGCAGTCTCGGAAGGGGCATGCATTTTCCACGTGTCCGCATAAGTATGGACCACACAGAAGCGGTAACAAGAGCCGCGTTCTCGTATGTAACCTATCCCGTTCCAGAGATTTGATAATTGGTCATAGAACCTCGTCTCGTGTCTGTTCTGGCCGTTGGTCGCGACGTGTATCTCTAGCCCAAGGACTTTTTACTTTCCCATCGTCTCCGTAACCTAATGCAAATCAGAACAAAGACACCCTCTCTCAGACTTACCATCAGGGAGCGTCGAAGGGCATCTGTGAACCTGTGATTAAGGCAACCATCGATCCACGAGTTGCTGATGCTCCCCTATGCTCCCTAGGTCCGGGACTCCGATACCAGAGAGTTCAGAGGCGTGAGAGTATTAGTTCCATGGTTTACATAAATGGCCTGATGCTGTGGCATTGATAGAACACAGGACGCCGAAAGGCGGTGCGGAAGGTTATCCTGATGACAGATCCCGAGTCCTACTTTGTCCCTATAATTTGCATTGTGAATCTGTAAGCATGACCAATGCCCTTTTCCTATTAATATGATGCGGTGCTCCAGTGCGTCCGACCAAAACGATGTACTCAGCAGAGTCAGCACTTGGAGTACACTTTGGGGGAATGGAATCCGGCAACCGTGTTGCACGAGCCACTGCGGAGTGTACAGTGTGTGTATCCCATCCCTGTCTCCTTCAAGTGTCGCTCGCACCAAGTGCTCCGATCACAGCTGCGATTGCCAATTGAAACCCACATGCAGTTGCCATTTGATCTGTGCAGATATTCGTACAACACATTCTAAAAGTAGGTGGTCTCGTGCCCGGACGTGTCTTGAAGACACGTCCGGGTACGAGACCGAAGGTGGGTAGCGTACAGGGGATGAGTCTATGTTGTTCACGGTACGCGCACAGCCATAATAATCGTCACCGTGAACGTCTCATCATTTCTGATGGCCAGAAAGAGCAGATACAGTATGTTGAAACCCTAATTGATGAACCAGTCTGCGCAGAGATGCGACAATCCGTGAAACTGCAATTGATGCGAATGAGTACCGTCAGGTTCCGACAACGCCAGGTGCCGTAGGCGCCGGTCGTTTGCGTGGAATCGGATCTGAGATAGAGTTCACGAGACATTCCAGTGCCCCTGTGCCAGGACCCAGGGCCAAGCCGTTCAATTCAACTGCAGCGGCGACGGCCTATCGAACTTTGCAATCTTGTTCCTATTCCTACACGCGTGCCCCAGCGACAAGAATTGTCTCCAGGTAGTGTCCGCGCTTGCCTGGTTTGTGCCGTGAGCTTGCTTGCCAGCGCATCCCTGGTCGTGGTCAGGGTTCGAGGACGGATGCTATGGGCGAGTGCCATTGCTAAGTATATTTTGAACACTGTCCGCTCGTCGGCGGAAGACTGTTCGCCTCCGAGGAGTTAATTCGTGGGGTGTAGGATCCTGGGCATAGAGTCCGGGTGGCTGTGAATCTATTCGGCGAGCCATAGGCGTATGCTAGCTCCCCTTGGAGCACCCCTCGATCACGGCTAGCAGGACACCCTCTCGCCCCGATGCGCGCCGTCTCTGATGTGGGGTCACGGTGCTCGTTTCATTGCTTGTGGAATGGATACTTAAGCGCTGCTGCACCGACGCCAAGGGATGTCGAGATATATATTGCGGAACTGTAGAACGTACGTAGGCCGTATGAACTGCGTCTCGCCCGCTGCTCGCACATCTACCCTCTAAACTACTATTGCTCCGGAAATAGCGCTACACAATGACGCTGCGCCGCTTTACGCCTTCCGGAATGCTGTCGCGCACCTTCGGTTGACAATATGCAGCTGGATCTCGCCGTCCGTCCTGGTGCCTTGCAATTGCTATGCAGCTGTGCACCGAGGGCAGAGGATGATGTCACCATGATATTGTTCCGCGATTGTCGCGAGGGGCCCAGCTCATTGAAGACGTGCTCAAACGGTAGCGGCGATTGCAGTGGCCAGCGCTGGTCCCTTCTTGTTGGCAGTACCGCCGCCACAGACGACGCTAAAATGCTCTCCGTCGGTTCTGTGATGCTCCCGGTTGCAGTTGTTTTTGGTGTGCGACATTCATTTTGCCGTCGCCATGAGGTCACACAACACCTGTAGACGGTGTGCATAAAGTACAACACCAGTGAGAAACAAAATTACATTTATTTCTCAATGGTGGGGGACTATGTAGCATTGGATTGTGCATTTCTGGGAAGGTGTTTACTGACCGTTATTTACGTCCAAGGTGCGGAGACGGCCACGGCTTCGGGCATGGACGATTTGGGGTCCGATCGGTGGGCTGTCACGCGGTGGGTACGCTGCGGCGATGGGAGCCGCTGTGCTCGCTGTGTTTGAAGCTGGATGTATATGCATGCGTGGGTAGAAGGATGTCCGCGGACTGGGATAGGATGGAGCGAGGGGATAGAGCGCGCAGACGGAGGGGAGTGGGTTGTTCGCAGCGAGGATTTCAAAGGGCGAGGTGGAACGGGGTGGAGGTACCGCTCGGCTATTTTGCGCGAACGGGGGAGCGGGCCCCGGGCGTCTGCCGAGACGCGCGCCGCGGATTGGCCGAAAACGACGTCATGGTGGCGCGGAGACAGGCGAGTGGCCATTTTGGGCAGGAGCGGCCGGAGCATCCGGCACGACTGACTGAGCGAGCGGCCACAGCGCCGGACGCGTTTATTACCACGCCAGCAGGCGCCGGGCATGGGTTACGGACGCCCCACCGCTTCAGCCCAGCCCCGCACGGCGTTCTGTACCACCACCGCCCCCATGCCTCTTCAAAACAGACCACCATCTCCCCTGGACGACTCTCCTTCCTCGCCCACACAATCGCCTCCGTTTTCGCACCCCCCGCAGACCAGTCCAGACAACTCACCAACTAGACCTCTGCTTCGACCATCGCACTCCGACCCCGACTCTGGAATAGCGATTCCGTTCGAACAGCTTACGTTGCACGACCGAGAGCAGTCCATGAAGCAGCAACAGCAGCAGTATGCGTCACAGAACCACCACTATCGTGCTACGCACCCCGACAGCCATGCCCCCGCAATCAGCGCAAAGCAGGAGTGCTGGGACAATCGGCGGCCGCAGGAGGGTGGGTCTGGCTACGCAGATAGTATACCCCAGTGGGGCGCGTCGACGCAGCACGGACACGGTGAGTATATGCTCCATGTATGCTACGCTCGTTCTCGAGGGCGTGGGCGCAGGGGGTCCGGGTGTTGCGATGAGGCCCGGGGTTGCCTAGAAGCGGCCGTGGGGGGGTCGCGTAGACGACAGTGAGAGTGCTGTTCGCCCGTGCAGCTGAGCAGGGCGACGTCGCCCGGAGGGTATAGTAGATAGCGACGTAGGGTATGAGAGCGGGCGACCGCGTGCCTTTTGGGTTTTTGGCTCAGACAGGGCCGCGGGATTTTTGGAGAGCGCCTCTCGGCAGCGTTCGCTCTGCCGTCATGGTCCGGAGTCGAACGCCCGACCGCCATGAGGCGCATCGATCACCGTCGCCCGTTGCCGTGCTTGTGTTTTGCCATTTGTTTGCTGCACAGGACCCACGGCTCCCCCGGCCAGCTCGGCTCCCTTTCACTCTTCTCTCTCTCCCTCTCTTTCTCTTTTCCTCCATGGCTGACTGATGCTCCCTCCCTCTCTAGTATCCTCTCGCCCTCGCCCTCTCCACTCGCCCTCTGCTGCTGCCATCTCCCGGCCCGCTCTCCCTCGCAGGAACTCGTCTTTTTCCAAGCGGCACGCCTCTTTCGACACTCCTCGCGAGGTGCCGCTGCCGTACATGACCCATTCGCATCACCTCTCATACTCCAGCACAGGCAATGCTGCGCGTTCGCACTCCCAGTCGTACGCGCAGCCCAGCGTGATGACCGACAGCGATCCAACCTATGTCTATGATTGCCCGCCTCCCTCGGGCGCCGGTTCAGACCACGCGGGCTCTGCTTCTTCATCGTCCACCGATACCCTTCTCTCCACGTCATCGCCATCATCGTCGACGTCCGCGCCGCCGACGGGTCGTGTTGATACCCCCATGGATACGGGCGCCATCACGGGCGCCGGTGGGAGCTCATACTTCGTCGATATGCCTACTGTGGCGTCTTCGTCTCAACTCAGCCTTGGTGCGCCTTCTGGTCAATCCACGAACAGCAGGAATCCTCCAAGTCCCATTCTTCCTTTTTCTCGTCCGTACTCGTCGCCAGATGCATACGGAACGCGTCAGTATCCAGCTCGCATTCATTCTCCAACACCCGTCCGCCCCACTGGCATGCCCGACCGTAGTTCGACAGCAAGCTTGCCGCTGCCCCTACATACACCTTACCATACCTTACCACCGTTCGCGAGCGCTTCATTGACTGAAGACCGAGAGATGGATCCGTTGCCATTGCAATACTCTTCGTCATCATCCTCATCGGCTACATCCGCTTCCGCATCGACGCCATCGCCGTCCATGTCCATGCAATCGTCGTTCGCAGTGCCTGCGCGCTACCGCTCGCCATCAGTCGGCTCCGATTGGGCGCATGAGCGCTCCGTCTCTCCACCGATCTCCCGGTTCCTTGACCGCACGTTCAGCTCAGCCGCGTATTCCCCGTACTCGCTGATGCCCGCGCCAGTAGCTGCGCCATCTCCTGATACAGATTCTTTCCCGCCTCCTGCCCCTCCGGTGGTCCTCACGCCTCCTCCACCTCCACTGAGTGAAGAAACAAGTATGCGTGCGCCTCACGAGCCTTTCCTGGCACCGGCGCCGGCGCCGAATGATAGTTATATTGCGGTGGAAACGAACTTGCGGGAGTACTGCCTGCTTGTGAGATTACCTGGCTTCCGAAGAGATGCAATGTACGTGTCTGATTAGTATACAAAGCCTTCCATGCTGATCTCCACCTATTCTTTCTATGCGACTTTGTTATTCGACGGTGATGGCACGACGGGAATAGCACGCTTTCCACACGAAAAAGACGGATATTGCATGTTGTTGCTGACTCGTGGGAGCCGAACGGCGGTACGTCGCTATTTATGGCTGTACTTCGTCCCAAGAGCTTACTGACAGTATGACATTCACCTTCGCGCCCTGGCGTCTTTTCCATTATCTATTTGACAGGTCATTTTGAGAGGCGAATATCGTTTGGGTACGATGCGGACCTCGCGCAAGTGCGTGCCGAATTCGACGGCGAATTTCTTCGGGTAATTGTCCCGAGGCGGAGTGCACCAGGGACGTTCTGGGGCATGCGCGATTAAAATGTGTGGTTCTTGCCTTCACCGAATATCCTGTCTTGCCTCCGTGGACCATTGGCATGTGGATGCGCCGTTCCTCACTCTTGAAAATTGTTGTCAACGGTCAGCCCTATCGTGTACATTCATATCGACACGTATCAGTGGTTTCGTTCCCGGGCAAGTGATTCACGTAAAGCGGCGCCTGCCTTTGTGTCTGGGGAGCAGAACACGCGGCCTGGCACAAACACACAGTACATCGCATATCAAGCATCGGTCAGTAATCCTGGATGGCGAGCAGAAAGCGTAATCATCACGTCACGACAACTCATGGCATCACGAATTTACATCGGCCACAGCCTTAATGCTCCTACATTATTTCTTCCTTCGTCCATCGCCGCTCTCGATTCCGACCCGTTGTTTATCAGCCATAATAACGCATCCTTGCCCTTCGCCTATCTACGCGTCTCCGGTATTGGTGTCGATCGTGAAGACAGGCCCGTTGGATATCCTCTCTCTCCCCATTAATGCTTGATCCGTGTCGTCGGATGGTTCGCTCGCTAATCGCTCGACATCCCATTCTGCAACTGCATATCCATCCGTTCTACAGTCTTGTGTCGCATTTCGCCCGCACGTCGTATATGTGTGGGCACTCTACATACAGCATATACATACATCCATATGTATCATTTAACCATCGCTATCCAAGCACGCATTCAGTTTAAAATCGTTGCCCATCCATCCGTCATCCTTTCGCTTGTCTGCCGTGGTTATGATTATTCCGTCTCGGTCTTCCGTGTCTGCGGTGTCCCGGTGCATGGTCATTGCTACTATGCGTTCTGTATTGTACGTGTCTACGTCCTTGTTTATATTCTCCAATGCTGTGTGAACCTCGGTTGGATGTGCATTCGGTCTTGGATACGGGATACCGATGCTCCTGCCGCCTTTATTGATACAGATCGTCATTTCCCATTCGTCCATCATGTGCTGCTCTCCACTACATCCATATCTCAGCCTGCCGCTCTATTTTCTACAGGTTCATTACTTTTCACCTTGCGCCGAGTTGCTTACTCCCTGTTTCAGGTTCTTCACATGTTGGTCTAACGGTCTCGTGGTTCTCACTGCATTGTGCGATTGTCCCGGTCCTGACCGCACGTTCCCCATCCGTCCTCTATTTACCCGACATTCTCTGACTCGTTCAATTCTTTACATGATCTCGCGCTTTCGTGCACGTTCATGTCCATGTGTCTACGTCAGCCCGTTGTGTGCCCCTCGCTTAGCAGAGCTCGTCATTCAGTCGTTTACACTCCGAGCGCGCTACGTAGATATCGATAAAATACACAGATCGCTTCTGGAAGGCGTAATATTTTTGTCCCGGTGTGATGGATGTACATACTTGGCGTGGAGCCTATACGTGTGCATGTGTGTGGTGATACTTCCCCCGCGCAGTCTTGCACGATCATCGTCTGACGAGCGGGGTCTTGGAATGGGATGCCCCGGTATGGCGAGCACACGGCGCAGGGAAAAGATGAGCCTGAAAGGAACAAGCCCGCTCGCAAATGGCTCCGTGATGAGCAGCACGGCGGCACCTTACACGAATGAGCGGCGGAGTCGCGAGAAAGCGGACGGTCAGCAGTCAGCTGCTTGATATGGCCGCTATCTGACCGCTCTGAATTCTTCTCCCCCTTCTCAGAGGACCCGGCCGCGGAGCTCGCACCCGCATGTTCGTCTAGCAATCTTAGACGGCGCGGCGCGTTCCTGCACCAACGCATGTCCTACTCAAGCCCACGCTTTCTGCTCCTGCGCACCTCCCACGGGATCACAGCAGTCGCCACGCACGCACACTGCTACGGCAGCGACCACGACACGCGACGCGATCCCATGACGCGCCAGGCAGGGGCAGTACCAACCACAGGGCGAACTGCGACGATCAACCGACGGCGCCACGGATCGGGAGGGCGACTCGGACGTCGCGCAGGGGGTTACTCCCGCCCGCGACGGCCTGCGTTATGATCTCGCCTCCTCTCGTATGCCCTAGCCCCGCGACCCCAGTCCTTCGAGCGGGCGCCCCAGTCGTCTCGCACGCCCCAGATGTGGTCCTCGCTCAGGCGCGGCGCTGCCGGGCGACCTGCGGTGTGCAGGCCCGTGGTGTCGGATGCGCTTTCCCGGGTCCTCGCCCCTTGGTGTGCGAAGGGGCCGCTCGGCTGGTCCGGAGAACGGGGCGGCGGTGCCCACGTTAGAGATTGCATTTGAGTGTGGGGATTGATACCGGGCTGGTTGTGGGGCCCGGCGGGCTGGGCAGTGCCTTCCCATTTGCGCGCGCTCGGTGGGAGAGGGGCCCAACATTCATCGGCGGCGTAACGTTCGCTCGTCATCTCTCGCAAACGCGAGAGCGCCCGCTTATAGGCAAACTGCTCGTCCTTGCCTGCGCAGCGCAGGCGAGATCCGGTCAGCCTAAGGGCTAATGCAGGAGTTCAACTAACGATGTACCTGAGAAGATGGATAGGGTGTCCAGTGCAAGGGGCGAGGAAGGCGCCTTTGGTGCTTCCGACATGTTCGGTGCGTCATAAGATGCAACGTTCGGCCGGTAGAGCTCCTGCGTTTCCGCCACTGCTTCAGCCATCATCACGTCCACGTCGGGCGGGCGGGATGGGTCATGATTATGGCTGTGCTCAGCCTCGGACGGAGCATCAGGGAAGAACAATCTTTCAAGTTGCGACTCCGCGAGACAGATGACTCGACATCTGGCTTCATAAAGAGCGTCAATAAGGGAGATCAACCGCCGTGCTTGGTTCTTGGCGGAAAGCCTGAGGATAGGGACGGCAGTGATGGCCACAGTGTGATAAGTGGACGCTATCGTCATGTAATCCGCGGATCCAAGAGACTGTTAAGAGGATCAGAAGACTACTCAGAATGGTATTCCAGCGAGAACGTCACCTCGTCACAGAGTTCAACAAATGCGAATTTGCAAACCCCACCGGAGGACCACGGAACGAAGAGCTTACGCCCAAAGACTGACAATTCCATCGAGCGAGGAGTTGCTTCACCGGCACACTTTCTTACTTCTTCCTCGAATTCATCTTCTTTTCCGTACACGTACCAGCTCTTTTTGGTTCCGGCATCCGCGTGCACCGCCCTCCAGTCATGCTCGGAAGGGATCGAAATCACAGTACATCTTTCTTTCAAGGCTTCCACAAAGGGCTCCAATCGGTCTGTCTGCACACCATTCTTATACAGGTCATCAGGGATCTTGTTAGACGTCCCAACAATGACACCCCCCATACGCCAGAACCACGACAATACGTCCGCCAGAAGGGTCGCACTCGATACATCAAGTAGTTGGATCTCGTCGAAGACAATGAGCCAGTGTTGCAGAATGAGCCGTTGGGCGACAACGAATGGTATAGTCGGCTGCACGCTTTCATAAGCAGACATATAGTCCCTTCTTCCCTTCCGCTTCCACTTGACTGGTAGAGAGCCAGAATTTAGCAGCTCCCGCCAGCGATGGCGCACAGATCTGTTCCAAGTTGGAGGGGGTAGACCCTCTGGAGTTGATTTGGAAAATTGAACCTGTGACATTCGGTGTCGAGTCTCTTCCCAGACGGCACGGTAGATTTCCAACACAAGCTCGCTGTAGTGTTTGCGAGCTTTAAAGGGCGTCGGAACAGCAGAAAGCCATAGATCGATCAAAAAACTTTTCCCGGAACCGGGTGGTCCTGTCAGAAGTAAACCCTGGAGAAAGTTAGGTGGTCGTAGAGAACGTGTGCGATGCGCTTGCCTTTGGTGTCGTCAGTGCGACAATCTCTTCTGCATGTGTACGGAAGTGTATCAAGGCCTGGTGTTCTGGAGTAGCATGGGTAGATAAGCCATTATCGAGCCCAATATTCCACCACGGGCGCGATGACGAATCCTCAGTATTCCGAGCATTACTCCCTACAGTTAGGTATCTAGAAGTAAGAGCGGGTGGTGCGTAGCCGTCCAGTTCTCTTTGTAGTCGCCTAAGCTTAGGGAGCTAATTCAGCACCAGTCAATCACGGCAGAGGTACACATGAACTCACTTGCATGATAGCTCTAACCTGTCCCTCGTCATATTTAATTCGGCCTAGTGCGACGAGACCACGGTATCGCTCTAGTAAATCGACATGTTGAGGGAGCTGTGACATCCATCTTGAGCCCGGAAGCAGTACCACGGCTGGGCGACTACAGCAAGGGCGAGACGGTATGACAAGGCGGCCCAGCATACCACTCATAGTCGTTGGGCGGTGACTACGGTCGCAGGATCACGTCTATAGTTATGAATGCATCACCGTGTTATTGACACGATTCACAATCTGTACTCACAATATGACTGAGGCAAGATTACTTCCTCGAGCTAGACTCGAGTTAGGTTCTTGAGCACATACTAGTCAATAAGTAATATTACTGGAATTCTGCCCGTCGACGACAACGTTCCGGGATGCAGTGCGGCCGTTGCCGAAATCTCTAAAAAAGGCAATTACAGGCTATTGGCACACCTCGCCAGCGACGACCGCGTTCCAACCCTCATTCACCGCAACCACCCACCACGCCCTCTCTTGACCGCAGCCACGCGATTTCCAAGCGTACAGGGAGCGCGGGCACTCCTTTTAAACACAATCTGTGATACCTCACCGTTCTACCACCACCATGAACGGCCACTATGCCAACGGGGACGCGACTTCTAACAAGGAGCCGAGTTATGAACGAGTACAGTTGATCAACGATGAGAAGCAGTTCATGTGCGTAAAGGCTACTGTGCAGGAACTGTGCAGTTGATTATCGCTCCCCGTTAGGCCTGAACTGACGCCTCAAATGGGACGCTGGGGGCTGCAAAATGCGGGATTCGACTATAACATTGTTGCAGTATTTGGTTCCCAGTCAACCGGTAAAAGTAAGATTTTCGTTGGCCGCGGTGTCTACGTGACACTGATATCATAAATTTTCCCGCAGGTACATTGTTAAATCGCCTGTTTGGCACCAATTTTGACGTCATGGACGAGACGAGACGACAGCAAACAACTAAAGGTACGCTCTGCTGTTCCTGCGCTTTCTGCAATGCATCATTAACATTCTACAGGGATATGGATGTGTAGAGCCAAGGGAATGAACACTATGGTAATGGACGTCGAGGGTACGGACGGTCGCGAGAGAGGTGAAGACCAGGTGCGTGTCTATATATACCGGTGTATACTTTTAGTCTTATTAGGTCGTAGGATTTCGAGCGCAAATCGGCTTTGTTCTCTCTTGCATCATCAGAAGTTCTTATCGTTAACCTGTGGGAGCACCAAGTCGGTCTGTATCAGGGTGCGAATATGGGCCTTCTGAAAACTGTCTTCGAAGTCAACCTGGGTCTATTTGGGAAGAAGACTGCGGATGGGTATGCGGTCATATCGTCGCTTGACATTTACCTTACCTCATTTTATATGACAGCCGTAGTCAACGCACCTTGCTGTTGTTTGTAATCCGAGATCACATCGGTACCACACCGCTAGAGAACCTGAAGACAACCTTAACTGCGGACATGCAGAAGATTTGGGAGACGCTCTCAAAACCATCCGAACTACAGGATCGCCAGCTCTCAGACTACTTTGATCTTTCGTTCGCTGCTCTACCACACAAAGTACTTGCAGCAGATAAGTTTGAGTCCGAAGTACTAGAACTCAGGAAGCGGTTTGCAGACAAGTCACGAGAGGATTGTGTCTTCAAGCCCGCATACCACAAACGTATTCCCGCAGATGGTGCCGCGTTTTATATGGAAGGCATCTGGGTCAGTCGCGCATACATGCTTCTCAAAACCGCGTTTTGACTTCGTGTACAACAGGAACAAGTTCAAAACAATAAAGATTTGGATCTTCCTACACAGCAAGAACTGCTAGCTCAATTCCGTTGCGACGAGATTTCTACAGCAGCACTGGCTGAATTCAGCGAGCAGGCGAAACCGCAAAGAAGGCCAATCGAGTCCGGGAAGGTGGTCGACGGCCTGGGAAGTATGATGCGCGCCTGGAGATCTGGAGCTTTGTGTAGGTGCACTGTGACGGGTCCACTGTACATCCTGTTGACCAGTGCTGGCATCCACTAGCCCGGTATGACCGCGATGCATCGCGTTATCATCAGGGAGTCTACAGTCGCAAGCGTGCGGATCTTGTATCCGTGCTCGATTCTACGTTGTCGCCCTTGTTCCTTGGACAGCTCAAGAACCTACATAAGCTGTGCCTCGTCACCTTCAAGACGGAGATGCTTGAGGGTATGCGTGGAGAAGGATACAATTTTGCAGATGTTGTTGGTGCAGCTAGAGAACGATGTGAGAAGCGCTTCCTCGAGGGTGCGCAAGAAGCATCAGTTGAAGGCACTGATTGGTCCTACGACGACGAACTTGGATTGTTGAAGGAAGAAGTCAGGGGTGTTGCAGATCAGTGCCGGAAGGATGAAACGAAGAAGATGGTCAATGTGATTGAGGTAAATCAAGACAATATTTCGGGCTTGCGGTTGAAATACGTTCGTCCCACTCATTTGACATGTACAGCGGAATTTCAAGAAGCAGATATCGGAGCCAGTTGAAATCGCTCTCAACAAGCCTGAGTCGGACATGTGGGACAAGGTTCTTTCTTCGTTCCGCTCTACTCTTCAGAAAGCAGAATCCTCGTACCTTGCGAAAGCGAAGAGTGCGCATTGGTTTCACTCATTCGCGCATTAGGTATTTACGTTTTCTTCAGGCTTCGACTGCACCGAGGAAGAGAATACAACATCGCTCGGAGCACTGCGGAAACGAGCATGGCTTGCATTGCGCGCGAAGATCGACGAACAAACCTCTGACGCGGCCTTCCTGACGAAACTTCGTGTGCACTTCGAGGAGAGCTTCCGTTATGACGAACAGGGTGTGCCCCGGGTGTGGAGGCCCGGTGATGACATCGACGGCGCATTCAAGAAGGCCCGAGATCAAGTAGGTGTTTTCGCGCATTGCGTCAATCCATGCGCTGATCTTTCCCCACAAGACTTTGGAATTGATCCCACTCTACTCCAAAATTCAGCCCATCGATCCTTCTTTAGCTTACACGCTCCCGTCGGAGACGTCGGACTCCCTCTCGGAAGTGGATGACTTCGACTTCCCTGCAACCTTGATCATGTTCACAGAGACGAAGATCTTGGATTTGATGAGCCGCTTTAGGCGTGACGCCGATGCCTACTATGTGGAAGCTAAGCGCAGTACTGTGTCGAGCGTCGCACAAATACCGTACTGGATGTATGGTGTCCTCGTCGTTCTGGGTTGGAACGAGGCTATGGTAGTGCTGTTCAACCCTGTATACTTTGCCATGCTCGTTTGTCTGCTCGGTGCTGCGTATGTGGCACATTTCATATCTCATAATGATGAGCTGACCACGTTTGCATTTCAGTTACGTTATAATACAATTGGGGATGGTTGGCCCTCTTTTCCAAGTGTTGCGAACCGTTGGAACCGAAGTTAGTCACGCGTATCACTCGGAATGTTCTGATATTAACATCTCGCTTTCAGGTTCAGCGTCAGGTCAGCGCCCGTCTGCGGGAACACTTCTCTCAGCCTGTTGCAGCACCACCAGTTCGCGCAAAACGATTGGAAGGTGATGAGATAGAGCGGGAACTTCGGCACAGAAAGGCAGAGCCTCTGTAAACCGTATGAGAACCGTATTTACCATGGATAGACATTATATTCTTGTAATTATTGTTTGGTTGGTTTCTCTCCACTAGGTTGGGTAAATTGGATGACAAGGTAAGGAGACTTACAGTCTTACACGGAAAGGATAACAAGCAGATGATATGACGGGCTCTGAACAAATATAAAAAGAGTAGTCAGATCTGACGCATAAAAAAATGAGTCGGCCCAGGTTCGAACTGAGGACCTTCTGTGAGCCATTGTTAGACAGATGCGATAACCAACTACGCCACCGACCCTCATAATAGGCTTGCGCAGGTAAATCTGATGCGGTTTGCTCTTGTTTCGGAGCAACTTCCCTGGCCACGGCGCCACGCACCGCGTCCGACTTCCATCTTAACATCCATGGCTTCTACACCAACGCCTACCCCTGCGACCGCACCCGCGCCAGCGGCACAAAGGTCAAGCAATACTGAGAACATCATTACTGCACTCGGAAATGCATACAAGACACAGACTGGCGAGCCTCTTCAGAGCAATCAAATCGCTCAGCTCCTCATTCAAAACATGAGTCAGTTGAGCGAATTGGCGAAGCAGGGGAAGTTGAACCAAGCTCAAATTCTCCAGGTAACGTTCAGTTCTAAGTTCTGAACGATGTGAAGTTTGACCCAATGAACCAGTTAAAAGAGTATGCGGACAAGCACAAGGCGGGCGCGACGGCATCCACTAGTGTCCCAACGCCAACGCCAACACCGACGCCTGCTCCGCCTGCTGCAGTGAGACTTATTCTTCATTTCTCCACGCATCCAGTTACCCATAGAAATACCCGCAGGTTTCGGCTCCAACGCCTACTAATCCGGCATTTCGAACATCAAGTACACCCTTGCTAAGCGAGCCACCCAGCTCCGAGTCAACGTATCCTATCAGCCAATCCGTAAATCCTACGAATCCAGGCCCCGTTCAATGGCAGACGGCGCAGCAGGCGCGACCAACACTCAGCGGTGGGATTGTGGGTGGGAGGATATCAGGTTCGTGTAGTGATACCAGCCAGCACGGCTTATTGACTGGCTGGGCGCAGGCACACCGGCTCAACTTTCAAAACCATCGGATGATGCTAGTCTCTTAACCGATGATAGCAGGACGCGAAGAAAGAATACTCCAGGCGATCAGAGTATGCGTCGGACAATACAGGATCTAGTTTCGAGCATAGACCCAAACGTTCGGATCGAACCAGAGGTCGAGGATGTATGTTCACACACTATGGGTGTCCTCCTTGCGATGATCAGAACACAATTTTCTTAGCTCTTACTCGACGTCGCGGACGAATTCATCGACTCGGTGACGAATTTCGCATGTCGTCTGGCAAAACATCGAGGTGGAGACACCCTCGAAGTGAAGGATCTCCAACTACATCTTGGTCCGTTTCCTTGCCCATTGACGTTGAGATAAATACTGATATATAAGGTAACAGAACGAAATCATAATATTCGGATACCTGGTTTTGCTTCAGATGAGACGAGAATATCTCTGTTACAAACGGTGACCGCGCCACCTACAGTCCCTGCACCTGCTGGTAAGAAGGGTGTTCAAGGCACGCAGTCGCAGCGCAGTCATCGACTTGCACAGGTGCAAATGGCCAAGAAGGAAGCAAAGTTGATCTAAATATTCCCATCAACACTCGCGTGCTATTTATTGTATGTATTGTTGAATCGTCTTGCTCGGTATCTGGACACCGTTTAACGTCAGCGTCGTTGTATCGTTACTTAATGTATTGTATGTTGTGGATGTTGCATGTCGGCGGACATAAGGAAGCTGATCAACTGTGTAGTCGGTGCCGCTGCGATGTGTTAGAAGACAATGTGATTGCACAGTTATTCTCTCCAGATGAGAATTACATAACGGGTCGGTGGCGTAGTTGGTTATCGCATCTGTCTTACAAGTGCGCACAGAAGGTCCTCAGTTCGAGCCTGGGTCGACTCAATTTTTGCGCTAGTACATCATCGTTCGATTTTAGCTGAAAGCCCATATGAACAATATAATTTAATTGGAGTTTGAAATCAGACACGGATATCAGCCGGATAACAAAATAGTCATTGTTGTGAAGTTGAAATCATAAAACATACGGTACATAAGTCTGGCTGCCCCAAAATGTCAAGAAAATTCCAGCTCCATCAGCACCCAATATATACAGCATTCAACAATTAGGAATTTATATAAAACTAGCAGTATACCCGTGCATACGCACGGTTGGTTCATTACTGATTTCGAGTAACAGTGTATCTAGTGGGCAGCAAAAGTGGCAGCTCCTGCCGCTCCGACCTGTGGTCGGTCGCCTCGGAGCTCCTGTTTACATAGCTACCGCAGACGCTGCAGAAGTTGGGAGAGCGCAAGAGGATACATTTTCTGAGATACATTGAAATAATTGCAAGAAAGATATGATAACGCGCAAATTGAAAGAGTGGGAAGCGGACGCAGAAGCCGTGTCCAACACGGGATATAGGCTGGCAAAGGAAACCATGCTTATTTATAATAGAAGAAGATGCGGAAGATATCACGCAGAATACAAGCACTACGCAATTGCAAGCCCCATCCAGAGGGCTAGCGCTGTAGCCCCCCGTACCGGGGCAGATTAGTCACTCGAATAGCGCCGCATGCTGCAGCAAATCCCTTGCTTGGAGGGTGCATAGTGGGCGAGGAACAATGACTATCTGTCAACGGGGTCAATGTATCAACATATACTCCCGAATGATAGAGGTGTAATGATAAGACTAGTCACAAAATTAAATAGCACGGAGACGCATCGAAAGACGGAGATGGTCCTATCACTACAGACTACATCCCCGGGTTCTCTCAAAAACGCAGATGCATTGCGTTTACAAGGCTGAGTACGAGACGAATATCTCATTCAATGGCGATGACTTGAAGGTAAAAACCATCTGTGTAAGGCGATGAGAATAAAGGGTAAGTGTGTCTGCTCCCGACAAGATTGCATACGTACGAAGGATAGCTTCCTCGATGCTACCAATGCACCGGGCATTCCAGCCATCATGATGTTGCGTGATAGATGTTGTGTTGAACATGATCCATGATACCTACCCATGCTTCAGATCGGTCTCGTTTCCAGTCATGTCGTCTTCGACACAGGCTGATGATTGATGACAAGACCACTAAATTACTTCGTTCGGATGAAGTTGTGACTGGAATCACGCGCTCTTTGAAAGTTTTAAACCCGCTCACATAGGCAGACGTACCTGATGCCCTATCGAGATGGGATTATGATCAGATAAGCTACTGTCATGGATTCAAGACGTACGCATAATATAATTGACCATCCCGTAACAACGTTTTTGAGATCGGTTGAAGAGATTCGCCGTATAAGAATGCTCGTACCCGTCTCCAGTCGGATACTTCATGGTAGCCATTCAACACAAGCCGCCATGAGATCGCGATGAAAACGAATGTGTCGTGTAGGAGAACCGAAATACCAATTGCACCGGCATACATCTCCATTTCCGTCGTCACGCAGAAATTTGTGGGGCCAATAGTGCCACCCGACGCGGAAGGTATGAGCATCATGCTTCCAGCGAGAACACCCAGCCACACAATCGTGTAAGCACCCATCATATACTTATTACTGTGGTAAACAGCGGACATCCGAAAGTAGAAGAGGAGGCTAGTTGCGGAGACAGATAAAGCCATAGAGGTGGTATCGATCTTCTGTATAACCCGCGTGCGCCTGCTGTCGCGGTGGACTGCCGGAGTAGCAAGCGGGAGGCGCAAACGACAGAGCAACGCGCTCGTGACAACATGATAAGCACGATCGCTTCACTATTTATTCTGAATATATAACAGTGTACCTAGTGGGCCTAATTACTCAGAGATGTAGATGCCGCAGGAGTTGGGAGAACGCAAGAGGATACATTTTCTGAGATAAATTGAGATAATTGCAAGAAGGATATGATAACACGCAAAGTGAGAGAGCGGGAAGCGGACGGTAGAAACCGTGTGTCCAAAACGGGATATAGGCTGAAAAAGGAAACCCACAGTTAATTATAATAGAAGATTCTGCTAACACACTTCTCCAATCCCTCTCTTGAGTTCTGACATGGCCGATTTGTGTTGGCTGATCGCCAGCACGATGAAAATGTGCCAAATCGCATGCGAGCCTCCCCCGAATCGGTCGAGCAAGTGTGAGTGAGCCCATCGCGTTGACAGGTAGCACTCTGGGAAATGAGTAGCATAGAAGACAAGCCCAGTGACGTACGATAAGAGAGAGGGCACGATAGGACCTATATTTTCGGTTCATTTAGAGTATAAGAGCAGATAAAAATAAGAAACATACGAATGAATGCCAGCATCTGTGCGGTGGAGTGTAATACTGCAAGGCGAGCAAGAGGCGCCACGCTGGTGAAAGCCAAAGTCACAAAGAACATGATGCGATATTTCTAATGGACGATCGTCAGATCCGTGAAAGCCAGAGACCATGCATACTCACGCGATACTCATACTTGTTGAACCATTCAGTAAACGGCAGAACGCTCCCCGAAACTCCCATAATCAGACACAGCATAAGGAAAAATTTACACGTCGTTGGATTACACTGGAACCCGTAATACACAACTGTACCAACGGACGCGCTGATCAACCTGCAGTCGCGCAATGTATCAGCTCGAAACGAAGGACAATTTTTAGTTACTAGAAACATACCAGCCAATGCCAACGTAATCTATTCGAGCACAAAGCTCCATCCCCTTTGGATGCGCGCAGCCCGCCATGGTATGCCAAAGGGCGCTTGTGAAGAGACAGAGCAATGCGAAAGCAGTGAAAGCGAGCGAAGGTGCATCGATTGGCGCATAAGCAGCCGAGAGTGGGGAATATGGGATGAGTGTAAATAGCCATGTTGTGAAGGGTATCAGATGGGTATGGATGTTCACTACACGATTCGTGATCAATACGATATAGCTGCTACGATAATGAAGTCCTCACAGGTCTCATTATGGAGAGCAAAAAGAGACAGTATTAGACGAGGCCATTCTTGTAGAGGTATAAATCTATGCCGGTCATCAGACAACCATAAGAACCGTGAAGCGTTGTGCATACCGATATCCATGCTGGACGAATGGATTATTACGCCATTGGTCTGGCAGGTCAACGTATTTAATAAGTCGGGAACCGTTTAGGGACTGTTTGACAGCACGCGCAATCTCCAGTGCGACCTTCTCGATGGTGTCTTCGCCCTCACGAAGATCAGAGGAAATCTCATGCACAAGCTCCGAGGAAAGCACTTTGTCATACAGATCGGATAGGGCAGAGGTATGGGAGAGCGGAGACAAGCAGAGACTATGAGGGAGCTCTGTAGACGACAGATGCGACTGTAGAGATTGCAGATGGTCGGAAAGAGTACGAATATAATGCAGTGGTCTATGAAAGTCTATGTCGGAGACGCGACAGCAGACGTCGTCAAGACGTGAACGCAGGTCGGAGAAATCGAGGTCGGGAATCCGTGAGCGAACAACATCTGGCATATCAGGTAGGTGTGCGCGCATGCCGTCAAGGCTGGATACATCTAGCATATGAGACTTGACGTGTTCGAGACTAAGGTCCGGGAGCTGCGAACAGACGAGTGTTCGTATAGACTGAAGCATATCCAACCCATCTCTGGCCCACATCCTAACTTCATCAACAGTCAGTTCACCTCTGCTCTTGAGCGAATCGGGTGAATTTGGGGAGTCGAACAGAGTAAGGCGAGCTTCCAGGTCAGCAAGGCAAGAAAGAACCTGGAGGCGGAGTGCAGAAAGAGTTGGAGCGAGCGACGAGTTTGACAAGTCTAACGCTTCTAGCGAATGCGGCAAGGACTGGCATAGTGAATGACGGGGATAGGTGCCTGCCTGATTTGTCGAGAAACGTCGTGCGCCTGGGATCCGACGACGGCGCACTTCAGTAGTGCGAGTCATGGTGGCCATTTGGGAAGATGATAGGACTGTGAAGCTGGAGAGCAGTAGTCAGGTTTACAACACTTGATGCGCCCCTCTCGGCGAGCGGTGATGGATATATGATGGGGCAGTTTGGAGCTTGCGCCTAAATAGAGAACCACTCACAGGGGATATTACCTAGCGCCAACCTTCAATTAAAGAGCCACCCAGCTGCCGGTGCGGGTGGTTTCAGAAGGAAGGGGCGCAGGTGGAGAGGTTAAAGAACGCAAACCTGGATGAAGTCGATTCAGACCGGGTCGAGGATACGCGAGCCCACGTGACTTCATATACCCTCGATAAGCGCCTGCAATGGTATCCAAAACACGCCGAGTGGGCACAGGTGGGCACTGGGCACTCTCTTTGCCTTTCACACACGTTTGAATCATTCATCAATCTCTTCGTGGCAGTCCGCTTCATTCTCTTTTGTTTCCGTGCAAAAATCGAAGCTAATTACTGCAGCCATATATACCCGGTTAACCCTGATGCATGTCTTACTGATTGGTCTGGGGAACTTGCCGTATCCTCGCACGCGACATAGGTTAGGCCATCGTCGTCCTCGATGGTTCTTACAAGCTCATAATAATCGCAATCACAGTATAGGACATCTAATTATTGACTCAATCGCGTCTCATCTAGGTCTATCCTTCGTACCGGAGAGGGCGGGCTACAAAGCTATCAAACCAGATGTTGAACTAGGGAACCAAATTGTGTCTCTAACCCTCTTCAAACCTAGTGAGTGATAAACCGTGTCATGCACCAACCTCTCAGATCATATTATAACTCATACATAACTCATGTAGAGGCTCTCATGAACATTTCTGGTCGACCCGTTGCTGACGCCATACGCTTTGCTGGGATATCGCCGTCAGCTGCCGTGGTAATTCACGACTCTCTCTCTCACAAGCCAATGACAATCTCACCAAAATTCGGGGGATCAGCCAACGGACACAATGGCGTGCGGAGCATAATATCCGCACTGGGTAGTAACTCGGATTTCCATCGTTTGAGAATAGGCATCGGCCGTGACGACAGTGACCCGGCACAGTATGTTCTGAGTCCGCTGTCTCCAGCCGAACGCGAATTCTGGAGTCCAGGCGGTAGAGGTGTCGACCTTGTCTTGAAAGAGTTGACCAGGATTGTGGCCGGCCCGCGATAACGTGGAATTCGAATTTCGAAGTGAGTGAATCATCACTATAAGAACAAGCTGTTTGATACAAGGGTGTGGCGACGTCGCTTTTTAGCATCACGCGACATTCTGTGGAGTCTTTCACTGACTTCGGGGCTACTAACATCCGATTTCTGCACAATTCTCCCGTATCCATACGGCATGAGGCTGCTGGAGGGCAGCACGCGATCGTTCCATCTCGCTTCTGTCAGTCGTTCTTCTCAGTAGAGTTTGCTTTCCGTGTGGTAATGAAGCATCAATATCGCGAAAGATGTAAGGTCACGCGCTGGCTTGGCATCCATGTTCTCTGCCCGTTGCATGTGCTACAGTTCCTTCGACGATAGCTTGCGCGCAATAATTCCATGCCTTCTGTGGATATATGGATACATAAGGCCCAGCAATGGGTCTGGTGTAGACGACGTCCGGACAGTGTCTACTTGCTTTCGTGATGTCGCCCTTCAAACGACTCATCTCACTGCTAAGTGGTGCTTCTCTTCTGAGCGTTGCCTATGCCCAGCCGTCACCCGTCGTGCAAGAAAGAATATCTGCTGCAATTGCGAAAGCTGCTATAGATCCGTACGATGTTAACTATACCGAGTTTGTGAACGTATTTATCGGAACTAACGATTACGGTGATGTCTGGTGAGTTCTCAACGACTATACCCAACGGCATCTCATTACGGCGACAAAGTCCTGGGGCTTCTATACCTTTTGGCATGGTAAGTGTTTGTTGTTGCAGCAGGTTATTGATCGCACTGAGTACTGTAGGTCAAATTTTCGACGGATCTCACGGGGTATGCTCCTGCCGGTGTGTACCAGCCATTCTGCAGTCGTATACTGGATGACATGATAAATGGACCAGGATACGTCACGGACCCAACTCAGAAAATACGGGGCTTAAGTCCGATGCACGACAGTGGGACTGGATCTTCTCTTGGTAAACGCCTATGAGTTTCTCGCTTTGCCCAGGGAATTGAAACATACCCCGCTTAGGAACGTATGGCAATTTCGAGATCATGCCTCTTTTGTGTCCGGGAGGTTACGAGACCTGCACTGTAAGGTTGGACGATCGTGAACGGTACCGGAAGAATAATACAGATGTGATCATCCTTGCTCAGTATGGGGATTCGATTCGATCGCTGACTCAAGATGCAGGATGCTTACCCCGGCTACTTCTCTCAAACTATGGACAACGACATCAAGATGGAAGCCACCTCAACACGCCGCGCTGGCCTGGAACGTTTTACTTTTCCCGAAGGATCGGGAACGCCCTATTTTGTTCTCGATCTCGCAAACGATCTTCCGCAGTCATTTGCCGGTGGTTACTTGGACATCGACCCAGCCTTGGGTAGAATCACCATCGGAGGACACTGGGGATCGAGGCATGTGGTCGCTTTGTTACCCATGGGACATTTCTCATCAAGCTGTGAATAGTTTTGGACCTGGGGCGTTTCACTACCAAGCATTTGCTTGTTACGACTTGCTTGACGACGGGAAACAGACACTAGACGAGTACGGCGTCTGGACAGGCGAGACGTGAGATTCCTGTCGGTCATGACCAATGGTTGTTTGAGTCTCATCACTTTACAGGTACGGACTTGATTACTGGGATGATGCTAAGGGCCTAGGAGAGACACATCTGAACCTATCAGTGAACCTCATTGGTGATGTGTATCAGTCTGGCGCCCTCTTTTCATATGCGGGGGAGCCCAGTGAGATCAATATCCGAGTTGGCATCTCATTCGTATCCGCGGAGCAAGCATGTCTGAATGCAGAGACGGAAGTGGGAAGTGCAACATTCGATGAGATCATCACGCAATCCCAGACGCTCTGGAACGAACAACTAAGCAAAGTTACGATTGACTTTTCTCACACAGAGCCCAATATCACGGAGCTTCTTTATTCTTCCTTGTATCGCGCATCGTTGACGCCGGTAAGAAACCGTTTAACGCTGCGGTTGGATACCTCATGTTTGAATATTCGGCCCAGAATAATGCCACGGATGAAACGCAAGGCGTGTTCGCCAACACCACGCACTTTTATTTTGATTCATTGTATTGCAGGTGTGTCGTGGTGATACAAATATGTGTGCGTATGCTCAAAGCGATCGACAGCTGGGATACGTTCCGTACTTTCTATCCCCTGATGGCGTTGCATTCCCCGGTGGAATTCGCTCAGATTGTCGACAACTACATCGATAGCTATCTCAAACGTGGGTGGATGCCCGATTGTAGGGCGAACAATCTTCCGGGTTGGACACAAGGAGGTAAGAGTAACATGTCAAGACCGGCCCGGGCTAATAGCATCTATCCTTGCAGGCTCAAGTGCCGATGTAATTGTGGGACACTTTGCCATGACTTACCACGATGAAGCCAAGCAACTTGGCATCGACCTGGAGCAGCTGTATGCGGCAATGATCGCCGATGGGGAAGTCAATCCACCAGAATGGAACATTCAAGGCCGTCAAGTTAATGTTTACAGGTACGTGGGCTCACTAGTACCTACACGACTTGGCTTGATCAACGCGCTACAAGACAATACGGGTATATTCCTTTTGCAGTCCTCGATACTGCTAGTACGGGTCGTATGACAAGGGAAGGAAGCAGGACGGTTGAGGTGAGACGCTATTTACCTCGGTAGATCACATCCCGAGTCTCGCAGTATGCATACGAAGATTTTGCCATCCGTCAAGTAGCATTGCTATTAAACAAGACAGAAGATGTAGACACATACACAAACCGGTCCTACGTGCGTCTTCAATGCTACTGGAATACCTGCCTTCTGAACCTGTTTGAATGTAGTTCTATCGCAATGTTTGGGATCCCACCGTCGAGAGTGACGGATTCACTGGTCAGTCATTCTCATACTGTATTCCGTCGATATTGTGACTTACCTCTAATAGGCTTCGCTCAGAAGCGCTATTCCAACGGCACTTTTTACTACACCGACCCTATTGACTGTTCTCCAGCCGACCCAGATCCCAATAGGGAATGCTCTTTGCAGGACGATAACGTCGTCGGCTTTTACGAGTCGTCGTCTTGGGAGTACAGCTAGTAGGTATTGGTGGCCAGAACATTGGTATATATTACTCATGTCTTTACAGTTTCGCTCCACACGATATGGCTTACCTAGTTCAAGTTATGGGAGGTAACGTGCGTTTGCTCTCTTGATGAGCCTAATTTTCGAGACCGATGCGCATCGCAGACTACCTTTGTTGAACGTTTAGACCATTTTTTCAATGTAAGTATCATTGGGGGGAGGAGTTGATGATCACTAAATTTCCTGTTCACAGGCGAGCTATTTCAACGTCGGAAATGAGCCATCTTTCAACGTAAGCTGAACACTTTTTACGATGTCTCCGAAAATGATGTTCACTCCGCTTTCAAGACACCTATCAATTATCATTATGCCAATAGTCCGACAAACAGTGTCGATCAAGTGCACAATACTGTCTTCGAATATTTTGACATCAGTAAGTCATATAGTATGATAATACGAGCAACGTTCTCATGTAGCCTTTTGTGACTATAGCGCCAGCCGGATTGCCTGGCAACGACGACCAAGCAGCAATGGCGACTGTGCTAGTCTGGCACCTACTTGGGCTGTATCCTGGTACGTCTTATATACCTCATGGCTCAGCAGCATCGTTCTGATAAGGTCCTGGCAGTGCCTGGTACATCAGAAATACTAGTGGTCTCTCCCTTCTTGCCCACATACACCATTCACAATAGCTATCTGGGGGTCAGCACGACAGTAACAGTCCAGAACTTCGACTCTCGCTCAGTCCAGCAGACCATACCACCCGGCGTGGCCGCATATGTGAAGAGCGTCACTATCAACGGCCAGCTGTCCCCATCAAGGTGCCACTTCGACTTCTACGATACATTCCGAGTCGGCGGGGAAGTAATCATTGAGGTAACCTCCGACAAGAATTCAGTTAATGATTGCGGAACATCTTTGCCTTATTCCTTATCTACTGGCGGCTTCAATAGTGTCCGATGATGTGCCAAGAATGGTCCACAATGTCTGGGTTGGAGGCGTTCCGAGATCAGCACTCGATGCGCCTTGTACAATGTAAAGTTGAAGTATCGCAGGCGGCGGCACTGCTGAATACCACCATTTCTGTATGTACATTTATAAAACCGCGATGTTCAGGCAGTGTATTGCTATACTTTGACAAGCGTTCAAGGATAAGATGAATACCTTATTGAACGCACGGGAGCAACAAAATGATTTGAGATCTACTCAATGCCGTGGTAGCGATAAGGGGTATGAGTTTACTAAGAAACGGGTAAAGATGGACAGCGGTGGATCATAGCAGATTACAAACACAGCAGTATCAAGAAATGAATACAAGCACCAGATACAGTACGAATAGGACTGTCCCTAATATCATAATCATCACCACATCGCAGATCATAAGGAAATGGAAGAAAAATCCAAACAACAACTACGCAGTCGACGGACCTGCGACAGGCTTAACTGGGAGTCGAATAAGAAGGACGCCAGCATTGTTGGGGTCTGGGGTCGTTTCTATATGATGGCTACCGGATCATAAGCAAACCTGCTAATTCGAGGAAACTAATCACTCACTCCTCCATCGCGCCAATAATGGCCAACTTTAGGACCGGTATCTTCCCCTTTGAATGATTCCCCCGACCCGTAATTACACGCAATTCCGGAGTCCCAGCTTCAAGAGCGTCAAACAATGATTGCTCAACTCTAGCCACTGCTTCAGGGACCTTCAAACGGTGCACATCAATTGTTTGCGGCTCAGGAGTGCGATTATGCGCTAGAAACCAGTCAACAGCTACACGAAGAAATTATGTATAGTAGGACACACCTTTGAAGTAGCGTCGCTCGGCTCTCGCGTGCATGGCCTGGGCATTTTGAGCAGCTCTATCGTGTTCAACTTTCAGCCGAAAAGCCAGCCAAAAGTCTTTGTCACGATTTGCAGCATCATACTCCCGCTTTAGCTTTGCCCTAGTGGCATCCAGTTCAACGGCTTCCTTCCTCAGAGTATCAGCTCTTGACACAAGCGCCCCATGTGAATGTTCCGAGATCACGCTAGGTGCCTGAGACTCAGCGACGGACACATTATCCGGAAACTTCGTGTCCATTTGATCATACGACGGGGGTGGACTCCTGTTCCCAGTACCTCGCTCTGTCATTGCTGCATCCACGTCATCCGGAGTGGGTATGTCGGGCATTTCACCAGCGGGTGGTGCGATGCTTGGAGTTGGCAGAGGATCTCCAAGCTCTGGAGGTACTGAGACCAATGGGTCCAAATGTCGTGAGGATGGTCGAAGAGGAATTGGAATTGGAGGAGAGTCTGTCAACTCAGTCCTCGTAGGCGTGCGAGCTCCGTCATGGAAGCCATCGTCCTCAATAATCATGACTGGAGGTAATCGCTCTCTTCTGGTTTCTGGGCTTATTGATCTCTCTAGTGGAGTTGTTAACCCAGAATAATCTCTAGGTCGTCCATCCGAGCCGCTTGCTTGACTACCACTTTGTTCAGGTGTAGTGAGTCCAGAGGCGACGGATCTGGTAGGTCGGGATACAGGACGAGAAGCAGGGCGTATTATCGAAGGGTATGTCTCCATTCCGGGGGTGTGGGGAATGTCGGGAATGTAATCGAGCTCTGATGGTGTTCGCGTTCGCATAGGTAATTGCTGCAGTCGCGACGCGCGAGTAGCCTCTGTGTCCGCCTCAGACCAGTCAGAAAAGGAGCCCGGAAGAGGACGAGTGCTGGGACGACGTGCGGGGACGGGGGGAACCGGTGATCTTGCATGAGGTCGTAATTGTGGTTGCGATCGGGGTGATATGGGGGAGCGCAAGATAGGGGGACTGCGAGCGGTGTTAGACGAAGTTGTGGAAGCATTGGGAGGTACTTGAAGGAACTGGACACGAGAGGGAGCACGCGCAGTTGTATAAGGCCTAAGAAAAGCGGGCAAGGCTCGCTGGACGCGACGCCAGAGTCGACGAAATCGTTTATCTTCCAAGAGTTCTAAACCAAGGTCGGAAAGCAGTAATCCAAGGCCAGTCCAGACAACCACGATAGCAAGCCTCGTCACGCTTGCTGTGAACAACAAATCGACGAATAAACGAAATCCAAAGGCGACAAACGGATCCAATGAGCGGGGAAATTTGGCTAGAAAGTGGTGAAGAACTGCTCCTTCCCACAGTCCAACCAAAGAGCCATTTACCCTATGGTTGTGGTGGGTCACAGTGTCGATTATCGCGCGCAGAGCCAGTCCAACGCCAATGGCGAAGATATTGTCCATTTGTCATGCCCGACAAGCAGCGAGATGGATGTGGCAAGAAGCAAAGCACACTTGTCGCGTTTTCCACGCGCCGGACAATGTGGTGCGTGACCAATAACGTAAAAAATGAATCAATTTCCGGCTGCTTAATTTTAGATGTTAAATTATATAAGCTACGCGACTCTGCAAATACTTATGCTTGATGGCATAAGCACTAAAATTGGAAGATACTCAAGCCTACACTGAATGTATCCAGCTCCTCCCAACTACGAAAAACGCTCTACTCCCCTTTTCTTGACCTGTCAACCACCGGCCTATAGACATCCTGTATGAAGACAAAACGTGAGCAGAAAAATCAAGATCAGCGTCACACTACATACCTTCAAGCGTAATCGAGGATCTCAACTTTACCGTTCCTGTATCCGAGCGCTATCCGCCCTACGCTGTCGTCGAACGTCGCCGTTACCATAGAGTAAAGCTTCCATATGATCTCATGCATATCGCATCTTCTGACGTATATAGAATCTCGGCAGAGCCTCACTTTGTTTCCTGACGTCGCCGTCGATAGCGGGTTTGCACAATCCCCGCACTCGCTAGCCTCTAACTCACTGCAGGTCTTGTCCTCCTGTTGCTCCTGTTCACGAGTTGGAAGTTGTTTGTCAGACCCCCAAGCGACGTAGAAACCCTTCAGACAACGCGCTGGTTGCTTGATATTGCGTAAAGTGACGTTCCGAGTTTCGATCCAGAATCCCTTCCCGCTTGAGCTGACATGCAACTGCTGGCTTGACGGAGGCACGACAAATGCAGCAGTCCAAGTTGGAGGAAATTTGCACGGAAGGTGGAAAAACGCGTCCGGCTGCACTTGCGAAGCATCATTGTCATCAGCTCTGCAAGCAGGCAATAAGTCGCATTGAACGATCTCGTCTACTCCGTCATGAGTGCATCGAGTGAGGACAGTGACAGGCTCGGACGGCCAGTCAGGGTGATTTCCCGTCAGGGTTGTGGAGGTGGCCCTGACAACGATTACGGCTTCGGTAGCGTGACGTTCCAAGTATCCGATTGTGGATTGGTCACTGCTGTACACTGTCCGTTTGTTGTTCCAGGAGGGCGCATATTCAAGCTGTAGCGAGCGCTCGCGAACGATAAGCATATAACGGTTGATTATCTTAACAGACAATACTTTATTGTTCTGTCAGATCTCGGTGAGTAATGGGTTGGTGTCATAAGAGCAAGTTGCTTACGTCTTGAATTAAACTGAGATGAGGTCTGCCCACCGGCTGCACTTCTGCCGGATCTCTGAACCAAGCAGTCAGAGACTCTCCGAAAATGACGTAGTCGCCGCGCATAACATGCAAAGGGAGAACATGGCTGCGGTGACCCTTGAGCTTGGCCAACATTCGGAAGCACCCGCGAAACTTGTCCAATGCAAGAGCACAGATTTCTGTTGCGTCTGGGCTGATGGGCGGTTAGTACTATGTCTTTCAATAGAAACAGGGTTTGACTCACACATTCGGCTCAGTGCCAACGCTCGCAAACGCCAGAGTTGCATCGCTATATGGATCCTCATTCACGATCATATGATTCACTCTCTTGCTGTTCACCCATTCAGCGACTCGGTAGGCATCAGAGCCATCAAGGGGAATTTCCCAACAAGTAATAATCCGTCCGACGACCGTCACAAGATATTGACCGTGCTGTCCCGGAAGAAAGCACACGTGGCTGACAACACTCTCAAGAGTATCCACTTCTTCATTCTGAGGAGGAGGGCGGGCCGCTTGAAACGTCATCGCGTGCTGAGGCTTTGGACGCGGTGAGCACCAGTTGTCGTGGAATCTGGAGGCATGGATCACCCTCGCCTCCAGCTGCTCCGCCGAGAATGCCCTAGTGTCACCAGTATCGGCGGGAATGGGAATTCCCTTTCCAGTGAGATGATACTTTACTGCGTCGTGCCAAACCCAGCGCGACTTGGTCACCGAGTAGAAACGATGAGACGTCTGCACATATGCATCAATTAACAGGTCAAGGCAGGGTGGTCCAGCATGCTTACCCTCCTCAGGGATAAGATATCCTTGATATTAACGAAGCTGACGATAAGAAGTAGAATGTCGTCTGGGAGTGAGATAAACGCGTCCTCGCGAGACCGTATGGGCTCGAGAAGCAGACAGCCAACATATGTTGGCTTAGAGTAAGTGACGAGAGAGCGCAAAGAGGGCGACATGTTAACCATTCCAGCAGCGAGATATGTCGGGGGGTATAAGAACGGATGCGAGGACTGATGGACGGGCAGCGAAGAGCCTCATTTTTGAAGGGATTCAAGAAGAACAAGGAGATGTCCAAATGCAGGTGTCAGCCGTGCACAATGTGCTTTCACGTGCTTGACAAGTTAGGAAACTTGAATGCGACTGTTAGCCTCTTGCAACTGCTTGCGCATGCTACAAAGCTCCACGCAGTGCTCTCAGGCTATTTGTCTTGTCCGTTCGGTCTCTTGTCTGTTGTTCCAAGCGCAAGGATTTGTTGCGTTTATATTCTCCCAAAAACAACAGGCAAAAGTTTGCGATCCCCTAGCCGCACCGACTGGCGATGGGATTAGCCAAGTCAATTGTAATGGCCCTATGAACTTGACAGTGACATCGCGGTGCAGCGCGCGCTAGGTTGATGATTGTCTGCCTATCCCAGGTCTCCTTGATTATACTACTGAAAGCCCTCACGCCGTGAACAGATCCTGAATGGACACCACTACATCCCTCGAACTAAACTTTGAGAACAGACAGACTCTCGTTGCTGCGCTGCATCGATGCAGCATACTCATGCACGAGCCTCAGAAGCGATTGCATGTTTACAAGGTTCATGTTTCACGGTGCCTTATCGTACATAATACCAATGTTGCAACCAGCAATCCACCCACAAACTCCTTGTCTTATGCGAGCGATTCGCTCTGGATTGTCTCGATTCAGAACCGGACACGGTGCATCGACCCCGGTCCCACGCGGCGGGACATCATCCAACACGGTCCGGAGGAAGGCGTGCGGAGGGCAATAAATTCTTGTATGAACAGGAAAACATACTTCGCGACGTCGTAAGGTCTGTACAACACTTTACTTTATCACTCAACTTCTCAGGACCGTCGCCTGTGCAGGTGGTATGACAAAATTCTTGAATACTTCAAGGATTGGTCTCAGTCGTCAGACGTTGTAGAATCTCTAGTTAGGTGGGATGAGATCAGGGCCGACCTTGACAAAATATTTCGTACATGCCCCGGTGACGTAATGAAGGCGGTATGTAAGCCATTCCTTATCCCTCATAGAATTCGGACGCATATTTCTCCACAGCAAGCGAAACAGTCTTCGTCTCAGTTGTCCGACATCCGAGTGTTCTCACGGCCCAATGTCAGGGAGACGTTAGATGCGTTGTGGGTTGCATTGTCATCGAAGGACGACGTCGCGAGGATGATGCAACTCACCGGCCCTAAGGCGAGGTCGATTATCAATTTGCTGGATGAGGTCCGTCAGCTGTCATCAGAGCTACCATGCAGCTGCTCATGTTGTGTCAAGGCCCTCAATGTACTTGAGATTCGCGGCCGCTTGCATTCGAAGGCTCTTCATACCCTACGAAAGCTCTGTGCCTCCCGCGGCGTTCTGCCGGACTCGTTCAAAGTGAATTCCCAGGATCTGAAACTAATCAAGGATCACCCAGAGGCATCGGGTGGGTTCGCAGACATTTGGCTCGGCCAGTACAAGGAAGCAGAAGTTGCTCTGAAGGTATTTCGTATTTATGGACGAGATAACTTACAAGCCGTCCACAAGGCAAGCGTACCTGAGCTTTTTTGGTTGTCCAACCATGACTGAAAGTGAAAGCCAATTTTCAGACATTTGGGAGGGAGGCTGTCCTTTGGAAGCGCTTGCGGCATGCAAATATTGTAGAATTCATTGGTGTAAATACTGAATTATTCCCGCTGTCAATGGTCTGCGAGTGGATGAAGAACGGCGATGTCATGTCCTTCTTAAAGGCACATCCTGGATCGAATCGACTGGAACTGGTGAGCTCCAGCTATTCTTTCTAGACTATAGCTCACCTTGATGAATAGCTCGTTGACATTGGGCAAGGTTTAGAATTCTTACATTCTTTGGGCATCTTACACGGCGACCTCAAAGGCGTAAGCAATCTTTTCGTCACGCTTGTTATCCGTTGGTCGTGACCACTTGTTTCGAAGGCCAATGTCCTTGTCAACGACAAGCTTCATGCCTGCCTGACCGACTTCGGTCTCACCGCCGTCACTTACGATCCGAACACTGTGAATGCGATCTCGACGTCTTCAAGTGTCAATGGTTCTATTCGTTGGATGCCCCCGGAGATACTCAACCCTGAGCATGCGGGGCTAGAGAAGGCGCGTTCCACTCCGGAAAGTGACATATATTCGTTCGCCATGGTCATGTGGGAGGTCCGTTGTATGCCTGTGTCGCGCGCGCATTTTCACCTACGACGAGCAGATGTTCACAGGCTGCATTCCATTCTACGAAAATACACGCGATCCCCAAGTTGTATTTCGCGTGATCCTGGGCATCCGTCCCGAGCGCCCCGCTCTCTCGACGCCCCTTGGGCTTTCTGATCCTGTCTGGGACCTCATGGAGTCATGTTGGCATGGGGAATGGCAGCGACGTCCGCGTATACCTATTGTTCTGCAGACACTTCGGGGAGCATTTGAGGAGTATGGAATCATCAGTGCGCGTCCCGCAGCTTGGCCTCTACTTGCCAACCACGCACGGGATGGCATCCGTGGTGATGCGGCGATAATTGACAGTGCCGAGTTACCAGGCATGCGTTTTTATAGACCTGTTTTCAAATGTTAACACTCCTTTTCTGCAGATTTCACGCTGCCGCGGTCGACGACAGAGGGCGTATCTGTCTACCCACCAAGCTTTGCAGTGTCTCTCCAAGAAGAAGTGGGTATGCCGGAGTATCTCAGTGACATCGCGACAAGTGACGATGTACCTACGGCCTTGGAGACTCTCGGCATTAACAAGTCACCCCATTGGGAATTCGTCGCTCATGATGAAGCATGGGTATGATTGTACTCCAGCCATAATGTAAGCGACTATTCAGTTGGTCCGAGTCAATGGTTTTTATCCATCGCCTTCAAGTAGGGCTAAGGCTGTGTACACATAGGTGCACTTACCCGTACTACCGTTGTCGTTCTTGCGTCGCCTGGATTTCCATCACCTTAAAATGGGTTCAATGGTATATGAGAGTGTTCTAGAAGCAACACGGGTCTAACCACTGAAGCATCCATGGGCAAATCAAGTTAATAGATAAGGCGTGTCACTTTACTGCCGCCGTATACAGAAGACAAGTTCTACTCTGAATTATGACAAAAGCCCTTCCCAGCATCAGACAGGTGTAGTGGCATTCGCAGGGTTCTGCTCTATCTTTTCCGGGATACCCGTCATGTAAGCGGTGGACTTGGGCAACGCAGCTGCTAAAGGCTGAGGCGGTGGGGGCCGGTTGCTGTCGATATCGATCAAGCCCACGTCCTCATAAGCATCCTTTGGTCCTTGATCAGCGCTCGATGGCTCCGGTAGTATCGCGTTTGTGTTGACGACCATAGAATGGCCCTTGCTGTCGGCAGGATGGGCTACTGAGTTGTGGGCCGTAAGCTCACGGCCGAGGTCTCCACGACGGGAGCGGAGAGCGGCGTGAGGCGAGTGAGGAGTACTCGTGGTGCTCGTGGTGTACCTGGGGTCGATGGGCGTAGACACAGCTGTGGCTGCGACCTTTTGGAACGTGGGCATCACGCCGGCCGACGTCGTTGTCTGCGTCCCGTTGGGTACGGGGTCATTCGGTGTACTATTTGAATCGAAAGCGGTGCCGAGCAGCTGGTGGAAGCCGTCCGATCCGCTCGCCCTCGCGTCGCCGAGTCCCTGCAGGGCTGATGTAGACGCCCCCATGGGGGCTGCGAACAACTCAGCTTGCGGCTGTGGGGGTGGGGGTGTTGCGGAAGGCAGGGGCGCGTTCTGCTGCTGCATCTTCATCCGCGCGCGATCGATGGCCTCTGATTTCTTGCTGCGTTTGAGAAGGCCCGCACTGGGTGCCAGTGGCCATGTCATGTTCCCCCCGACGTTGTGATCGGCAATGCGGATCTGCCTCCCGAAATGCTTCAGGATGGATCCGTGAGGTGAAGCATTTAGAAGATTTAGGTTGGGAATTTCACTGGGGCCTACCAACCCTATCTCGGACAAGGGCGAGTCTGCAATGGGGATGAATGCCTCGATAGGTGCGGAAGCTGCCGGAACAACCGCAATCAGGGATATGAGAGCAAAAGCTGATACACGCATCGAGTCGATGAAGATAGTGGGCGAATAACGAAGTTCCACCTGAAGAAGCAAAAGTCAGAGGATGGGCTTGAAGACGGGCTGGACGAGGGCTTATTTGTGACGATCAGCTGGAAGGAGTCCCGGATATGAGATCCCCAGGTGTTTCGTCAGCCGGAGGCTGGTCAGAAGAGGACTAGGATGGCTGACAGAAGGCCATGGCCGACCTCCGATCACAGGTTTGGCTGTGCATTCTTGATTCACTCTTTGTTTTGTTTTGATCCATAGTAAACTGGTAAGTAAAGTGGGTGGATATATGCATGTGTGATCATCCTACTCAACTGCCAAAATAGTGGGCAAGTGTAAGGTCGGAAGATGCCGCCCACTGGGCCAGACGCCGTGTCCAAGACACCCGCCTGGTACTTGCTCGTGAAGGCAATCGGTAGCTGCTCCTTGAGTAGGAGCACACATAGCCTCGGAAGGACAGCTAAACATACTCAAGTGTTCGACACCGCAGCGGCGGATAGGCTCCCCATGCCGCCTCCCGCCATCTGCTTTGGAACTATCCGCCCGCGGTAACTTCTTACGGCCTACCCGACCTTCTCAACGACCGTGGAGCTGGGCTGGTTGTGATATGAATACCCCTCATCCTTCTCTTCAGATGAGGCTGAGTAGTACTCGTGCTACAAACCTTCTGCAGATCCGCCATGTCCCCTGCGCATAGTCCGGTCACTTTCCCCAGATCTCAGCGGCAGAACACCGGATTCCAAGGCGTGGGCTTACGTCTTCTGAGCTGTCTGATACATCTACTTGGTCAGTGTCCTTGAGTTCTATAGCAGTCGCACATAGTAACCCCTCACAGGCGTCTCGATTTTATCCTTCCTGTTTTCAAGACGGTTTAGGATACGAGATTTCAGATCTATTCGGCAGCTTGCTTGCTTAGGACCCTCTAGATATCTCGTTGTACTGATCCTCCTTACTTCGTAAGTGCTTTTTTAAAATCGGCCGTAGCAGGTTTGTGTTGAACACAGTGCATAGATGGACTTTCCTGTTCGCTGGTAGGCCCTCGCCCACCAATCATACGTGCCATATTGACACAACTCTCAGCTGGTCTTCTCATTCAGGGCGCAGGGCTGGGTTTGAATTACACTGTGTGCTCTATGGCTGTTATAAACTGCATCGTCTTCTATGCATCATCCAAAGTCTTGATTTATTTTTTCCTTAGTAAGCTTCCAGTCTTTTCAGAGACTCTCAAGATCACTAACATATGAATGTTGCAGTTGAAAAGATACATGTCGTATGGAGTCCGGCACATCATTCAAAACGCATACATTCTCCCCTTTACGTTGTATGCTTTTTCATCGTAGTGCTATATGGGGTTGTTGGCACAGTATTGATCATCCGTACGTGTATGGCATTGGCACCTGTTGTCCCACTTATCCCTTTTCAGAAAGAATTTCATACTTCCGCGATGACGGTGCCTGCGTAATTGGCCTCAAGCGTCCTGCTTCAATCACTTTGCTCATATACGATCTGTGAGTTCTTTCGTGACCCCCCACCCTTACCTTCTCAATGAGACTCTTATAGGTGCATTAATATTCTATTCACGTCCCTTTTTTTATGGCCGTTGTACAAATCGACTTTCCGTAGCGTCCGCATACGCCGAGCCGCTGTGCGGACAGTATGGTGAGCTATCACACTACGTCTTGATGGAAGTAAGCTAGACGGATCCTCTAGGGCTGCTGGCGTTGCACTGTCCACATCTTGCATCAATATCCTTGCGCTTACATTGATGAAAGGACAGCAGCTTGGATGGGTCTGTTTAGGCTGTTGTGGGGTTGATGTATGTAAAGCTGCTCCTTTCACGTTTTTGTATTCACTCCCGGTGCTTTTCTATACGAACCTAATTCTAGGTCGTGATCAATTCGATTGCCATTTTCTGGGTCACTTCCTACTCCGAGTCGCGAGGGCAGTCAATAACAGTTCCCGAGCTAGCGAGCATCGCCCAATCACGCCCTGGGGAGGACGGCACCTTCAGGTCTAGTCTCCCGCATCATCGTTCGCTCGACACAGCAACGTTTCAAACGGAGCTGAGCTCGAAAGCAGACCTATCGCTCAGCCGCAGTTCTAATGCGGCGTTGACTTCTGCGGAAAGGCAAATATCTCAGCTCAACAAAAGCCATCTGCCCTCATCGGAGACGCGTTGCGCGGAGAAGGAAGAAAATGTGTCCGAAAGCGATGAGGCGCACGCCGCTCAGCAGAAGCAATTCCGTAGCGTGAGGGCGTTTACAGTGCCTTCGATGCTTCATCGAGGGAGAAACGACCCAAGCCCGCTCGCGATACAGGTACGTAGTCCGTGTGGGCGTAGTCCATCCATAAGACTCATGTCATCAGGTCCACATAAGTAAAGAATACGACCTCTCACGATAAGACATTCATTCAGCCACGCTCCGGGTCATGGTGTATGATAATCTGGAAGCCATGGAGTCCACAATTACTTGTACGGTTACATAGTAGGTTATGCTTTTAAGACATACAATAAAGATTTATCCGGGTAGAGGCGACTACGAGATGACAACATTTCTAAGTCCAGCCAGCCTGTTGGCTCTCTACAGCTACAGTGTCAGTCAAGAATAAACATCGTACTTGTTCGCACATTGGCGCAACAACTGTCTACTACCCTCAGCGCGGAAGACAGGAAATGACCAGTCTAAGCGACCGGCACGGCGGGCGACATTGTCTCTTGTCGCTCAGCCAGGACTTCTCTGATCTTCTTGAGCTCTCTTTCGACAGCAGACAAATCTGCCGCAAACGCGCGTGCTACATCGGGGTCCGCCAGCGGCATATTGTCCTCTGAATCGGAATCAGACAGCGACACCGAGTCGTCGCTGCTGTTCTGCAGCCTCTCGGAGCTCTTCATCACGAAGTTTGCCTTCATAGAGAACAGCGAGATGTACACGCTGTAACATGTCTTATAGTACTTGCGCAAACCCGCGTTGTCTAATGGCAGCGGGCGAGCGTGGAAGCGTGGTTTGTACGTCGCCTTGCGTTTTGTGCCCTCGTCCTCGGAGGACGTGAACACAGGCGAGCGCCGCCGGGCCTTAGACGACCCGTGACGGGGGGCGTCATCGCTGCGAGAGATTGAAGATGAAGATGAGGATGATGGCGGAGGCGCCACGTCTGAGGCGGACAAGCGTGAAGCTGGGAGAGGAGAACGCGCAGGGCGTGGCGATTGTGCAAAGGGAAGGGGCGAGGCCTCCTTCTTGATCTTAGTTCGAGGTGCAGGGAGCGGAGAAGCTTCGCGCTTGACTGTCTTCTTCTGCACGACGCTGCCCTCCCTGTCTCTATCCTTTTCGCTGCCACGCTCTTTCTCTTTCGGCCGTTCGTTATCGATTTTGCGCCTTTTGGGCGCGCTCGCACTTACGAACTCATCCAATTCCTGATCTCCCGATTCCTCCTTGACCTTCTTGCGCTTCACCGTTTTCGTCCGCAAGGGTTCCTCGTCGACACTAACCTCGTTCACCAGCGGAGAGGGTGCTTTGACCTTTTTCTGTGGGCGGACTGTAGATGATGTAGTACTAGCAGATGATTTGGATACCTGAGTTGTTCGTGGTGGTGGTATGGGCGGAGCGGGCTTCGCAGAACCAGATGGGTGAGGAGGCTCTCTTCTGTTACGAACGTCTATAGGTCCGGTCTTTTTGTTAGGCTGCGTTGTTGCTGGCGACGAATCGCGAGCTATTGGAGTCGTACTGCTCGCCTTGACTTTGAAACCAGATCCGGGAGGCTTTCTGACGGGCGGCGGCTTGGAGGCAGACGCACTAGTGCTCGTGGAATCTGACGCCTTTTCCTTTTCTTTACCCTTGCTAACTGCTGCCTTTGCAGGTTTCATGCTCTCATCCTTAGCTATAATGATGTCACCGCTCTTCTTCGTGCTGTCTGACTTGGATTTCTTCTGCTTTGTCTCCTTCGTCATGATCCCTCTCTTCGCCTCAGGCCGTACTGCACTGTCGAATGTCCCTGCAGTGGATTCACTCTTGGAAGATCCACTTTGCCCGACAGACGCCGAAGCAGCTTCCAGGTCACGAGGTCGAGCGTGATCCCATACGGGATCCGTCTCCGGTATTTTGAGAGCACTGAATGCTATGCGAGCTTGACGAGCGAGACGCGTCCGCTCACCGTCACTTAGCGACGGCCACTTGTAAGGACGGACTTCGGTCCATGAGGTTGGCCGCAGTTGCCAAACAGGCGCATCTGCGCTGTTTTTCGGTGCGGGAGCACGCTCCGCCACCTGGGATATGGCATTCACGTTCAATAGCCGACTCCGCTAAGTATGATGAAATATCTCGTACCACTTCCAACAAATCAAGAATCTCCTTCCGGGTTCCAGGGTCGCAATCGGAGCCCCCAACAAGCTTCACCACCTCCGGGGTTGTACGGGCCCTGATAGCCACACAATGAACCAGTCGTCTTCGAGTAGACATTGTGTGCTCAAAGTTCCGGGATGCCGCTGGAACGGGTGATGCTACCCTCGTTGGCAGACTTGATGGAATGGCTAGGTCGCGAGGTGATGACACCTTTGTGGGCTGACTGGTTGAGGATGTAGATACAGTCCTGTGAGAATCCGGAGCAGCAATAGGACGCCTAAACATCGACGACTGAACTTGCTTCTTCTTTGGCACCGACTTGCTCAGTTCTGGTGGCTTGTCCAACACAAGCACACCACGGCCTGTACGCTGCTTCTCAGCCGCCATCGTGCTCTCGCGTAGTTTTTCCTGTACTTTTGCCCCAAGCTCGCGCTCTACCTGAAATTTGCCTGTAACATTTGCGTAAAGCTTCAGAGGCGCCATTGGCTTGGAGGCAGACGATGTGCGCAGATATAACTCATGGGGGGTGCTCTCCTGCGCATGTCGCATGGAGAAGAATGTTTCTCCGATATAGATTCCCTATCAAAATGTCAACCTTGTAGAAAGACGTCGCTGTGGCAATCTACGCACTGGATTGTCCCCGAACACGACATCCATCTTTGGTCTGTTTTGAAAGCTCTCCAATGCCTCGAGCGTTTCTGCGGACATACGCACAAGCATAGCTTGCTTTGTTTTCGAGGGACGCGCATCGCCGGGATTTGAATGAAAGTTGAGTGAGAGGGTGCTGTCTCCGGGTAGTGGCATGATTGGTGGCGAGTGGCGTCCAATGTATAGTACTGTGAGCGTGGTTGTCAGGCCAATTCGCGACTGTTGGCACGATATCCGAGGTATGGCGTCGGAAATCGAGGACGCCAACGGGATGAGGTGTTGAAGAGGTTGAAGAGGGAGACTGATGCGGCGGTGGACAGGAAGAGATTGAGGACAATGGCCCACGCTGCCCAAGAGGCCCAAGCCTGAGACAATCCCAGATCACGTGCGACGCCACCCCGGCTTCTTCGCGGACTGGTAATTTGCTTCCGTGTAGCCGACTCTCCAACTGGCAGGCACAAAGAAATGAAACTCGACCAAGTATATTCAAGCAACAAAAGATAGTGTGATGTCGTCCTCAAGGCGTGAGAGTACAAAGGCATGTGCATACATTAATCCCAGTGACATCACATACCGAGACACCAACGTATTGTACAAGAATGAAGCATCATCATACGGTGAACCACGGCGTCCGTTTATCGCTCTTGAAGGTCGTTCAAAAGGCGGAGAATGTTGATGACTGTTAAATCGATGCAAAATGAGTACAAGTACGGCGCACGGTATGTACTGAACCTCACAGAGATTGATGAAACTAGTAAATATGGCGTCAGTGAGCTCTCATGCAAACATGAACTAGAATATGCGTACTCAAGGTAAAGACTGATAGCAGCCATAATGTACTCGTCGGGGGACAGCCGCTTAGTGATCATGTAGGTGTCGTAGATAATATAGCCGCTGAAGAGAATACAGCCGCCACCAGCGATGACGATATCCATAGTACGTCCAAATGGAATGAAGATCCCAACGAGTCCCGTCATCACTGTTCAAAGCAGTATCGTTGGTGAGAAATGACGAGACACAAAGCTTTGACATACTCAGCGCGATCAGACCTCCAAACAACCACGCTCCCATTCCGGAGAAGTCATACTGAACGAAGTCGGCGAAACATTCTACCAGCTATGCTAGCGACGGCTTACCTTCGACTGTAGAGTGAATAAAGTCAACCCAAGGAACACTCCAAGGGTAATCAAGCTAAAATTGATTGTCAGTACACAATGGATGGGAATCGAGACTTGTACGACTGACAGTGCCTGGAGGACAATCGCATTGTCAAAGAATGCGACCATCACACCGAGAGTGAAGGCCTCGAACAAAGTAAAGGTGGAAAGTAAAATAAGGTTAGATGGGTGGCTATGACGCTTCCAATAAAGAAGACCAAGATTTATGAGGGTTCCAAAGAGGGGGATATAGAACGACCAAATGCTATTCAGCAAGGGGATAGGTGAGAATAAATAGTACATCATAGACTATGAGCTTACTGAGTCTGCACCCAGAAGATGGTGTCAGGCGAATGGGAGATGCCGCCCGCTACGACACAGGTTGCCAGCTTTGCATATCATTAGAAACTGCAGGACACAATCAGAGCGATCACATACGATTTGACAAACTGTAATAGCGTCGGATAAGCTAAAGCATGCGGCAAGTGAGATCGCACTCACATAGAATAGTGTAAACCTTTCGAACAAATGCATTCCTGATTTCGGGCGCGCTATCTGCGACAGTCGTTCCGTACTATAAAATCTCATTCAAAATGCAAGTCAAAAGCTTTTGAAACGTACGCCACTCACCTTGAAATCATCGGGAATGTCTCCTAGCTCAGGCTGGTCGTAGATACCTCCTGCACTGGTACCTGCCCTAGGGCTACCCAAGAGGGGTTCGGATGCACCATTCTCAGAAGGTATGGTGGATAGCTTCCTAGAGTCGTCGCGATACGGTGGGGGAGCGGCAGTATAATTACTAGTGCTCATCGTGGTTTGTGGTCAAGTAGAATAGTGAAAGAGTCAGAATGCGGAAGAGGATGAACAGCCTCGACTCCGGGCGCTTGCAGGTTCCCTGCGGCCCTGCTTGCGGAATTCAAATCAAATTGTGATCAGTCAGAGAAAAAGCACGTGATGCGAGAGAATTCACGGGCGCCTACGCGTAATGTTGCAGGTTTCGACATCGCAGCAGTGCGGCCGAGTGCGCCATTCCCACTTGGGAGCACGTTAGCACGATGCTGACTGACTTCCTCCCTCGATAACTCTCTCGTCTACTCTTTACTCTCGTCTCAACTTTGGCAGAATGGCCCTCGGAGAGACCGACAGGCTGCTTCCCGACAACGGACCAAACGACGAGCCGCACCGGCATGCGGCTCCTCCTAATCCGCTTCCGAGAGTGCAGCTCGGCGTGGTTTACGCAATAAAGCTCATTATTCCGATCGCAGGGACGCAGGTATATCCGTACATCAACCTACTGGTCGCGGAACTCGCGTCGTCTGAGGGCGCCAAGACCGGATACTACAGCGGGCTTGTGGTTAGCAGATATGCGTGGTCCAGCGATCCCAGAGCAGTCTGACCTGGACCGTGTAGGGAAGTGCTAGTGCTGCTGCACATCTCTTGACCATCTATTTATGGGGACGACTCTCTGGTACGTATTTCATTTTTATTTCCATGCCAGGGTATCTGATCACTGCTGGTCACAGATAAGTACGGGCGTAAACCCGTGATAATTATTGGAACCGCTGGAACTGCATTCTTCACCGTTCTCTTTGGATTTTCACGCTCCTTCATCACTGTGCTGTTAACTAGATTCCTCAGTCAGTGCTTCGCAGTGCCTGTACAGAAGCTGCATGGCTCACATCTTGTCCGATAGCTGGAATCTTCTCCGGAACGACCGGAGCCATCCATTCCGTGGTAGGGGAGCTCGCGGATCCCACAAACGAGTCGACTGCATTTCCGCTGTACGACATCGTCTCTGCGATCGGCTTTGCTGTTGGGTAAATGGTCATATGAGCCCATTTCGTGGAAACTAACACCACGCGCCCAGACCTCTTATTGGTGGTACCTTTGTCAATCCTGCGGATCAATTCCCCGGCTGGTTCGATACGCCATTCTGGAGAACTTACAAATACTTACTGCCTTCGTTGGTGACTTCGCTGGTTGCACTCGTCGCGTTATTCCTTGCCGTGTTCGTGCTGGAAGAAGTAAGTTGAAATGCTTTGTCTTCGATGATGCGAACCTCATTGACGTAATTTCAGACACATCCGACAAAACGACGGTCGCGCATCGCACTGATCAACGAGGTACCCAGTGAGGATGAAGACGTGCGTGAAGAAGCAGACGTGAGCGGCAAGCCTCTTGGTGTCAGAACCCTCCTGTCCATGCCTGTCGTCCGCATGGTTTGCGCGTCTAGTGGGGCGCTCGCGTTCGTTGCAGGATGTTTCAACACAGGCTTTGTTCTCCAAGCATATACTCCGATATCAGACGGCGGGTTGGCCTTGTCGGTATGTGTCCACGTCTTGAATTTTGCTTGTGTGTTCTGATTCCTCGGGTCCAGCCCTCAGAAATCGGTCGGGCTATGGCCATTATGGGCACGGTTTCCATGTTCCTCAAGCTCTCCATGCCCTTCCTTCTGCGACGTTTTGGTGTTCTGACGGTGTTCAGATTCTGCATGCTCTCATGGCCTGTCACCTTCGCTTTTATGGCTATGCTGTCTATCATTGCCAAGCATTCAGAGATGGCCGAAGGCAAAGCATTGGAGTGGACCGCCGTGAGTTTCGTACTGTTTCTGTCACGGATTGGCTGCATGGCGTTTTCGTGAGTTTTACTCTTATGTAATTTGTACCGTATAACTGCTTACTTGACTGGCCTGCGATTGTAGAATTATCATGATTCTCACTAAGGATCACACTCCTGGAACATCATCGCTGGGTACAACCAACGGAATGGCGGAATTTGCTCAGTCTCTAGCCTCTGTATTTTCTCCAACTATCATCAGGTAGGGTCAAATCAATTTTAGATATCGAGCAAAGCTGACATCCTCACTAGCTCACTCTTTGCCTTTTCTTCGTCTAAACACATTCTTGGCGGGTACTTCTGGGTTATCGTGATGGTGGGCATCACGCTGCTGGGTGGTTCATTCGCCGAGGGTATGAAGAAATATCGAGATGATTGAATCTATTAGATGGATTCACTGTTACCCAGATGCTCTGCTTTGCTTTGTTTTCACCCGACACACTTCTAGAGATGCTCTTGTATATGTGTATTGACATTAGACTGAATGGTATGTACTTGCTCACTGCGAGTGGAGGGTGGTCATATCCGTCGTGAAGTTCGTAACTAATTTAAGCACTACTTTATAATACTTTTACTACCAGTGTCCACCCATTCATCTATGCATAAATGCCGCGATCATGTGTCGACAAAATAACGAATATCAAACCGGAATGGGGCTACCGGTGCGTAACATCGTCTCATAGTGATAAAGAAATTCTTGCTCGTAGAGGTCCCGCAGGTGAGTTGCGACTGGATCTAGTAGGGTACGCAGGGCAGACATAATCGCACTCGCCGTCATGTGCAAACTCCATGCGCCAACGTATTTGATGCGCCGGTTAAAATTGACTTGCGCGACGTGGTATGCCATGGCCTCGTACACCTGAGAGACATTGGAATCAAACTGAAATTCTCAATAGCAAAGCATCTAACCTTCAATGAAATGATATCCATCAAACCGGCTGAAAATCACTGCTCAACAAAACGATAAATCCGCACAGAGAGTGTACTTACTTTCCCACAGCTGCAATATACAATTAGTATGTGCGCAACCGTTAGATTGATGTGAGCCACTCACTGTCCAAGATCCTTCGAAATCAGTCAGTGGCTGGACAACATGGCATCGGATGGGTACCAGTGTCCGATTCGCGCTGGAAATCACATCAACAGTTTGGTCGCAGACAGGCAGCCGTGACCTACTTCATGAAAGCTACAATCGGCCTGATGAGCGCGTTGTTCACATAGCTCAAATCATGGGTAAACAGCGGTACCGCTGCCTTCAGATCCCTAAAGCGTAAATCGATGTCAATGACTACTTGCGGCTCGGTCTCCACTATCACTTCATTATCCGATGGCGCGCTCAAAGGCGGTTTCGCTAGCTCACGCTGCCCGGGGATGCGCTCGGCTGCAGATGATGCTGCGGTAGTTATTGCGTCCGCAAGTTCGCCGAGGAGTGCATTGAGCCGCAGGTCTTCCTGCGGGTCGCGAGGGAACTTTATGTCCAAAACGGCATCGACCTTGCCTGATGTTATCCAAGAGAAAGGGCCTTCTTGCGTCGTCATGCTCTGCAAATGGTCTATGTTCACTCCGTCAATCCGGAAGCGAGACTGATTTAATGTTAACAACCAAATGAGTCATCCGAAGAAAAACAGAATTTACCATACGCGCCCACTGGCCGTCCTTCAAATCTTGATCTGTAGTGCGTCCTATGCTCTGGGGGCGATGCAGACTGAACAGACAGTTATCGAACTGACCCACAACATTCTCTGCGCAGAGGAAATCGTAAAATAGCCACTGCTTGCGGAATGTTTGGATATCTGCGCGGAAGATCGACGCTGTGTAGGGACGGAAATCACCCGGCTGATACACAGTTATGAGTAGGTCCTCTAGCTGGAGGGACTCCAACTCGAAGTCTCCAGGATATGCAGCATGGCGGAATGCCGCTGGATCCAGCGGATTGTCAGGATCCCAAGTTACCGTGCGACGATCTAAACAGAGTCAGACCCAGCTAAACTAATAGAATGTAAGAACCTATTACCTAGTATTCCTCGAACTCCCTTGACCACAGCGTCAACCACTAATCCTCTTCCCTCAAACCACCGCGCAAAAGACAAGGTCACATCAATGGAGTCGACGGTCAGATCAAACATAGAATAGTTGAGGTCGTCATTCGAGTGATCTCTAACTGGTCCCTCTTCCTCTTCCTCACCTATGACATGATAAGATGGGTGATTATGAACATCGTAGCCTGCCGCTACTTCGTGCGCGGCTTTAGATAAGGCAGAAAGGCGACGCCTCGCTGCGTCGGGATCGAGAGGTCCGCGGATGATATAGACATTCTTGAACGAGATGCGGGAGTCCTTCCATTTAGGAACAATGGCAGACTCAAAAATGATGGTGATCCCAGTCTCAGATGCTAGGTAGTCACTGATCGCGCGAGCAACATATTCCTGTAATCGAAGGCTGTTTGCAACGGCAAACAGCACAGAGAAGAATGTCGTGCTATGGGTTGACGGCCTATTAGCAGAAACACGCCAACGAATCTTTGGGGCTCACGTTCCGACGAAGAGCCATAAGGCTTGGCTCATAAAGAACCAGGTCACAAATGCAGATATATCATCTGCATTATACTTGCGAAAGGACCTGATGGTAAGCCATTTGAAACGCACCCGAACACGCTGCCAAAAGCCATTGGCGGCGTTAAGGAAATCGTCGCGTGACGGACGATTTAGATGAGGTAACGAAAGGGCTAAACGTCGGAAGAAACGAGGGTAGTTCTCGAGGTACCGATGATCAGGCTCCGTACGTGAGGGCTCTTGTCCGTCGGGTGAGGCGCTTCGCTGGAGACTCTCGTCTTTCGTTTCTGCGAGCGGATGTCCAGGTTGGCGCTGCTCCGACCTTCGACAAGTGCTAATGGACAGATAGCGTATACACAGCCGTGAGTTCACGGACTGCAGCACGTTCGCATGGAAACGTTCGTTCCTGAATCTCAAAGTAGATGTAGAAGGATTGGGAGAGTATTCATGGGAGAAGAATGTGCGAATAGCCTTGTATCGGTCGACTGCATGAGCTCGACTAGAGTGATGCAAGAGTGATGTGGACCATGCCCGAGAAACGGACATTCAAAGGAGTGTCCAGACGGCAAGAGTCGGTGGGTGGAGGTTAAGAGCAAGAGTCGTGTGCGCAATCTCAAAGGAGCCCGGAGCGTGAGGATGCCGAAAAGAAGGACATTAATCACGTGCGGACAACATAACGCCGCTGCCACTCCGCATCGCGTAGCGTCACAGCTACTCACGCGACTTGGCGTGACGCCACAACCTGACTCTGAGCCTCACTGAGTTTGGCACTTGCCAAACTAAAAGCTAGCAAAGGCTAATATGGAGGCTTATTTACCGATGCCTTCCGTTCAACTACCACCATGTTGGTGGACTTCGTCCTACAGATAGGCTACGCTCTCCTCGACAAGGTAAGCCCTTTATTTAAGCCCCCCGGAAGCTGAAAGAAAGCTGTGAGGACAATGGTGGCAGGGATATGTTCCCGACATCGTCTTACGCGTCGCGATACGCGCCCTTTGCCGTCAAAGGCTGTGCCAGATTGACAATGGGTCTCTGGAGGAAAATCATACAGTAAAAATGGGATGGATAGAGCAAGTTCAGGCCAGGAATACTATTGCAGACTGTACGAGCAAAGCGAACGACCAGCATTACGAGGTTTGCTGGTCTTTATCCCCTATGGTGTCTTTCATCAGTCAGACATCCACAGGTCCCTACAAATTTCATGTTGTCATGTCTAGGACCCTGTGCGAAGTACTCTAGTTGCCTTTACCCTAGAGGTAATGAAACCCTAGAAGAAGCTGAAGTGTTGATGTTCGAGAGCTATTGTGAAAAGGCGCAATTGAAAGATGGCATGGATATCCTTGACCTCGGATGTGGTGAGGCAACTGCATTTGAACTATATGGAATATCGAATCTGACATGAGCCGCACGGGATTGCAGGCTGGGGAAGTATGACTTTATACTTAGCTAAAGTAGGTACCTCTCCTATAACGTCAAATTTATGAATCGTTGAGTCGACTTCGTAGAAATACCCGCGGTCGAGCATCACTGGCCTATCAAATTCAGCGACACAAAAGGCATACATTTACTCTGTAGCGAAGTCCCGCTCAATCAACAATATTGAGGTCTGTCCAGGCGTAGCCCGAAGTCACCCCATCCCCATCCCTCATATTCTCATTCCTGAAAATCAGATCATAACAGCTGATATAAATGATTTCGACTTCGGCAATCAAGCCAGAACGTACGTACTATGAAAAATTGTCAACTTCACTCGTTCACTTTGCAGTCTAGTTTTGACAGAATCTTATCTATTGAAGTATGCCCTTTTCCCTCACCTGAATGAGCATTGTAACATTAGACATTCACAGATGTTTGAGCATATGAAAAATTACAAAATACTGATGACGAAAATCGCGTCGTGGTTACGTCCGGATGCAAATGCATTATTTTTTGTTCACATATTTTGCCATAAGTCTACACCATATCACTTTGAGGCTGGCGACGGCTGGATGGCCCAAAACTTCTTTTCCGGTCAGGAAGTTGTTCTCTTCTTCTGTGCCCACTGACGTGAGCAATATGGTTAATAGGTGGTACAATGCCCTCCCACGACCTGCTAGTAAGCATCGTCAGCTGGTTTCAATAAATTCCTTTTTCTAACTCTGCGCTCCCGAAGTTGTACTTCCAAGACGATCTCACTCTTGTGCGAAGTTGGTTTCTGAGCGGAAAGCATTACGCGCATACATGTGAGGATTGGCTCCGACGTCAAGACACAAATAGAGCACAAGGGATTGCCGATCTCGAAAGAGACGCGAAAGAGAAAGGATTGGATCCCGAAGAAGGGAGAAAGACGTTCTATAGGTTTGTGGGTGCTTCTCTTGTTTTTCGCGGCCGAGTAAGATGTGTTCTCAGATTCCGCGTGTTTTATCTCGCCTGTGCGGAGCTCTTCGCCATGAATAGCGGCAACGAGTAAGTCTTGTCTTTGAAATATTGCTGGACGTCTGACTCACGCATGCATGTAGGTGGGGTGTTGGGCACTATCTCTTCAGGAAGAAATAGATGATTTTGTTCTCATGGAGTACCGTTCGTGGCAATCAATTATGTGGCTTTTAATCGATCGGTCTTGTACTCTGTCTTGGACTTTGCAAATCTATTAGACTTGCGCAGCTTTTAGTGACTGGCTCGCATGACGACGGCACAGCATTCTGGCTGCGGACACGCGAGAGTGTCTCTGCCCATGGATACAATGGATTTTTCGGTATGAGAGCGGTAAGTTCTGATCTGGTGGTTAACACAACAAGTTGAGTTTCAACCGTACAGCTTTTGCGAGATCCAAATTCAACCTTCCGTACTAATAACGCGCTGTTGTGCATGTAAGAGACGCACATGTCCCGTATGGCACGAGTGTAGTGACAGAATAACAATAAACTCATGGCGGAGCCGCTAAATTTGAGAAGTATGTTGCCGGCGGCAGGGAGCGCTCGTAGAAACATAGGCGCCGGACTCGGCCAATCGGCATCTCATAGTGATCCGAGGCGGAGACAGTTGTGGCCGGTTGCCTCATCGGACATGTCGACTTCCTAAAACGGGACGCACTATTGTTCACCTCCTCGCCTGCAGAACAATGAAGTCGCCCAAGCGTGCTAAACAATGGCCTATCCCAGTAAAAAGACCATGCGCAGGCCACTCCGCCCTCCACCCCTTCGGCGGTCTGTCTCTCGCTGCTTTCTTTCTACGTTAGTCGACGACCCCCATCCTAGACTTTATCTGTCGCCGGCCGACTTTCCCTGGCAATAATGTCCACAGCTCCCTGGAACTCTGTATACACCTCTCCCTCATCGTCCAACTCGCAGCGCGCTCTCAAACCATACCTCGAACTCCCTCACCTTCTGTCCTTGACATGGCTTGCCTACCCCATCCTCTCCCTCCTCTTCGTCGCGTTTCGCCTCCAGATCTCCGCCCAGTCGGCTCAATCCAGCATCGCTAGCGCAAAGTCAGACTTTATCTCGAGCTGCAGTGCTGCTCAGCAAGCCGCCACGTCTGCCGCGAGCCTGCCCCGATATCTTGCGGTTGCCGCCAACGACCAAATTTCTGACGCAGTGAATGGTACCTTGGATGCTGCTCGGGCCACGCTGGTCCTTTCGCTGACAATCATGGAGGCTATCATCAACTTTATCATTGACATGTACCGCTCGACTTTCCTGTGTTTCCTAGAGCTCGTTGTCCAGGGTGGCCTCACATTATTGATCAGTGCTGTCCAAGAGGTGAGTTCTTTTCACCATAAGCTGCGCATAGCTATAATTTGCGGTGATTGTCACCTGGCGATACGACAATTCAATTGGAGCATCTCATTTTCCGCTACAACCCGCTTCCGCTTTCGCTCCAGATCGATGCTAACATACACTGCTTCCAGATCAACAGTTTCCTGACGACCACTTTGAATGGTATACGAACCGCAATTCAAAGTGATATCACCAGCGCCAACAACGTCATCGCCGATGCGGTGAATGGGATCAACAAGATCAATCCATTTGGCAACATCTCGGTACCGCAGTTCAGCATTCCCGCGCTGACGGAATTGGAGAACGTCACACTTCCGACCGACTTCGAGACAACATTGATCAAGCTCAACGACTCGTTGCCCACGCTGTCGGCGTTGAAAAGCGACATTGACTCTATGTGAGTGGGAAATGCTGCGGTCACAGGTCTCATCGGATCCTGACGTCAATCTGTAGCGTGGACACTCCTTTTGAGTTGTTGAAGAAGGAAATCAACGATACGTTTGCTGGCTTTTCCTTCAACTCGTCTGTCCTGCCCATCCCCGAGCAAAACACCCTCAGTTTCTGCAACGATCTGGATACGTCGTTCATCGATGATCTAGGCGAGGCGCTGCTGAAGGTAGCAAAGATAGGCATCATCATTCTCGTCGTGCTCGCATTGCTGCTGTTAGGCGCGAACTGTGCGTTCGAGTGGTACAAGTGGCACCTTCTGAAGAAGCATCTACAGAACACCCGTGACGCGTGGACGACCGACCCCTCCGTGTACCATTCCAGCCTGACAAAAGGCGCGCCGACGGTGGATCTGAGTGACCACAACCTGATGATTCTGCAGGCGGACGCGCAGCATCCGCACCTGATGAAGATAGCTAATGCCCTGGCAAGGCTGACCCATATGGGTCCATCACAGTATATAAACCTGCGCTGGTTCCTTCACTACGTCTTTCACCCGCCGGCGCTGGCATGTTTCCTGATTGGGTTCTTTGGGCTACTTTCGGTCGAAATACAGGTCATCGCCGTGCGCCCTCTGGCAGATGAATTCTCGCAGCAGGCTGTGGCCACCGTAAACAGCTACGCGGACGTGATCGCGACCTCGATTAATGGGAGCATGTACAACCAGTCGTCTGTGTACGCCAACTCGATCAACGCTCAGGTGGACAGCATTCAGTCAACCATCAACGACGGGCTGTTTGGATGGGTGAACGGGACGACGACGACACTCAACAACACGCTGAATACGTTCTACACGGACCTACAGGACGCGGTCTCGACCGTCTTTAACGGGACGATCCTGGAGCAGCCGGTGCAGGAATTCATCAAGTGCTTCATCGGTGGAAAGGTGACTGATCTGGAGGACGCGTTGACGTTCCTGCACAACAACCTCCAGGTTGACCTGCCACGCGTGAACGAGACAGCGCTCGTGCTCTCCCCGTCCGATGTGAACGAGGTCACTGCCCCGATCGCGTCTGCCGCAATTGGCAGCGGAAACGGAAACAGCAACGGGATCGTGGGCGACATCGTTGACGCGTATATCAGTTCGCTCAAAGCGGAGCGCATCATGTTCGGCATCTTCATGGGCCTCTGGGGCGTTGTTGTGGTGATGGCCCTGTGTATCATCTTCTGGTATTCGTATGGACGAGACTGGCTGGAGGCGTATCGCCGACGGAAGTGGAAGAAAGAGCAGCGGGCCGGGATCAACGGTCATCTCGTTCCATTCCGGGATGCGACGCCTGGACCGACTACTTTGAGCAGTGATAGTCTCGGCGGCGAAACGATGGTCCAGAAAGACATCCCATCCTTTGATTTCGGGGAATCTCCACAATTGCATCTCGATGCTGCCAGATATGCAGGGCCGAGCGAGGGACAGCATGCTTCTGGTCAACGTCGGACAATGTTTGACAAGAGCTGGGACAGTTTCGTCAACCACATTTCGCGTGCGGCGCCCGTCGAAGAACGTCGCACACTCAAGATCAGCCTTCCGCAGAAGCTAATGGTAGGACGCAGGCGCGACCCGCATATCCCGGACGACGAAGAGAAGTATGCTCTCGGGTCCAACCCAGTGATGGACCCGAGGCCGTCTTGGTTCACGCGGATGTTCGGAGTGGCAGGGACGAAGAGCGACGACGCTGGTGCGGAGGACACAGTCGTCGATGAGAAGGGCTCGGATCGTGCGCGCCCTCGGCTGACAATCTCCATCTCTCGAGCGTCCGCCGCACAAGTTGGCCAGCTGCCGATGCTGGAGAAGAGCACAGAGGATGCTGCGCCCAAGTCGGCGTGGTCGGTCTCTCCTGGCCTTCCGCCGAAACAGTCGTGGGCGAACGGCATCCTTCCAGCGAAGAAGGTCGGGCTCCCCTCGAATCCCTCGCCTCACAGGAAATCTGCCAAGGCGCCCCACGACGCTGTCGTCGACTTCGGCGGTCAACCCATGCCGGTCCCACTGCATTATGGGTTCGAGCGCCCGCCAACATCTCCCGGTCAGCGTGTCTTCCTTCCTCCTCCACTCCATCCCAACCGACTGCCTGCGCTGAACCCCGACACGTCTACGCCCATCACACGTCTCTTGACTACGACACACGCGCGGCACTCCTCCCAGGCGGTGGACCCGTTCGTGACGCCATTTGACGACGAGTATCGTGCGCCGGATACCCCGACCCTGGTGGATCCCTTCTCTGAGAGAGGGAGACGGACGACAAACCCCTTTGCGACTATGGCTATCTGAGACGGCCTGGTGCATTCTCTGTTCATATTTCTGACTGATGAGGACATTTGTGGTGGTGCTACTGTAAGTGCTGGCTGATGCTCTAATGTGTCTCCATTATTTTCCAGTTCTTTGCTTGTTGCCTGATACATGCTGTATTCTTACATAGCAGAAGCTGTAGCCAATTATTGTACATCTTTGTATTTTCCATGTAGCTAAAGTGATTGATGACACCTCATAGGTGTGTTGTCAATGAAGTTGTTATTGAATGCAATATGCAGCCATCACAACCTTGAGCATCACATCACATTTCAATGAAACAATTTTATTGTGATCGCAGCAAAACTAGATTTCTATGGTAGATAGAAAGGGTCCAAAAATTGCTGAAGGCCAAAGCCGACAGACGTGTTCGGATGTGTAATTTGCAATCAGCAAAAGACTGTGCCTCG